AGTATTTTCGGGTGGCCATGCCGATGGGGCTGACCCGAAACACGGGGAAAGGTGGTTCTTTAAATGGGCCTATCATGAATCCCTCTTTGACCTCTTTTGCTAGCAAGGAATCAATGGTGTTGGGTTCCCTGAGAGCAGACTGAAGGTTTTGGCAAGTATGTGAAGTATTGGGGAGAATGTCTATGCCAGGATTAAAACCGTGAGTGAAGCCGTTAAGAAGGAAGTTGGCAAACACTCTGTCTGGGTGGTTTTTTAGAGCTGCAGCTAGAGCATTTACCTTAATGGGTGAGCTGAGGTGCTCTGCTAGTCAGCTGGTGGGTGTAGTTGGGTTATGTGGGCAGGTGCACCTGGCATGGGCACCCCCACAGAAGGAGCAGACGTGTTGGAAGCGACAGGTGGAGAGGGTGCAGCCCAGGTGGTTAAAGTTATTGCAAACCATCCTTCCGGCTTGGTATAGGATAGGCCTTCCTCTCTTGTCAGCTCCTTTTGGCATTGGAACATTGACAGTGGGTCGAATGTCTAGGGGCTTAGGTATGATTGGAGGTGGAGGTGCAGCGGGTGACAAGCAGTTAAAGACTGTGGTGTTGTGAGACAAGGATGAGTGTGGACGGGGTGGTGGGGCGCTGATGATGCATGCTGTGGCAGGGTGGGAGGGGGCTCCGCATAGCTCACAAGAGAGGGAGGTGCGGGCGGCAAAGATTCGGCAATACAGAACGCAGGGCCATGTCTAGGATTATGGAGAGGTAATTGTCGAGCTCGGACCTGCAAGATGGAAAAACTGAACAGATGGTGTCACGGAAGAGTGAAAATGCTAAGGCAAATTCTGCTGGTGTTAGGTCTTTTGACCTGGATGTGGGTCGCGAGAGTCTGGAGAGGATCGTGCTGAGGAACCTCCGCCTCCTGGTGAGCTCTCATCTGGATCCTCTGCAGTTTGCGCACCAGCCGAACATCGGGGTGGACGACACAGTCATCTACCTGCTGCAGAGGTCCATGGCTCACTTGGAGAACACTGGCAGCACTGTGAGGGTCATGTTTTTTGACTTATCCAGTGCTTTCAACACCATCCAGCCTTCACTACTCAGGGGGAAGCTCGAGAGGGTGGGAGTGGACTGTCACCTAGCTGCATGGACAGTGGACTACCTCACCGACGGATCACAGTTTGTGACGCTTCAGAACTGTGTGTTGGATATGGTGGTCTGCAGCATGGGGGCTCCACAGGGGACAGTGCTCTCCCCCATCCTCTTCACCCTGTACAACTCGGACTTCAGCTACAACTCTGGGAGCTGTCACCTCCATAAGTTCTCTGATGACACAGCCATCGTCGGATGTGTATCACCAGGGAATGAGCGGGAATACAGGACTGTCATCACTGACTTTGTCAACTGGTGTGGTACAAACCACTTCCAGCTAAACGCCAGTAAGCCAAAGGAGATGGTCATGGATTTAGGCAGGAGGAGGACACCTCAGACTGTTCCAGTGAACATCCAGGGTCTGGACATTGAGATGGTGGAGTCCTACAGATTCCTGGGTGTCCACCTCAACAATAAACTGGACTGGCCAAAAAACACAGACGTCCTGTACAAGAAGGGCCAAAGTCATTTCCACCTGCTGAGGAGACTGAGGTCTGAGTGTGCAGGACTCTACTCAGGACTTTCTATGACTCTGTGGTAGCATCTGCACATTTCTATGCAGTGGTCTGCTGGGGGGCTGCAGGGAGCACAGAGAGGGACCGGAAGAGACTGAACAGACTGGTCAGGAGGGCCAGTTCTGTCCTGGACTTCTCCTTGGACTCCCTGGAGGAGGTGGGTGAGAGGAGGATGTTAACAAAGCTTGTATCCATCATGGACAATCCCTCTCACCCACTGCACCAGACTGTGGGGGCTTTAAGCAGCTCCTTCAGCAGCAGACTGAGACTCCCACCTTGCAAGATGGAGCGCTACTGCAGGTCATTCCTCCCTTCTGCAATAAGACTTTACAACGAACTGCAATAAAACTGGACTCATACCACCACTTTTTTTTTCTTCTGGTGCTTAAATTGTGTATATTTTTATTTTTTTATTTTTTTATTTATTGTATTTTTTATTTTATTTTTATTTTTTTTCTTCTCCCTTTTTCCTTTTCTAAATTTTTTCTTAATTAGAACATTTATTTAAGTTCTTAATATACAATCTTTATTTTTATAACTGCATTTATGCACTTTGCCTGTGACGCTGCTGTGACAAAGTATAAATGATTGATAAAATAATCAAGAAAACGGATTGTAAACAGAAAACAGTGGAAGTGTTAACGTTACCTTTCGAATTTATAGATTGGATTCGTATCTGGTCTGGTTCTGAATAGAGTTGCCATAGAGATGTGGCCACCGATACACAGCAATCGCTGATCCAGAAGTAATCCTAAAGTCAAAAGACGTCAGCGTGAATTCCCTCTACTCCACCCACTGTCCATTCTTTTAAAAACCTTTTTTAATTGTATTTTACGACTGTTTTTAAACTGTTTGTTTTAATGATGTAAGGTGACTGAGTTTCATGAAAGGTGCCTGTAAACAAAATGCATGATTATGATTACGATTATTTATTCATGCTTAAAAGGCAGCACACTCCCTGCTTGATATCATGCCACATCATAATGAATTAAACTAAGCTTGGCAGGAAATCTCCTTCAAAAAATGTCAGTAAGACACAGGACTTGTGGCCTTAATGTTTCTGACAATACTCAATGATCCAGGTTTAAACTCTGAGCCGTTTTTTTTTTATCTCTCTCTCTCTCTCTCTGACCTACATTGACTGTTGCCTGAGCGGATATTTGGAGATCTCTGTCCGATGCAGTTTCCTCTTTTTTTTCAATGAAGTGATTAACATAGTTTGGTTGGATTTTAACTTCCTTTGAGTCTCTCTACGTTAAACTGGTTTCCCAGCTCTCATATTTTTCTTGTCCTTACATCAGCCGGACTCTCTGTTAATCTCGAATTAGATACCATCTGAAAGGTCGCTGACACATCAGCAGGTAGGCCATGATTTACTTTCTCCAGGACCAAACCACCTGAGTTAAATAATATAACCCTGATCACATCAAGTCAGAGATTAAACAGCAATTGTGGACTTTAATGATTTTGATAAGAAATGGCTTGTTAGGGGTTAAGAAAAATCTGATAAAAAATCAAAATATTATTGATAAGAACATTAAGGGACAGCTGTGGCCCAGTGCCAGAGCAGGTAGTCCCTTATTTTAGACGTTAAGGATTCAATTCCAGGTCCCACTGTCCTCATGCTAAAGTGTCCTTGGGTAAGACTCTGAACCCTGACCTGTCCAGCAGTGTGTGGATGGGATAGGTTAATACTGATAGGGCTTCAGCCTGAGCCATTAGCAGCCTAGAGTGTTACTTTCTGTGACAGGATTATTGCATCTGTCTGTAACGCAGTAATGTTACATGGCTCTGGATAGAAAAGGAATGTGATTATTGAATAAGTTACAAATAATTATCTTGTTACTGAAGTTTTTTTTTTTTTAGCTCTTCAGCTATCTGCATTTGCATTTCATGCAAACCTCTGTTCTCACTGAGGAGATGTGTTGGGGATTTTGGCTCATTTTTGTGAAGGAGGAGGTAAAACTGCAGAGCTACAGGCATCTTTGAGGCAAAGAGGTTTGCTTTCAATGTGATGCATAAAAGGTTAAAAATATGTCAGTAAAGTGTTGACAGCTCTGAACAGAAACAAACCTGTCTTTGACTCCATATGGACAGTATCTGTCTGAAAAGTGAGTCCATAATTGTCACTGGGTCCTCCTCCAGCCCATAACCAGTTCAGATCAATAAATGTGGTGTGGATGAATGTGTTTGTACTTCCCTTTGTGTCTTTTTGTCAGCTTTTATAGTGACACACTTTATTTAAAGGAAAACATCATTAAGGCCTATCTGTTCTAACTTCACTTCCTTAACAGGATGGAAAGGAGGCTCCTCTATGGACTGGTCCTGTCTTTGGTGTCCAGTCACATTATCTGTGTACATCCTCCTTATCATCACTGTCATCATCATCAAAAAAATAAGAGTCCAGGGAAGGGTCAGATATGTCCTCCAGGTCAGGATGGCAATCAAGCTTTAGGTCAAGATCCAAAAACAGCTTCAGGTTGTCTAGAATATGATCAACATCAGGACAGAAAAAAAGATCTGAAACAGGCTTCTAATCAGCGCCAAATGGATGAGTGTAGTGATGAAAGGTCAGGTCCAGGTCAAAATGCAGCAACAGGTTGGAACAGAGATAAAACTGCAACTTTTGACCAAAATCAAGATCAAATACAAGATACCAGCCAAAATCAGGGTTTCAGTAAAGATCAGAGTCTAGATTCCAATCAGGATTTGGGCCAAAAAGGAAGAGAAAAAGCCCATCCGAAACCAGGAAATGGTCACAAATGCAAAAAAGGGTACAATCACAGTCCTGTCAAAGGTCTAAGTGAGGGGTCAGGTCATGATCATTCACAAGAAAAAGGTGGAAATAAAAGTCAAGAGACAGAAGAAGATCAGGACAAAGGTTCCAGTCAAGATCAGCACCAAGGTTCTGGTCAAAATAAGCACAAAGGTTCCGGTCATGATCAGCACAAAGATCAAGATATGAGTCGAGATAAATATCTGATTCCATGTAGGAGAAGAAGAACTTCAGGTGAGATGTTATGATATTTATTGTGATGTTGAGGAAACATTCTGGGGGCTCTTTCTTGAATATCTTTTAACACTTAAACTTACTGTGACACTTCTCAGGAGTTTCTGATGCCAGACCCTGTTTGGAAGCTGTGAACAACATTTTGAGATCTGGAAACCGCAGAGACACAATTCAGTAAAATCTTGAATTAACAAAAGAATTTTTGAGCGCTGGAATTTGTGTTTTTGAGCGCATTAATATATGGCACAAAATACGGACAGTCTATGTTATTTAAAAGGAATTCATGCTTAAATCACAAATACACTAAGAGTTGTCTGAATTGTCTTCTTCTTTTCATAAAGAGCGATGGAGAGCCTTGAACAGGCTCTTGAGGAAACAGAAGTGAATGAAACCACATCCATGTCTGCCAACAATTTGATAGCGCTGCTGTTCAAACCTAAAGGTCCTTTTAAAGGCCTTGAAATTTACGCCAGCGAAAGTAAGGTGAGGCTATTTACTTCAGGCTGAGTCAGATCATTTCATGACATCAAGGGCCTGGTCTACTGAGATCCCAAATAAGGGGAGCTAAATTCCATGTGCAAACAAAAAAAAATTCATGTGCTATTAGTGAGTGTGTTACAGGTAATCGACTATGATTGCATGCGCAATTGATAACAGGTACAAAACTGGTGCAGCCCGCCCCTTTAAATGAGGATTTGTCGTGCACTATCAGCTGTCATGGAGAGTTTGTGAGAGCAGAGTGGTCGACCAATAATGAAGTGTGAAGTCATGGAGTTGCACATATTGTTTTAGGGAACTGCATAAAATGCAAGGCAAGTTTATTTGTATAGCACCATTATAACACAAGGCAATTCAAAGTGCTTGACAGTTAACAGGAAATATATTTGAAATCAAAAAAGAGATTCAAAAAATTTAAAATCAATCAGACAAAGAGATATATTTTTTCATCTGTTCTGTGTTTGACCTTATTATTTATGAAAACTGAAATTTACTGGAAAATCAAAATAAATCACAAGCTTTTAGACTTGGAGCTCCCCAGCACTCAGTCTAAGACTCCCCAGTCCCCAAGACCTGCCATGTTTTCTGTTATTTACTGTGTCCCCAGAGCATGGGAATTGGAGCTCTTTACCCATGTAAAAAGGGTAAAAGAAGTAAAAACCTCATTGGAGGAAATTAAGAAAATAGACTAAGAACAGAGATAATTAATAAAAATACATAAAACAAACATTAAGAACCTTGATTAAAATGAACAGTAGCAACAAGAGATATAAGAAAAGGCAATTAATGAAAAGCCTGGTTAAAAAGATGAGTCTTGAGCCTCTTCTTAAATACATCACCAATCTCTGCGGCCCTGAGGATCCCTGGCAGGCTGTTCCACAACCGGAGGCCATGGAAACTGAAAGCTGTCTCCCCGTGTGTTTTTGTTTTAACTTTGGGTAAGGTTAAAAGGCCTATGCCAGAGGACCTCAGGGTCTGCAAGGGTTGATATGATAAATGTAAGTCAGATAAATAGGAGGGGCCAAGACCATTAATACATCTTAACACTGATAAAAGAACCTTAAAATCAATCCTGAAATGGACAGGGAGCCAATGCAGCGATGCTAAAACTGGGGTCATATGCTATATACGCAAACCTTTAGTAGATCAGGCCCTAAGAGAGGTATTTTGACCTTGGCTCTGATGTGCAGCTTAAGACTCAAGACTAACAGTTTTGGTACTCATGTTTAACAAATCACTCCAGTAAAGATTATACAGACTCCACAGAGAAATGTAGGTTGTTCATGGCGGTGTCATGACTTTCTTAAGATTTAACATTCACTGCTGAGAGCTAGCGCCAGCTAACAGTGCAGAATGATCGAGCTGTTAGCACTACAGGTTACAATTATAATACTTTTTTTTCAACTTTTACTTCTGCAATTTCTTTCAGAACCCCCAGTTGACTTTTGGACAACCAAGAAAAACTTGGCAATAGCAAAATTAGAAGTCATAGAGCCTGTAGTGCTCAGGCACACTGAGAGTAGTCCTTTAGTTTTGTTTTTGTTTTTAATGACTTACTGAAATGGTAGAGTTTTCCATCTGCAGAGCTTAACTTTTGAGCTTGGTTGAAAACCAGCTGGAGAACATTAATGGCTCTATGGCCGGTTTCTGAACAAATAGGGCGAGATGACCAGGATTTCCCTAGGATAATACACAAAGGGTCTGATCTACTTAAGGTTTGCGTGTGCAAAAACAATTTTGTACTCACAATTTAGTGCCCCTTATCAGGGATCTTAGTACATCAGACCCTTAATAAGTGCCTCACCAAACCACATTCAAAAAAGGGAAATTTCAGTCAAATAGTCAGGAGCCATTCTAAGCTTTTCTGGTATAACTCATCCATGATGATTCCATACTTGGAGTTGCTCCTCTGACGATTGCTGGATCCCTAAAAAGTAAACACCCATTTAATGCTCCTCTTTCTGTTTTGCTTTGCACCTACAGGTAACATTAGAAAGGGGTGACAACAATAGCAAAGTGAATGTTCGCCTTCCCAAAGAGCTGAAGGTTGACTCAAACAACATAATTGTATTCTGCATGCTCACCTGGACAGGAACAAACGAGGTGAGCCATCACACTGTGCATATAAAGTGAAATTGATAAAGGGTGTTATCCAGTCATAACACAGGCCAGTCTAGAGGGCCCTGGTGAAGGCAAGTTTACTTTTTTTTAAAAAAAAATTTATTTTTAACAATGACAGCCTTCAGCACAGACACTGCTGTATTCCTGTTTGAAAAACTGCTTCCTATTTGTGACATTTCTCTGTTTGGAAAAAAAAAAACTGCAGGCTGAGGAGGTACCTTGTCACTTTAAAGAATTCCATCGTTTCTAATCAAAGTGTACAAAAATTATCCAACAGAGTACCAACTGAATGCATGCTCTGTGTCTCAACGGCTGCCGTTTACCATAATGGGAAATAACTGATTGACATTGTCTCATGCTCCACAGTCTCACAATAATGTTTTTTCTGGGTCTGTTCAACACTAACATAGGAATCTTTCTTAGAAAGAGGAACAGCTGTTTTCACACAATATCCTCAAATGCAACAGTGCAGGACGCTGTTTAAGGGCAGAACTGTGTTCTCATCTGAGTAAGCGGTAGTAACTCTTTACTCTGCACCACTGGTTTCTGCAGCAGCATGAAAAAAATATATATAAATAAATTTAAAAAATAACATGTTCAGAAATGCTCTCATGTTGGTCTATCATAGTTATCATTATGTAAAATGCACAGCAGACAGCAGCAGTGCCTCAAAGCTTCAGATTTTGCTGTGTCCCTCCGATCAGACTAACTGATTGTCTGTGTGTCGTCTCACAGAGCTCTGATGTTTTATATGAGGACAGATTGGTGGCCCTCAGTGTGCGGGGAAAGAATATTTCTGGACTTCAGGAGCGAGTCAACATCACCATGAGTCTCGCTGTGGGACTTAACGTAACTACAACTTCACTCCAAACATAAATTTTCTGTAACATCCTACATTTTGATATATAGATATACCCAGTCTAACTTTGTTTTTGCTGTCTAACAGGAGACCCAAGAGCCTCGCTGTGTGTTCTTGGATTTTTCAACAGGCAGTGAGTAACAACACAAATCAACACACCATGGCAACATAAGTGATTCTTTTGTAGTGTTGTATCTGATGGGTTGTCATCTGTGTAACTGGCAGGTTTGTTTACCTTTTAGATTTCAGTGAAGATGGCTGCCACACTCTGTGGGGTCACGGTCAGAGTCATGTGACCTGCTCCTGTGACCACTTTACATACTTCGGTGTGATCCTGGTAGGTCCACATCATAGGAACTACTACCATACAAGCAACAAGATCAGTTTGTCCATACTATTCTTGCATATCAACCTGTTTTCAAAACACACCACAGATATTCTAAAACAAGCCTTTTCCACAAGAGACAACCTGCCACTGCAAGAAAACCAAAAATCAATTCGATACATTTCAATGCGATACAGGGGTTTTAACAGGATATAAAATTGACTGTATTTAAACTGTTGCTTCTTAATTAAAAAAAGACAAAAAACAAAAACAAAAGTAAGCATCAGGAAGAATGCTCTTATTCAAAGAGCTCTTTTTATGTCAATATACCTGTGTGGTTACCCACTGAACACTTTTTATGTTCATGTACTGGATGCATATTCCTTTCACTTCAGTTGTGAAATCTCCTAAAATCTCCTGCCCTGCCACTCCATGGCCACAAGAAGTCACTAAAGTAAAGAAAGTAGCCTTTCAGAAGGGGAAATGGAGTTAGCAGGTGATAAAATGGTAAACACATGCAGGTAGACCTCATCAGGTTGGTTAAAGTTTTAGTTTAGTTCAACAGAGTATCATTAAAGATATTTTTAGGATTAAACTTTATAAGTGTTTCTAACCACCTAGTAAAAATTAAACATCTCTAACCACTACCTCGTATTCATTCAGAGAAACAAGGTCATATTCGAATAATTGTCACTTCCTGTACAAATGAAACTGCTGATGTTTATTATGCTGTAAGTCCCCTTATCTAAACCTGTGATTCAAATTCTGTTTATTATAATCACCTGGACTTCCTCCACAGGTGTCAGCTGACCTCCCACCTGAACACCTGGAGATCCTGTCATACATCTCTCTGATTGGCTGCAGTCTGTCCCTGTTGGTCCTGGTCATCACTGTGCTGCTCTTCTGCTTTAAAAGGTCGTTTATTTCTCGTCCCTCAATTTTCATCCCATCTTACTGTCAGTTTGATATTTTTGTGAGTTATCTGCTTTGTTATTTGAATTCACATCTTAATTCCTCTTTTTTTCTGATCAGATTTTTTCACCTGTTTAAAAAAAATACTGTTCAGTCAATGTGCGCTCTCGGGATGATATGATCTGGCATGATTCAATTCATACTTTTATGACAGACTGTGTGCAGAGCTTCAGGTTCAGAGTTTATTTACACCTGGCTTTAAAAAAGCACCTGAAAGCTTAATGCCAGCTCTATTAAATTTAAGAGGAACTGTAGTGCAGTGCATTGTGTGTGATGGAGACTGGTGGACTTTTTACAGAGGGTTTTTCCAAACCAGTTAGACATCCAGGTGTTAACAAATGCCCAATCGGTGCATATGACTTGTGAAGGAGGCTAGGATCAATGCAACATGTCAACCACTCTCAGGTGATAAAATAAGGAAAAAGAAACAGGCCATCTTTATATGATGGTTTGTTTCCTTTTGATTACTTACAAAGAGGCTTCAGAATACTTCCTTCTGTTTTATTTTTACCAGCTAATAAGCTTCACAGTAACTTAAACTGTCCTCCATCCTGCAGGAAAGTCCGAACAGACATCTCCATGAAGGTCCACATCAATCTGGCCTTTGCTCTCATCCTCCTTAACCTGCACTTCCTCCCCAGCCAGCAGGTAGCAACGCTGGCCTCCTCTGGGCTGTGTCTGTACTTTGGCCTGGCTCTCCATTACTCCCTGCTGGCCACTTTCAGCTGGACTGCCTTGGAGGGCTTCCACCTCTACCTCCTGTTGGTTAGAGTCTTTAACATCTACATCCAGAGGTATCTGCTCAAACTCAGCCTGCTGGGGTGGGGTGAGTACAGCGCTGAAACCCTTCACCATGACCTAGAGGTTAAGCAAATAAAACAATGAAAAAAGTTCAAGAAAAATGTGCCAACAGGAACAGTGTTAACTTTTCTTACAGCATTGGGAAGATTTCTAATTTACAGAAATTTGACTGATGCTCAAAAAACATAGTTTGTCATTAAAAAAAAGGAAGTTTCCTCTGCAGGAATGGAAATAACCCAATGACAAAATCAAACTCACTTTCACAAGGACAAAGAAAAAAACCATCTTATACATGTGAAACCTGATCTGGGTTTTGCAACTATTATTGTCCCACTAGCTAAACTAAGATCACACAAGCCAGAGTTTAGAGTTTCCAACTGTGGTACCAGACTCACTCAAAACTAAATCCCTAAAACACAGTCCATTAAGTGATCTGAGATATTTAGAAATCTTAACCACTCAGCCAAACTGAGGTGCAATAATATTAAAATTCAATATATCAGTGAGGCATGCTCTTTCAGTTTGCAGCACACTTTAATGAGGTAATGAGTTATTAGAAAAAGAGACTTCTATCCACCACAGAAGACAAACACTGGGGGACTCTATTTTCATCTGGCGCAGCCTGGCGCACAGCCAGTTTGGTATTTTCCTAGACTGAGGCACACTGAGGTCCGCCAAGCTCGGCGTGGTGGCGTGGCAGGGGAGGTGTCGACAGAATCAGCTGGCGCAGGGACATTTTCTCGCTCGCTGGTGGTGTGTAAAGTGCGCTGAAAGCTCGCCGATTCAAACCTGGTCAACTTTCAGCGCAGCTGGTCTAGTGGTATTTGGTAGACCGGCTGCATGTTACGCATACGTCACCAACGCCTCACCGGCAGGTTTCCACAGTGTCAGGCACATTTCAGTACAATAAATAATCATCAACAATCACTATTCAGTGCAACGATCTGAATCAGCATATATATTCAGCTCTATATCGATATATTCTGACCTATATCTTATCTGATGAGCGCGTTTGGCACGCGTTTGGACACTCCACCTGACAGAATTAACACAGCTGAAACCGCAATAAATTAAATATCCAGTAAACAGTCACACATGATGAAGTTAACAGGATATTTAATTCGTCTCCCCACTAATCCTTCTTCTTTCTCGTGCAGCTCGATAGGTGTTGTGCCGTAGAATGCACCCCTGCCGTAGAATGCATCCCCTGCATCCCATCCATAGAAGTGGAAGAAAATGATCTCATATTTAAAAAAAAACAAAAAAAAAAACACGAGTATTGGATCATGACAACACGTCAGCAGCAAACTTTCGTTCTGTTTTCAGGTATTTAAAAAATGTACATACAGAGGTGTACTTGGGTATAAAAACTGTACAGTAAGCTGTTAAGGTAGAGAACATTAGATTTTCGGGGCAGTAAATATTCAGAATCAGAGGGCTATTGTTTTCGGCATATCTGAATAGCCTGAATGAAATTATGAAAGGCGCACGCTTTTGAATCAGTCCAACGGTAAGGAAAACTTGGATTATTTTGCCTTGTCGTATACTTCCAACCACGCTCCTGTCAGGGGGTGCATTCTACGGCAGGGGTGCATTCTATGGCACAACACCTGACATGTCTCTGTGTACTCTCTCCATCCTGCTGCTGCTGCGGTGGCTCTGATTCTGTAAATATTCAATCTGGAGTTAGACCCACATACGAATATTCAGTTTTGTGAGCCAAATTTATTTTATATGCCAACATCTATGAAAGAAAGAGCCAGGCCATGGAGCATGATGCGTCATTATGCACAGATGGTTCCGATTTTAATGCTATTATTGGAATTTATGTTGTGATCTATGAGCATAACCCACCTTTGTTATGTGGGGTTTAAATAGATGCAATTTTATGTGAGTGTCTTTATTTGTGGAAAAGGGTGTTTGTCTTACCAGTGGGTCCAACATTACACACACCAAATCCATCTGTTCTTATATGAGAGAGTGTGGAGGACGCCCTCTGCAGCGCTTACAGCGACACTTGTTGAGGGGCTGCCTTCTGTCGCCATCGTGTGGCATTACTGTCTTCAGACATCTCTTGATCTCTTCGACTACTGCACGAAAATTGTAATACGCCTTGCTGGTGGCGGATTTATAGGCGAGGAAAGGAGCTGGTGTTATTGGTCAATACAGGTCTCAGCTGTGTTAAACCCACTCCACGCCCTCTCTCGTCCCTCCCTACAACTTACGCCGCTGGGAGGAGCTGAGTTAGGGAGAGGGGATACTTACGCCGGGCTGCGCCGCTCACCAAAATACCAAATTGTGCTTGGGAATGTCTTGTCGGTGTGGCAGACCTGACTTACGTCGCGCCTGCAGCACGCCACCAGAGAGGCACGAAAATAGAGCATTGTGTCCCAGGAGAAGTTATAAACCATAATAACCTCTTTGGTAGGGATGAGTATTTACTGTCCTCTTAGCTTCAGCTCAGAAACGTTGAGGTGACAAAAGTTTGATTCTTGTGTTTCAGGTGTCCCTGTGGTCATCGTGTCCGTGGTGGTTGCCATAGACAGAGAAGCTTATGGTGTCTTCCCCCTGGACTCCTCGAACCCAAACAGCACTGAAATGTAAGACAGTAGGAACAACTAACCAACATGGAAATAGACCATTTTCTCCACTGCTTTATAACTAAGCTGGAAACTTACTAAATCAATATTTAGTGTATACGTTTTAAATTTACATAAAAAGGTTCATAAAAAGTCAATTCATCTCTGTAGTCTGAAGACTTTATAGATACACACACAGGTAGACACAGATACACACAGATACATTATGTTAGTTTTTATGCTGCTGTTTAAACACTACATTTTAGTACTTGCTGACAGACTTTTAAAATCTAAACTGATTCAGAAAACCTCAGTCTAAGTTTATGCTTCCTGTTTACAGTCGTTGCTATTTTCGTTCCCTCTCTTCATTCGCTGTTCCCTCTCTACTCTGCTTGTTTCCTTACCTCTCTCGATGCATTTGGTATTGGTATTTGGTATCTATGCATTGGGTTGGTACATGATTGAAGCCTGAACAATATGTTTTCATTCAAAAGAGATGGAGCCTGTGTGATTGATTAGCAGAGGAACATGACTTTATGAAGAGAGGGTGGAGCCTGTTTGAGGGTTTAATGGATTTTACCAAATGAAAATGGGCGGAGCCTGTCTCCTGGTGCTTCCTCTCTTTTTTGTGTCCCCCCTCCTGAGATCGGCCTTATGTTAGCCCTGAATGTTGCTCCTGCTGTCCTCTCAGCCCATCTCTGGTTTTGGTTTTATGTTGGACGTTTTTTTTTTTTTTGTTTGTTTTTTACTTTTGATGAATAAACGTTCACATAGTCAAACATGTCATCTCCCTCGCTTTAACACACGTGGCATTGTATTGTTTTCCTGTTTTAGTGAATTTGTTTCGGTGACTGAGTTTTGCTCTTCTCCTCCTCTCTCTGTAGATGCTACATCGTCAATAACACGGTGAAGATGGTGACAACGGTGGGAGCGTTCAGCCTGGTGTTCTTCTTTAACCTCATCATGTTGGGGGTGGCCATCAGACGGGTTGTGGGTCTGCGTCGGAATAAACAGGTTGGAGTTGTCCACATTATGAATGATTTTCTTCATGTCTATGACAGTGGTCTGCAGCAGGAGTTTAATGGTTGATGTAGTCTGACTTTAGACTTTAGACTTCGACTATATTGTCCCCATGAGAAATAAATCTACTTAATAAAATAAAATAAAACTTAATAATAATATAATAATAATAATAATAATAATAATAATAATAAACTTAATAAAATCTACTTTTGCTATCTGTCCCCAAAGTTCGTCTTGAAATGGGCATAAGAAGTTTTAGATATGCTGCTCCCACAGACTGGAACCTACTTTAAGAAAAACTGTGTCTTTGAGAGCAGGGCCTCATGTATCAACGCTTGCGTGGGACTCATACCGGAAACGAGCGCACGCAAGGTCCGTCACGCAGAAAAAAAATTTGTATGTATCAAGGTGTGCGGGCGCCGAAAGCCACATATGTTTCCTTGATAAATCCCAATCAGCTCGGAGTCATCGGCCAGGACCAGCGGCATTTGGGCCACCCCGGCCCCAGCACCAGCACCAGCGCGCCGACAAGCGGTGGAGCGTCCACCAGCCGCGGCGCTTCCGCTGGACCACCCGGACGCAGTGGAAGGGTCCTCACGGAGGCGGTCCTGCAATCGCAGGAAGAAATCATCAGGGGGATCAACGAGCGGCTGGACAGGCTCGTAAATGTCCTCGAGCGTTTGATGGAGAAAATAAATTAATTTGGCTCATTGAACTGTGTGTTCACTTCTTACCCAATCACATTGTGGCGATTAGATTCTCCCGCGCGAGGACGGCCGCCCGGCAGGGATCAGCTCGCATCCCTCCGTCTGCTGCTGGTTCGTCATGTTAGTACTTGAGCCAAGAACCAAAATTTCACATATCGGTACCACCTGGGTGGGCAAATTCTAGTTGTGATTTTTTTATTGCTATACATCCCTACAGTAAGTTTTTATATGATAGACCTTGGTAACTGGTAGCTTTATTGTAGTTATCACTCATTGAAGTAATAGAGTGCAGCTGTTCAAAAATGAAAAATCGCCTTCCTTCAAAATTAGCTTTCTTTGATTTTAACCTCTCATTTAGGTGTGTTTGAACTATTGGCTAGCCATAGAGACTTGTAATAACCCCCTTAGTAGTATTTCAAGTAATTTATCTAATACAGGTGTGTATTTATAAGCTTCAATTAGCCAATTGTCAGGTCTAAATCAAGGTCTAAATTAAGGATATTTTTTAACTTAGAAGTAGAAGTAAAATAAATGCAGACTAATAGCATTATAATAACACAACTTTAATATGACACTGACATATTTTCAATGCAGGAACTCAATATACAATCATCCTGGCTGGTGCAACGCAAGTATCGGCTCAACGCCAACTTCTACACCACCTCCTCACTTTGCTCGTGTCGCGATGATAAATCTGGACGTGTGCGCCGATCTTGGCGAACGCAAGGTTTTCTGGCGTGAAGTGGGTGTTAAGTGGATGTGGGGTGTCTTTTTCTATTGCAGTTGTGATGTGTGTAATTGCCCTGTTGATGGGATCTGTTAGATTTGGTGTGAAGAGACGGATTATTTTGGGAGCTGTGGTGGTTCTGCGTGTGAGTTTGGCCTTGTTTTTAGCAGAAAGCCTGTTGTAGAAGCAGGTTTGACAGGACAGAAGTATGATCTGTGCTGTCGCAGCAGAGCATGCGCCATTAACAAACTTATTTATTCAGGCTGCAGGTAAAAAAAACTGAAGACTAGGAACAAAACCAACCAATCCAACTACTGTAGTGATTTGTGTATCATGTGTGACGTAGCCATGTGTCTCACCTACTATCTTGGTTTCTTCATCAGTCTAGACAGATTGAAGGCGATAGAGTGAAGCGAAATACCTGCACCCTGCTTGGAATCACCGTGCTGCTCGGTGTCCCCTGGGGTTTGGTCTTCTTCTCCTTCGGTTACCTGACTGTACCTGGACTCTATGCTTTCTGCATCCTGAACTCACTGCAAGGTTTGCCCACACAACCCACTTTGGAATGTCTATCTGATTAAACTTTTGCTTGTGTTGGGTCAGCAAACACCATGGGAAATTTTATTGAAACATAGCCCTGTTCAGGCTCATGATAGACTTCATTTCAGAATTAAAACTCACTAGACCTGTTTTTGTGTATCAGACTAAAGATTGTCTGTCCTGCTGCTAACAGTAGTATCTCTGTGTCGGGGGAAAAACAACATCAGAGACAAACTGTGTCAAAGACAACCAAGTATTGTTTACTGATAACAGTGACCGTCATACTCTGGTACATTATCAGGGATATTTGCATGACTGGCCTAACCCTCCTCTTCTCTTCTGTTTCTCTGTCCTCCCACTCAGGTTTCTTCATTTTTCTCTGGTTTCTGATGTCTCTGAGAAAGATCAGAAGCTCAGCAGCAGTGATGACGGGCAGCACAACACAGAGTACTAACAACTGACCGCAGACGAAACATAGAGGAACAACCCAGAGACAAAGACTGCCTGTCTGCATGTGTTACTCTGTGTGTGTTTTTATCAAGGTTGCCTTCCGTCCTTTATAATCATAGACTGTATATAGAATGGACACCGTCTGCCTCCTCGCTGGGTAAAGCCACTCCAAGAACAGCACCCTCCAGCAAAGCTTATGGGGCTGTGGACCAACTTTAGAAATTTATTACACAGAACATAAATTTTTCTTCCCCCCGCGTGGGATGTTGACATGTAGTTATTGTAACACTAGTTTGTGCTCAAGTCCTCTTTTTTCTGTGAAGCTCCGTTTTAAAAAATTATTAGGGGGTTCATGTTTGCTATTTGATAATGATTTATGGAGTGATGATAATGTTTATATTGCACATGAATCTCTTCGTCCTAACATTAAATGCCACTCCAGTGGGTTCAGAGTGATAAGGGACCCTTTTAAGATTAATCGAATGTTACTAATTGTCTTTTTAGTGTCTTCATAGGCTTTATAAAATCTGTTCATTTTGAGGTTGTATCTTAAGTTTTGTGATTAAAAATTTGTGTCTGTTGAAGAGTTGAGTCAGTGTTAATTCTGTCATTTGACATATGTATCAGCCAGCTCAGTTTTACAAATGAAAACATTAAATTAAACCAGAACGACAATTTCATGAAGAACTTAAATGAATTACTTTGAATGAGGATTACTTCCAGCTTGTCTTTTCTTTCCTTCATTAAAATTCTAATTGGATCTGACATCTTCACACCAATACAGAAAACTAAGTCTGATGATTCAAATTTACTTGAGGAGGAACCCCAAACCCCCTTTCAGAACCGGAGCCTCAGTGTGTTTTATCAGGAGTGTGTGTCACTGTGTGTGTGTGTGTGTGTGTGTTTTGTGTGTGTGTGTGTGTGTGTGTGTGTGTGTGTGTGTGTGTGTGTGTGTGTGTGGGTGTGTGTGTGTGTGTGTGCGCGTTACTCAGTGTGTCTTATTCTGTGTGGTTCTTGGTGTAATTCTAAAAATCACAAAAAAGCCACAACTACAGATTATTATTATTATTGATTATTATGACAATATTGCAGAAAATATTTCCATTTAAAAAAAAATATGTAGTAATAACATATAATCATAACAGATAATTATTTATTTTTACAAATTATAACTTCAGATATTTATCACAGAGTATCAAATTCAGATTGTTATAACTTAATTTTTACAGATTATTAAAGTATGTCATTATTACAGATTATAAAATTAATATTGTTATTTATCACTTCAATTTATAACAATGGAAGATTATGACTACAGATTATTATATTCACAGAGAATGTTACAGAGTGTAAGTACAGACCATTATTCAAGAGAACGTCTACAGATTATTATTATTACAAAATGTTATTACAAATAATAAAACAGATAATTACCAATAATCAATAAAGATTTTTGATATATATTTAGAATTACAGGTAATAAATACAGAAACACACTATTTTTTTTCATCTTCAAACACACATGTCAGAGATATTGATTATTTGTACAGATAATTATTACAGATGATGATGGACTGTTGCTATCAGTATTACTGATAACAAAGATTATTTTTACAGAGTAATATAATCCATAATCATAGCAGATTATCAACACAGATTGTTATCACAGATATTTATTACAGAAATGTGTTACTTGTAAGTGTTTTTATTCATTATGACATTGGAAAATATCCACAGGTTATTACTACAGATTTTTATGATAACAGACCCCCATGGGGGATCAATAAAGGAATATTCTATTCTATTCTATTTTTATAGATGATCAGTAGTACAGATTACTGGCTGTTTTTTTCATACCACACAGCGGGTCCATTAATTTGTCATGGAACCTTAAATCAACAGCCTGCTAAAAACATCTTCAGCTGCTTATTTCAATGAGCTTGAAGATTAAGAATATTAACAGTTTTAATCCACTCTAACATGAACTTAAAAACACAGTCTGTGAAAACCAGTATGCAGTTACAGAGAGAAATGACAGGTGTATAAATGTGTCCATCACAGACTTCACCTTAAGGGTTAAATCATTAACACATCTCCTGAGCTGACTGAACATACGCTGAAAAAAATAACTCATAAGATTTACTTAAAAATATATTGTAAGTATTTGCGCACAAATGATTTAGGGAAAATTTAATGCTGAAATATCAAGTAAAATTTAATGTTGAAATATCAAGTAACACTCACTTGCCAGTATCAAGTACATTTTCCTTTCCATAAAACATAACAGTTGTGAATATATTCAGTAACATTTACTTAATTATATCCAAGTTTTCAGTAAAAAAATATTTAAACAAATTAAGTAAGGTCTATTTGTTTTTAATAGGCAGGAACCTCATTTTAATAAAAAATTTAGGTACATTCTATATCTGTAGTATTTGCTGTTATGAAGTAATTAAGTAGATATTAATTATTTTCTTGTGCTTAACATTTTAATGTACTTGGTTCATCTGATTTCATATAGCACTTCATCAGAGACCCTCAAATCCCTTTCCATTGGATACAGCATTCATTTGCTCAAACAGTCACACCCTGGTGGTGGTAAACTACCTTAGCAGTCACAGCTGTCCTGGGGCAGACTGACAGAAATGTGGCAGTCAGTTCGCTCCTACGGCCTCTCCGACCACCACCACACAACACTCACAATCATACACCAGTGGAGGACAGGCACTGGGAGCAAGGTGGGTTGAGTGTATTGCCCAAGGACACAATGGACAGACTAGCGATAAGGGGGAATTGAAGCTACTGCCACCCCCTGCCTTGCTCTGTGATCCTGTAATGTCCAGACTCGAAGCAGAGCCACTCCTGTTGTTTCAAAACGCTAAATTTTCAGAGTAAAGTTTATGTAATATTTGTAAGTTTATGTACATACAACTATTTAAAATTTAAATTGAGTCAGGAAACCTAAGTAAAACTTAATCTTCCCAGATAATTCATGTATTACGTAAAAAAAAAAGTTAAATTTTACTTAAGAAAATTTAGTTCTTACTGAATCTTAAAAATACAAGGTAGAAATTATGACAGGGTTTAATAGGTTTTACTGCACCAAAAAGTCACTTTTTTCAGAGTGAGAAGGTGTTTCTGTGGACAGACCTGTTCCTGTCAGAGTGCAGTTTACCTGTCAGGTCAGTCATTATCATAGAAACAGGAACATACTCAACTGCTGTCATTCTGTCAAACTAATAAAACGGTTTTGCATAAAACAAATAACCTCCTTTTGGCTCAACACAAGCTGCTCTGTTGCTGCCTGTCAGTTGGAACTCACCTGAAACTTACCTGAAACAGAGTTCGTCCACCCCCACCTGTCTGAGTCTCAGGTAAGAAGCAGCTAAAACAAAGTACTAATGCAGTTTTATTCTGAGGTGCCTTTCCTTTATTCTAGCAGATATTGAGGTACTGTCTGTGATTATGAGGGAGGTGTACTTTCTAAAACTTTTGACTGATGTGAAAAGGTGAGTGTGAGTGTGTGTGTGTGTGTGTGTGTGTGTGTGTGTGTGTGTGTGTGTGTGTGTGTGATTGAAATGTTTTAAGCTTTCAGAGTTTTTTACTCAGAGTTTAAAGTCAAGTTCCTTCAGTTAAACTCTCATTTTTTGTTTCTTGACCATGGAAGTTTTTACCTGGTGCATCCATCAGGAGACAGTAACAATGATGAGAGTAAAATGAGAAATAAAAAACATTTTTAAAGCATGTTTATAAATAAAGTATTATAAATTTATAAAATGTCTGCTATCTTTTTAAAATAAATTCATTTTCTCCTAAAGTCACTGCCTTTATCTTTTAGGGAAATTAAATCTGGTCACTGTTTTTAATTGTTTGAGAATTCCCTAAAACAGTTTGTGGTGAATAAAAAGTTTGTTTTCATCAGTAAAATCTGTGTTATTTCAGCAGCGTTAAGCCTCCCCAGAAGGCTTTGCTTTAAGGTAAGTGTGGTCAGAGCTGACTATCAGTCTGCTGTAAAGTGCTTTATTCTCTCTATTTGAGCCATCGATCACAGATCCTCAGGAAATATGATGGTTCTCTTTCTGCTGGTGGTGCTGCTGTCTGGACTGATGGCTGATGAAGGTATGTGTGTCTTCTTTAATAATAACTTGAACAAAAACTTTATCCAGTTGAAGCAGCTCTGAAAACAAAGACAGCTCGACAAAGTCAGGTTGAAACTACTGACATGACAGAGAAAACATTTTACTGTCAAGCCAAAAATTCCAGACATACATATGCATGATTATAACAACCAACTCCTGGTTTCTGTGGGAGAAATATCAGAACAGGGACTTGAAACATATTATTGAGAAGGAAAAAAAAAGGTATTTTACCAGAATAAAGTTAGAGTCCTGCTGTTGATTTGATGCTGTTAAAAATGTTGAATCTCATGGTTTTAACTTTTTCAAAACTGTTTAAACTAAGTAATTTTTATGACAGTGTGTACTCTGTTAATTTCTTACCCTGTGATTTTGTCCTCAGTTTGTGTCAGGGTTTCTGATAAGGGCACTAGGACCACTTCAGCAAATATTTCAGTGGTTGAAAATTTGGGCGAGTCAGTTGCATGCCATCTAGATGGAGAGAAATGCCTCTTCATTTGCATGTTTGAACAAAAAACCTGGTTTAATGGATCCGAAGTGTGCTTGGAAGCTGACACTGAAGTTACCCCGGGCAAAACCACATTCACCTTTCCACAGATGCAAGGTCTCCAAAGCAGTATGCAGCTCAATTTCTCAGTGAAACACTAACATCTGGCTCTTGTAAATTATATCCACACCTTCTATGAGGTTGCATGTCAGGTCTGACTTCACTCTTGCTCCTCAGGTCCAAAATGCAGTGCTTACTTGTGCATTAACAACCCTGTCATAGAGCTCATGACTGAGTTGGACCAGCCCAGCTCTCTGCAGAGGGAAATGTTTCGTCTCCTGTACATCAGAAACTCCTGTGAAGACCTGTTTGCCAAAGACTTAAAAGTGAAAAAAAGCTTCGTCAAGTAAGTGCCAGGATTACTGTTTCAGGTCAAACAGTTTCATACACACAGCAAAGTTTTCAGAGGCATTATACAAGGTCGGGGTGGGGGGAACTTCCAAGGGGAAGGTGGCCCTCCATCTTTACATATCTTTAGAAATTTAGCTGTTGTTATTGTTTTTCTTCTGAAGTAATAATTGTTATGAAACAAATAATCTGTCCAATGATGAATAAGATACTCAAAAGTCTTATGGAAAAAAAATGTCTCAGTCAGGGGCCCCTGTTACCCGAAAGTAAGTGATGTTGCAGGCTGCATAGTGCGATATTAGATGAGTTAGTGATATCGGTGATAGACTAGCGAACAGAGGCAAAGATCAGACAGAACCTGGCTCTTGAAGACATGGAGTTACAAAAGAAAATGATCTTTGTTCTTGTTAATCACTCGTTTTTGATCAGAAGTTTTGTTTCTTAAAGCTTTAACTGAGTTTCTCACAAAACAGAGTTTTTGTTTTAATTATCGGCAGGGTTGGCCCTGCTGTAGTGATGGGGCTAAGTGAGACATATTTTATGGGCCCTGAATTCAGTGACATTTTAACAAGCTCTCAGGCGTCATGTGATAAAATCAGTTTTAAAAAGGAGCTTCATGATACCTCCTTATACACCTCTTCATACACCCCCATATTAGAGGAGGGAATTACACACTACCTACATTATCTCACCCTGAATATTTTCAAAGTGACACACCTTTTGGCTGAGCTCAACAACAAACAATAACATTCACTGCAATAAAGACAATTTCAGACCAAAGTTAATGCTCTGTAATCCTCTGTCAAACTGCATGCACGGACATTACAAAACATGGGTCAAACCATGACAGTCATTGCTGCTCTGAAAGAAATCTGTTTGCACGTTTTTTTTTTTTCTCCTGTCCCTCTGCAGAGTGGAGAAAGAAATAATCCACAACATCATGGAGAAAACCCTGATTAAGCCCGGTGGGTCCAAATTGTATGACATGAAGGATTTGTCTCTGAATGTGATCAGCATCAACCAATCTGAGCTCAACCTGACAGGAACTAACTCCACGATCAAAGTGGAGGCTCCACAGGTACTCCGGCTGAGGTCAAAGGAAAGGGGGAAGATGTTGAGTGTCTGACACAGCTCTCACAGTTCAACATCATCTTTTCCATATTTGCTATTAGTTGCTGCTTGAGAATCAGTCTTTCATTCCTCGTATTTGGCTGCCGATGGACGCCCTGCAGGACATCCCTCAGGAGAAGAGGATAATCACTTTGGTCAGCTACATGAGAAGGAGCCATTTAACAGTAAATCATAAATCTTCTATATCATGTTATAAACCAATCTGCTAACAGATCAGACAGGTTTCAGTCATTAGGGTGTCATTAAACTCTGACTCTTCTGTCTCTTAACGTTTCTTCAGCTTAGAGAGGAGGAGATCCACAGTATTGTCCTCAGAATTGAGCTGTTGGGGGATCGACAGCTGCAAGATCTGAGCACGCCAATTCAGATGTTTTTCAGAGTCGCTGAGCTCAAAGTAAAAGATGTAAGTGTGTTTGTGCAGTTATCTTTAAATGTTGATATCACTGTTTTTTAATATGTGTGGTACTGATTTTAGGGTTTTCAGGCAAGAAGGCTGACCGGATTTATGTTCTCAACAAATATTGGGCTCTATTTTTATGCTTTGCCGGAGATGTGGCGCAGGCGCGGCGTAGGTCAGGTCCGTCGTGCCGACAAGGCGTTCCAAAGCACAATTTGGTATTTTGGCGAGTGGCGCAGCCCGGCATAAGTATACCCCCTCGGCGTATTGTATTGGGAGGGCGTATTACAATTTTCGTGAAGTAGTTAGAGATCAAGAGATGGCTGAAGACAGCAATGCCACACGATGGCGACAGGAGGCAGCCCTTCAACAAGTGTCGCTGTCAACGCTGCAGAGGGCGTCCTCCACACTCTCTCATATATGCGCAGATGTATTTGGTGTGTGTTACATTAATTTGCATATATTTAAACCTCATGTGACAAATGTTGGTTGTGCCCACAGATCACAACATAAGCAAATTCCAACCACCTTTGTGTAATCAGGCATGAAAATCTCTCACCTTTCGGCGAAATTCGCCGTTTTGAAATCAAAAACGGTGACCTACGTGAATCGTGTAGATCCGAGGACAAACGTTTTTTTTTTTTTGGGGGGGGGGGGGGGGTCGGGAGATTTTTTTTTTTCTTTTATTATCATGTGATTCACTCAATACGTAAACTGAGCACTTCAGAAATCGGCACTTTAAATGACACTTGGACGGTCAGTAAATCCTCCTGGCTCCTTCGCTGACGAGAACCAATCATAGGCCAAACTGCGTTCCATTATTCCAATCATGCGCACACTCTTCACGTGTACTTGGAGTGCTCGGAGAGCCTGTGGTAGCATTGCAAAGCTGCGAGAACGAGAAGCAGGACTTATCCACGCCGGTGTTGTGCCGTAGAATGCACCCCTGCCGTAGAACGCCCCCCTGACGGGAGCGCGATTGAAAGTGCACAACAAGGCGAAATAATCCAAGTTTTGAGCCATCTAAAATAGCGAGAGCGGGCGTCTCGCGTTTACTGTTCTGCAGGGCTCTCAAGTCTCATGCATTCAGCGTGTGACACACGCATTCCCACCCCTTCACACGCCACACATTGTATTTCTCACGCATTTATATGAACATGGTGATGTCCACCAAGTTGCACCTCTGTAACAATGGAACAGGTGGAAATCAACTGAGTTCCTCCGAGAGTTCAGAAGCTGCGTGCCACGCGCAAGCCAATCAAATAAAGTATATCTACTGAACAGCCAATCAAAAAGCAGCATTGCCGTATCCGGGTAGATTTCGATATATTGCGGTTTGACTACAGAAGAAGACAGACACTCGCCGAAATAGAGCAGGTTTTTATAAGGACGAGAAAGACCCGATGATTACAGTAAGTCGGTAACCTACACATGCAGAGACCTCCACACTTCATGGCAGATAAACTCATATGATAAACTAAAGCCCTATGCTATTGCTATTAACAGCTGTATTGACAGATTTAGCCTCTGTGCAGCCATTTCCAGCCATTTTCCCCTCCACAAAAGCAGCATTTCTTATATATTCTTTTTAAAGTTCTGACAGTACAATTCATCTAAATGCTCCTCAGTGCTGATTTTAGCAACTCTCCTCCACAACAGGTAACTTTACGACTTTATTCTTAGATATTAATGACTTTATTCTCCTAAATAATAACTTTATTGTCTAAGATTTAAAAACGTTTTTTGTCTTAATGTGGCCCTCATACTCCGTTGTATTTAAGAGTTTATTATACTATTAAACTATATTATCTAAATGTATGTGATGATTGAGATAGTTGCACTGAATAGTGATTGTTATTGATTAGTTATTGCACTGAAAGCTGCCTGACACTGTGGAAATCTGCTGGTGAGGCATTGGTGACGTATGCGCACTACGCCGCCGGTCTACCAAAATACCACTAAACCAGCTGCGCTCTGCCTGCGCTGAAAGCTGACCAGGTTTGAATCAGTGCGCTGAAAGCAACTCCCCCTACCACGCCACTACGCCCAGCTTGGCTGACCTCGGTGTGCCTCAGTCTATGAAAAAACCAAACTGGCTGTGCGCTGGGCTCCGCCAGACAAAAATACCAATGTGTGGGAACGAAAATAGAGCCCCTGGTGTTTTGTTTCATTGTGTCTTCTACTGGCTCAGAGGCAGGTGTGTGGGAACAGGATTAGGGGGTCAGTCACAAAGACTTAATCCTCACTGGTTTGCTTCTTGCTCTTTACCATATGACTCACAAACATCAAACTGATCAGCTCACTTGATCTGCTTTTGTATGGAGTCAGCCTCTGGTGGACACTTGGGGTACTGTAGCCTTTTGCATGTCCACTGGAGACTGTTGGTTGTTGCTTTTTGTTGAAAATGTTTCTGTTTATGTGTCTTTCACAGAACAACACACAATTACTGTGTCAATACCTGGATGAAGACGGTAAGACTAACAGTGTAAAACTCATCTCTGAATTTTGGGATTCAGACAAGCTTAACCCCTCACTGAAAAAAACAGAGAGTTTATCAGTATATTAACATTTATCTACAGTATCAGTCCTGACTAAACTCAGCAGGCTGTCATGTATTTACTCTCAGACTTGTACTGGAAAACTGACGGGTGTGAGACTGACAATGAAGACGCAACAGACATAAAATGCAGCTGTACTCACACCACACCGTTTGCCGTGTTGCTGGTGAGATTAATTGTGTTTCTGACTAATATTTCTAACTGATGCATTCATTTCAAACAGATTTTAATTAAACTGCTTATTAACATATCTAATCATGTTCTCCTCTCCTGCTATAAACCTCTACTGTTTGGCATAGCTTTGTGCTTCTGGGTTTAAAATGATTCAGGTAAAGGTGTGCTCATAAATCAGGTGTCTCCTCTGCAGGTGAGGGAACCTGTCGCAGAAATCCACTGGAAGATCCTTTCATACATTAGCTACATTGGCTGTGGCCTGTCTGCGTTCTTCACTGCCCTGTCGCTCATCATCCACGTCACCAGTCAGTGAGTCTGTGCTGAATCTGCAAACACACAGTGACGCACACCATGCACAAACACACACCCCCACACACGAGCACACACAGAATTACACAAAAAACACACACCTTAACAACAACAAAAACATCACGTCACATACAAAGTTTAGTTAAGTTTAACTCAGTTAAGTTGATTTTATTTCAAGTCTTATAAAGTTTAGTTGAGTTAAACTCAGTTCAGTTTAATTTGGTTTAGTTTACTTTTTTCTAGTTCAGTTTAGTTTACCTCCATTCAGTTGATCTTAGTTTAATTGAGTTAACTTATTTATTTATTTATTTTTTTAATTAAGCTTAGTCCAGCTTACATTAGTTAAGTTTAGTAAAGTTAAGTTATTCTGGTTTAAATAGGTTCAGTTCAATTCGGGTTAATTTAGTTTACTTTTTTATAGTTTAATTTCATTTAGTTCAGTTCAGTTTCAGTTAATTCAGTTTAGCTTAGTTCAGTTTAGTGTAGTTATTTCTAGTTAAGTTCAGTTCAATTTAATTTGTTTAAGTTTAGTTTACTTCCATTCAGTTGATCTCAGTTTAATTGAGTTAACTTTTTTTTGTTTGGTTTAATTTAGTCAAGTTTAGTCCAGCTTAAATTAGTTTAGTTTAGTAGTTAGTTTAAGTTAAGTTTTTCTGGTTTAAACAGGTTCAGTTCAGTTCAATTCGGTTTAATTTAGTTATGTTATATTTAGTGTAGTTTTTTTCAAGTTAAGTTCAGTTCAATTTAATTATTTTTTGTTTAGTTTACATTTTCTTCTAGTTTAGTTCATTTCAGTTGATTATAGTACAATTCAGTTAAGATTAGTTTAGTTAAGTTCAGTTCAATTGTGATAAGTTTAGTTAAGTTCAGTTTGGTCAGTTATTTTTTGTCAAGTTTAGCTTAGTTCAGTTTAGTTTAATTTAGTACAGTTCACTTTAGATTAGTTAAGTTTTGTTCAGTTAATTTTTGTTTAGTTCAGCTTAGTTTAGTTTAGCACAGTTCAGTTTAGATTAGTTTAGTTAAGTTTACTTTAGATTAGTTTTGATTAATTTGTTTAGCTTAGTTTAGTTTAGTTTAGCTCAGTTTCGTTCAGTTCAGTTTAGATTAGTCAGTTTAGGGGCCTATTCTACGAAGCAGGATTACTGCTTAGCGAGGTAACTTCGAGGGTAAAGTTAGGGGTTTTCTTTTCTACGATGCGGGTTCACTTCTTAGCGAGGTGAGTCTCCATGGCAACATACGCTGAACGGCTAACCTGCTCCGGGGCAGGTTAGGTTCCAGATTGAACTCACCGAGTATAAAAACCCTGCCCACTGACCAATGAGCTCTCTCGAAAAATGGCTTGTCCGTTCTTGGAGGATCTTATAGACCTAGGTGCTCGCATTGTCTGAGGAGCACTCGCTCGTGAGAGTTTTCAGGGACCGCATGGACCCACTTACTTTTCTGGATGACCACCTTTATGAAAGGCTCATATGGCCTACATATCACACAAAAAATGTTTACACAATAGGACTGAACAGATGAATGAATTCATCTTGGAAACGAATTAGACATGTCTGATGCATGTTAAAAGCGCATGTGGCACACGCTCATAGCAAAGCTGGATCCACTTACGAGGTTGATAACCAGCTTCGTAAGACCGTTTAGCAAGACCGCTGGCTACCGCACTAAGTTGAGCGAGGTAGCTCCAAGGCTACCTCACTCGGTCGAACTTGCTTCGTAAAATAGGCCCCAGTTCAGTTTAGATCTGTTTAGTTTAGAGTTGTGGTTTGAATCTACCAAGACACCTGTGTATGTAGCTGTTAGGCTCCTCCTTAAAACTGTTACTACATGTCAAAATGATTTAGTCTGCAAGCCCCTTGATTGGTCTGCTACAGTTATGTATGTTTTCCAGTCTTACCCAGACACATAAATCAGGATTTACTTACAGACAAAAGGCTTGTAGTCAAAATGGATCACATTTACATGACGGTGTGTTCAAGGTCTGCTCAATAAAATAACTTTTAGGCAACCTTAATTAAACCTCATCATGATGACAAATGAACCCTCCTCCTTTTGATGTACTGAGTTAGAAACAGTAATTGTAAAAGATGGCCGGCTTTAAAAATGGGATAAAGTCAGTGCTCCATCTTTATTTGTATCTTTTTATATATATGTATATTGTGTTTGCAGTCACCCCCCGAAACATGAAGGCAAAAGTAAATATCCTGCCTGATATATTCATCATAGTCTTCTTCTCTTTTTTATCAGAAACCATAAAACAGATTTCTCCATCTCCATCCATGTGTCTCTGAGCGGCGCCCTCTTCTTGCTCAACACCACCTTCCTGCTGACAGAGTGGGGGGCCACTGTGAGGCTAGACTGGGTCTGTGTGCTGGTGGCTGCCCTCATGCATTACTCTCTGCTATGCTGCTTTACTTGGATGGCCATTGAGGCCCTGCACCTTTACTTGCTGCTGATCAAGGTCTTCAACACCCACTACAAGCGATACCTGCTTAAACTCTCTCTCGCAGGATGGGGTGAGTCCTGATGGCGCAGGAAGAGTTTCTACATAATGTTGATAATGATGATGGGGGTGATGAAGATAATGGTCAGACCCAAAGTGGCTAATTTGTAGAACCAGCACATTTCCTGCTAAAATTATATTTCTCTGGCAAAGGTTGAGAAATAAAATTCAGTCAGGACCGCTTTAGTCAAAATGAATTATTTATTACAAGCAAACATTTTTTACATTGGCAGTATGGCTCTGTTCTGAGAGTTCCCTGCCCTTCCATGGGCTTGCGTGGAATGCCACGGCTATAAGAGCAGAGAGCTCCTCCCCTCCCTTCCATGTGAATACAGGAAAGCCAAGGCAGAGAAAGCAGCAGTAAATAAATAGATAAATACATAAATAAGCATAAATAAGATAAATACATTAAAATCCCCCCACAGCACAGAGCAAACATCAGTGACAATACATATGACACTGGTAAGATCAGACACAACATAAACAGGAGGAGCTGGGGTGTGTGTCTGACTCTGAGCAGAAGCAGAAATAGAAAGAAATCTGTTTCAGTTATTTAGAAAGAGGAAATTTCTTTAGAGGAAAAACCCTCAGAGTTGGAAGTTCCTGAACTGGAGGTGGTTAGATCAGGGGTCAGTGGTCAGAAACCCGTTCTATGAAGGAGCCAGTTTTATCTGCAGATGCAGGATATGAACGTTTACATTTCATTCATTTGGTGTAGAAGCTGCAATTTTTCAAAAGAAAGAACAAATCAGCAAAAAAATTTGCAGATCCTGACATCAGGTAGTGGCTATGTCTCCAAAAAGTGGTCCAGGACACTGAAAAATATGTTTGGAGATTACCCATCACTTGAGTGTGATTCACGTTTGTATTAAAAGACAGATCAGTGCAAAAGCTCTCCTTTGACATACTTATCTCAAGGCAGTATGATCAGTTAATAGTCATTTTACTGCCTGATACCAACACAGAGGATCTCCAGATTCCTCTGTGCTAGTTGTAGCTCTGGTGAGGGGATTTCTTTTTTCTCAGGTGAACAGAAAGATTTGGACTCAGGTCTGTATGTCTTAGAGCATTTCTGGTTGGTTTGGAGATGCTACCTTCATACAAATCAAATATCCTCTTTCTATTATTCTGATTAGCTCCTGAAATTACCAAATGACCATGGCCTGCTGTGATCATGGTCATCACTTCAGACAGGGAAGATGTTAAAGATAACAAATACCACCTTAATATTTGATGGTTGTCAAACTGTCTATTGCTGATGGGATTGCATTTTTACAAATTAACTTCGATTATCTAAAATGTGCTCCATGATAGCGATGTGTATGATTATTGACCAGAGCTACAACCAGATGATGTGTGCGTGTGTGTGTGTGTGTGTGTGTGTGTGTGTGTGTGTGCGCGCGCGCGCATGTGTGTGTGTGTGATCCTCAGGTGTTCCAGGTGTGATCGTGGCCATCTCTTTGGCAGTGAAGGATTTCAAACAGTTTTATGGAGTCACACAGCTGACCATGGCTGATACCAACCAAACCAACGCCATGTGAGTGAATAATAAATGCTTTTTTCAAGAACTTTGAGCTCTTTTAAATTGGAGTTGTATTCATAGTTTTTGTGTGTACAGTGTGCCATATGTACTTTGTATACCTGGTCTCACCTGTTCAATTGTGAAACCCTTTTTTGTCACTCAGCTGCTGGATCACAGATGACTCCTTCTTCTACTCCTTGAACCTGGTCTACTTCACGCTCATTTTCGTCTTTAACTCTGGCATCCTGGTGGCAGTGGCCTCCAGTATCTGTAAAATGAAACGAGTGGTAAGGAGCAGGTCCAGACCTGGACCAGGGGCTGGACAAGAGAGGACCTGGAGGGATCCACAGAGGTTCAGTGAGTCCTGTCAGGGGGGTCTCACTGTATTGGGTCTCACCTGCCTGCTGGGGACCACCTGGGGTCTAGCCTTCCTGGGCTCAGGATATGTCAACTACCCCATTCTCTACCTCTTCTGTATTCTTAACTCCATGCAAGGTCTGCAACTGCTCTGACCAATACAGATTCATATGCCTGAATATCTTGTTTGGTTTTAGAAATTCTACATGTTGAAACCAGTCTGATGAACTGAGCTGGTTTGAGGTACTGCTTTACCTTGTTTGGTGAAGCAGGCTCTGGCTCAAACACTGAGAGAAAGGAAAAGACTTTATCCAGTTAAACTGTCTCTGTTTTTCCTCTTTTAAAGGTTTTTTCATCTTCCTCTGGGTCTGTCTGTCCATCAAGAAGCAGCGGAGGAGAGAAATTGAGGAGAGACTGAGTTCATCTGCATTGAAGACCTCAGGGACCAAATTGGAGTAATTTTTGTTTCTGTCTGTAGTTGGTGATTGAAAAACATGCAGCTCCCAAATTAAGATCTCCTCATCTGTTAATGTTTGATGTCAATCTGAAAAAAGGTTTTAAAATGTCAGGGAACTTTGTTCATTTACTTTGGTTTACTTTAGTTAAGTTTAGTTTAGTGACATTATGTTAACTTTTGTAAAGATAAGTTTGTAGTTTAGTTGAAACTTTAAATAAGTTGTGGTTACTATAGTCTGATTGAGTTTAGCTAACTTTGCTACACCTTAGGTTTGATGAAGTTTAGAGAAAACTTCAAGTTGTGTTTAGTTTGATTTAGTTTAGCTAATTTTGATTCAGTTTAGTTGAGTAAATTTTAAGAGTCCTGTGAGGAACTTTTGTTTCAGTTTTATCACCCCTTGTGGACAAACTGTTTTTGCTTATGTGGTCCCTTACATGTTTACATGTCTTCTGACTAAAAATCTCACACTGCTGACTTCTGACTATCATGTCAAATGGATCACTTTTGTGATCATTTAAGATAAAAAAAAGTAAAAACTGGGATTTTTCTTCAGTGGCTACTCTGACACCTACACTGTACCTCTGCCTCCTTGCTGGGTGAAGCTTCCGCCTCCTCCAGCAAAATAGATGGAGCTGTAGACAAATTTTGAAAATTAAATACAAGTTATAATTTTTTTTCCTGCCCCTGGTTGCAATATTGACATGTAGTTATTCTTAGACTGGTTTGAGCTCATCCTGTTTTTTCTGTGCAGTTCCATTTTTTAAAATTATGAGGGATACTGGGATATGACATTCGATTTTCTATGACTGACACTTGCATGTAGTCAATGGGCGTACAAAAATTGCAGAGATCATCTGGGGGCAACACTGTTTAAGCAGAGGCTCATGACAGTGTTCTTCCGTCAAATGCTACTACACAAATGTTGGATTCAAGAAACCGAGAAAATTCCCAGGAAAACTGGGAGCTTTTTGGCTTTAAATTTGTACAATGACAAAAATAGAAGTTTACAAAGTGCTTTTCTGGTTGGCCGGCTCAGTGGTCTTCTCCCACCGGACACGGACAGCGTCACGGTTCTGACGCAGTGAGTTAGTCATGGCCTGTCTGGACCAAATCCAGTGATGCTCCTCCTGACAACCTCCATCAGGACACCTGAAGCTAAAGTGAGCTAAAACTTTTTTTAGCAAATGGATGAAACGCGCTGACCGCGGTTTTTAGACTGTTTTAGACTCCAGAGTGAGGGTAAGAAATATTTCCTGAAGGTTTGATCAGTTATGTCTCTTCTTGGAAATTGTGGTGGACTGAGATCAGGATGTTTTATTTATTTTTTTTGAGGTCACGTTTTCCCCTTTATTTTGTGTCATATTTCAGATGAGATGAAAGGAGACAGGTGTGTTAATGAGGGAAACTCTGGTGATGAAGTTTATACAGTTAATACCGATGTTTACATCAGATCAGCTCGTTGCCCTCTGTGTGTGCGCATGTGCATGCATAACATTGTGAAGGATCCTGTGAGCCTCTCTCCCTGTAGTGACTGATCGTCATCAGTCAGTCCAAGTGGGATGCTTGTCCTGCTTGCTTGGTTGTTTGAGTGGCTGGGGCAAAATAGTATGCTACTTTTGTTGATACTTGCCACACTGCACGTGCAGTTTCTTGATGAGGTAGGCTGTAAATGCTAGTCCATATAAAACTTTGAAGACAAGACGGACATCCAGAGTCAGCTGGTGGCTATCAAAGTCCAAGATTTTCTACTTATTACAATAATGATAATGTAAAGGTTTTTTGTCCGGAGTTTTAAGAGTTCTCTTGAAATTATCAAGAGACTCTCTGATGTATGTGACCATGTTGGTTGACAGTAAGAAATGTGAGTAAACATCATACCATTTTTATTTTTTTATTTTTAATATGTCACTTAAAATTAAGATGGTAATCAAAGATAACCCTAAGGTACTTAAAGTGTTCAACCCATAGACTGTATGGATAACTTGGCTCTGCCTTCTGTAATTATACGTATTTGAAGCCAGATTGCTCTCTGTATTTCCGGGACTTTCTTCATTTCCTGGAACCACTGCGCAGTAGCATTGTACGCATTCGGTGGGAGGGTTGCTGTGATGACGCTCGGCTCAAACAGTGACTTCCCAGGAGAGCTGCACAATCTAGGCTGTATCAAGTGTCAATCATAGAAAGCATGAACCCCCTAATAACTTTTAAAAATGGAGCTGCACAGAAAAAAGAGGACTTGAGCACAAACCAGTCTTACAGTAACTACATGTCAACATCGCAACTAGGGGGAAGAAATATATATATTCTGTGTACCAATTTCTTAAGTTTGTTTAAAGGAGACAGGATTTATGACCCATATTGCAGCCCGTCACCAGAGGTCGCTGTTTTCGGAGTGACTTCACCCAGCGATGAGGCAGACGGCATTCATTCTATATACAGTCTATGGTTCAACAAATCAAATTATTTCATTTAGAAATAAGTACATCATGATTAATGGTGTCAAAAGTCTGCTTTAACTCAAGAAATAAAGCAGCTTATTATCTCAGTGACAGATATTTCTTCTATTCTAAATACTGGTTTACTTGTATCAACAGGATTGTAAGGAATTTGTGAGCATTTAGAGAATAAAAATAGTAAATTTTGCTGTTCAGATGTATTTAGTTTGGTGAAATTTACTTGATTGTTGTTTATTAATGCATATGAACACAAACTGGCAAAAACAGAGAGATGAAATGGTGGTTGCATCTGTTCATAAATCTCTTTAATCTTTCAACGGAAAATAAGAAGGTTACAGACATGGTTAAAATGAGGAAAAGAGAGAATGTAAAGAAATCTCTAAATTCTCCAAGTTTTACGCACTTTAATGTGTGACCATAAAAAGCTTTTACACCTTCAACCCTCTTACCCACTGCATCTCCTGTTATTGTGATGTGATCATCTTATAGGCAGAAAGAGGATCCTACTGAGCATGAGCAGAGTCAGAGCTGTAACCTACTTCATGCTTTATACTGAGTGTGTTATAACTGACTTTGGTTTCCCTTGCTGTAAAGAAGATTTCTATCATATTTTATTTTTGTTTGTTTGTTTGTGACTGATAATTAAAAAGTAAATGGGACAAAGTTTGAGTTGTGTTCTTGTGTTTTAATGTTTGTTCTTCTGATCTGTGTGGGGTTGAGGTCAGTTTTACTTCCTCTGCAGCCTGTCAGTGTCAAATGACACATCAACTTGCTTAACTCAACTTCTAATTTTCTCATGTCTGTAGAAAAACTGAGACTTTTTGAAACTTCCTCTTTTCTCTATCACTGGAAAAAAAATGTTATCACTTATTTCAGTGCAGCAGACGGACATCTGTGTTTCTTCATCCGTGTTAAAATACACGATGACATAACTGTCACTGAAACTCTAAAATGTCATTAAAAAACTGATTCCCAGGCAGATCTGAAACCCACACTTCACATGGAAATGAATCACTTCCTGTTCATGGACAGTCTCCGCCCTCTTTGCTGCATGCTGTCAGGTCTCTCTGTTGATGTGAAACTGAGTTTAGCTCATGAGGCAGAGAGAAGGAGGGGAGAGGGTGACTTTACTAAGAGACAATGTGGATTCCTGTGTTCATCCTCGCTCTGCTCTGTGTCTCTGAAGCTGTAGCTGGAGGTGAGTTAATCTTCATATCCAACCTGATGTGTCTCTATGATGTACAAAAGTAAACAAGACTATTGATGACAGGACCAATTAGTTCCTTACGGTAGTTTTCAGTGACTGTACCTGCTGTGAGGGGTTAGTACACTGGAGAAAAACAGCCTCAGTCACTGTTTCCACAGCAAATATTCACAGTGAGAGAAATGCCTCACAGTAGAAAGACAGCAGGAGGAGATTCAATTGTAAATTAACATCACTTTACTAAGGAGGAGAAGACATCAGCATAATGGTCACCACTGTATCCACAGGGAGGCGTGCTAGAGCCCAATATGCAATAACTGACCCAAAATGTAACAACTGTTGTACTCTGGGCCAGTTATTACATTTTTGGTTTTATTACATTTTGGGTCATTGTTACATATCAGGCTTTAATAAGGAGCTTTAGTTAAACTAAAACTTTGGTTTTATGTTTTTTTTTATTTTTTTATTTCTTTGTATGTGTGTTTCATTGTTTTACTGAAACCTCTTTAACGGGTTAATTTCTGGATTAATCAGATTCCTGTGACCGAGTTATCCACCTGTGTCAGGATGAAATCCCCTGGACAAGGTAGCATATACACCATCACACACTTAAACACACTATAATACACACTAACACAAACTGAAGTGCAGGTTGGATTTGAATAATTTCTAGCTTTTAACAAAGTTTACTCTGATTTCAGTGATTTTACACTTACGTTTGTACCAATGGTTTTATTTTAATGTCTGTTCTCTAAATTTGTACAAAGCCCTTATTTAAAAACAGTTAGAGTTACTTATCGTCTGTTTCATATGTTTATACTTCAGTTTTAGATCATATAGATGAGAAAGGCTCAGAAAATTTGGGCCTTTCAGGAAGTAAATTCACATTACCCTGCATGTCTGCGTTTGTACCAAAGTGTGCGGAAATACTTCAACCACAGAGAGGATTCTTGTTCAATAATCGTCTGATTCGATAGAATTAATAAATATAAATAAAGGTGCTTAAAATGTGAGGAGCTGAGATAGAGGCTTTTTAAAAATCTAACAAAATATCTTCTGAATACAATGAAACTGAATGGCGAGTGTTATTCAGAGTAACCTGAAAAATTAATGGGTGCTCTATAACAGATTGTGCCAGTGGTAACAGTGACAGGGCAGATAAAGAGAGACTAAAAGGACAGTCTTGATGGCAAGAGTGTAAATATGAAACTGGAGAGTGTTGAAAGCACAAGGGACAGTCATAGCTGTTAGACTGCAGTAGCTCATTTTGATGAATTAAGGACCTAATCCAAGTGGTTTTCGCACTTCCCTCTGATAGTCCCACTCCTACCTGTCAAATGCTCTTTGTGCATCCAGACTAAAAACAGCACATGGAGATACAATATCTATAGCAGTATGTATAAAATGCAAAAGTTGTTAGAAGCCAACCATGCCTTTATGAAACCTTTCAGGTTGCAGTGGACCAGCTCAGTCATGTATGGTATAGGACGTGAAGCTTATACATGAGCAAAAACTTTAAATTTAGTCACAAGGATAGAAAGGGGTCTATAATTACTGCATGAAGTAAGGTCCTTGCTGGGTTTAGGTCATACCAAAATAAAAGTGAAGAGTTTATGTCTTTTAAAAGGCAGCCCTGGTGGACAGATGGTTGATTGTGTCCAGGACAAACTGTCCAAGTAGATCCCAAAATGTAGAATAAAAGTCTGTGAAAGGAGTGAATTTCTCTTGGGACATAGTGGGAAGTGCCATGTTTTGTAAATTTAAGTTGTGTGTGATGTTGAAGAGTAATGTACCCAGAGCAGCCAGTTATGACCTCTGACTCTCCCTGAAGGTGCACCAAGGACTCATTTTACTCATTTTCAATGGCTCTTTTTATGCAGTTAGTAAGCTAGTTATTTTGGGCTTTTATTTTGTAAAGGACTAGAAACTGGGAGAGAAAGTGGAATGACATACAGGAAAAAGGTGTGCAGGCTGAAATCAAACCCTGAGCCTCTAAACAGGACAGTTCAAAACAAAAGGTTGTATAAAACGTGGATTGGAATGGAGATTTTTCTGTGTTGTTGGTAGACCTATGATTCTGTCATGCAGCCTGGTCCGTGGCTCTGTGAATGCTCAGACTGTGTTCTGCTCTGTGTCTGTTTTCTTTGATTTGTTTCTTTCACTCAGCCTCTGGTGTTTTTGAACATCCCTCCCTACTTTCCAAGTTATTTTCCTCTCTCTGTCATTTCTCCTCTCCTCAGGAGAGGTCTGAGTTATCCACGTAACAAAAAGCGATAATGTAAAAACATCTTCCATGTTGTTCACTGATGCTATCGGAAGACGTTTTACCACAGTGTCAAAAGGCAGGAAAACTATAAATGTGTCAGTCTGCTGTCAGCAGGTTGCGTTGATATAACTGAAAATTGATTTCTATGGTTATGGGGTTTTGACCTATCAGAATCAAGTAAACAATGCAGCCAGGTGATGGGTTAGAAAGCCAGATATCAGACAGGTGTGTTGTTCCTTTAGCCTTTCATCAGTTTTCATGTTCAGCCCCGCTCCCCTGAATTATTTTTTTTTTTAATAAATGTGTGTTTTCAGGTGTTATGAGAGAAACATTTCCACCTGTCGACCTCACACCCGTTTGATCAGCTCATCATTCATTTGGCGTAGAGTGAACTCTTCTCAAGAGGTGAGTCCTCTCGGGAAGTAAATTTAATTTTCTTCTCACAAGGAAAAAACAGGCAGACTGGTAGCAGCTGATATACAGCAATACAAAATTATACTTTTTTAACAAAGTAAGTTTGTAATAATGTGTTTGTTGTCAATGAGGTTTCAGGTTTTTTGTGTCTTTGGTTACAGGCCGAGGTCAGTCCTACTCCTCAGCACCGGGTTCACATCCCATCCTCGGCTCTGCAGAAGAGCAGAGGATCAGGGTCAGAGGATGAGGTTCTGCTGGTGTCAACGGTCCTGAACAGCTCTTACTTTCAGGTTGGTGCCTCCACAGACTAAACATCGCAGACCTCAACAGACCGGCTTTTTAACTCAGACACAAACAGCCCAGGTTAAGACCTTTAAACTTAAAGCAGGAGCGCTGAGGATGAGGAAGAGTCATATACCTGAATACTGACTTTTTCTGTCCTTCAGCTCTCCTTGTATTTGCATGTGAGGAAGCACTTTGTCTTGCTGATTTGCATGAATTTTCAAAAACTCCTCACCCTCTTTACACACTGAGCTGCTGTACAAACTGTATGGTGGGCTGGATGAGCTTTATTTGAACCCTTCTTCTAGAAAGAAACAGCTGGATACAGACTGATGACATCCTCATACTTCACTGTGTTCCTCACTTCATCAGCTTCACAGCAACCTGACTGTGTTAAATGTAACTCTACTCATCATGCCTTCAGTCCCCCATACTGCTAAAACAGCCACTGAGTCATCAAACATATTTTAAACTTTGCCTGATTTCTTTAGAAAAGAGACCAAACACAACTCACCCACTCTCCTCCAGCAGCCGCTTGTTTGTGGGGGAGCCCTGACAAGTCAATCACCAGTGCAGCAGAGTTTCGCAGCTTAAGGAAGAACATTTATTATCATTACTTCATGGAAATAAAATCAGGCCGAGACTCTAAGGCAGAAGAACTACCACATCTGCAGTGCAAAATGGTTATAATGATGATTATTACCTCATGGAAATGATCCGCTGCACTCAGAGATTGACTCGTCAGGGCTCCTCCACAAACAAACGGCTGCAGGAGAGTAGGTGAGTTATGTTTGTTCTCTTTGCAAAAGAAACCAGGCAAAGCTAAAAAGATGTCTGGTGGCTAGTGCTGTGGCTGGGACCCTTCATGTACTGTTGATGAAGTTAGGTGCTGTTCTGAGTATTATTTGTGGCTATAGAGTGTCTTTTTGATTGAGGTGTGCACACAGAGACGTAGACCGCTGTGTATTGGTGTCATGCGGTCGTTGCTGAAGTTAGTGTAACTAGAGAAACAAGCAGTCGGCAACATTCATCTCTCGAGGGGGTGTCTAACTCTGTGTTGCGGTGTGTTTGAACATAACTTAAATCTACACTGGAATATCCCTTTGATTTGAAGGTCAGAGTGGAACCAGAGAGGAGAGAGAGACTAACAAACACCCAAATAACAAAGCTGAACAGTAAGCACCTGTAGCTGGTTTGAATATGAGAACTACATAAATACATATTTTTTTAACTAATCCTCACTGAGAAAACTGACATCAATCCTGCCTCTGTTGATGTGTTTGACATTTTTACGTTTTAACATGCAATCAGCTCGAAACAACCTGTCAAAACTCCTCAAAGGATCAGCAGAAATTTCCCAGAATCAGTCCACTAAAGCAAAACAAAAGAAAAAAAAAGTTCCTAAAAGCTTAACTTTTGTTGAAACAGGAAGAAGTTTTATTATGTATGCTCTAATCTGACTTAAAGGCACCACACACAAGAAGGGTCCAGGGCTGAACACATTTAAACGGCAATGTTTCATCCCAGTCACATACCTCCATCATTCTTACTCATATCAGTCTTCTGTGTGCCAAAAACTGTGAGTTTTCACCTGAGGGTGTGGTTAGCACAATGCGGCAAGTTTTAATTTCCATGCCACCTTGGGTTCTTTTCAGGATAATTTCCTACACATGGGTTTTTGATCTATTACTTTGATAAAACAGACAAATACATTGGCACTCCATAAATTTGAAAGACTGTGGCAATGGCAGATTTTCTAAGTCTGACAACTGAAAGACTGAGCCTTTATTTATTTATTTATTTATTGCTTTCTTTAACTTCATATATTTGTACAATGATTTAAAGTTTAACATATGGCTCTCTGTCCTTTCATGTAAAGAATGGATGTTTGTGAAATTTTAACATCTCTGAAAACTTTATGATGAAGAGCTCATGACTTTGATTTGGGTAGAAACATAAAAATAAAGGCAGCAGTGACCTGGGGAGACAACGTGCCACACATTGCCAATTCAATGTCAGTCTGAAACAGCACTGAGGATAATGATGTGAGGTGATGTGACCTCAAAGATACTGCTCAGTCTTAGCTAAACTAACACAATAGTTAGAAATTCTCTGAGTCTCACTCAAGTCCATGAATCACAATGCTTACCAACAGCATAAATCTCCACCCATGAAAAGCCAATTAGCACCATATAACAGCATATAGCAGCATATAAGGTGGTGTGGCTGTGCACTTCCTGTGGGTGGGCAAGCCAGGTGCAGAGACAGAACGAAAAACCTTCAGATGTGGTTACAAGCTCTTTCAAAAAAAATTCCAGTGAGAGGTGGTGGGGCACAGCATTGGTGCCATCTGTAATAGTCAGGGTACCTGCGTAGGCAGAGTAAAGAAGTAGTTCAACTCCACACACCACATAGAGTATATCTACAACTTTTGTGTGATTTACTATTTTGGTAACTGTTGTACATGAAGGCAAGACACATATTCAGTTTTTCAAAAACATTTCACATTTTAATCCTGATCAGAGGCTAAAATCTCCTCATCACTCAAAATGATTTAGCTAAATGTGCCCTATATTGATTATTACTAGCTATTACTAGTTACTAGTTAGAATTACATTAATACAATTAGAGACATGACAACTGAGATGACAGAAGATTGAGTTTTCCTTTGGGGATCAATAAAGTTCTTCTTCTTACTAGTTTCAAAGGTATCTGCCTACTACTAATATGAATAGGAATCAAAAGAGGGATTTATGATCTTAAAATACAAAGAAATATTTACCTTAAACTTTTTTTAGCACTGGTGGTCAGTCAGTCAGTCAGGGATAATAAAGATCAGCAGTAACTTCAGGACAACCACAGAGACAAATCGGCAGGTCAGTGTTTTACAAAACAGACTTTGGATGTACTGTAATGTGAACACTTGTAGTTATAAAGATATGTTTTAAATTTGGAGCTTTTTTCATTAAGTTTTTTTGTTGTGCTAAAATCACAGGAAGGTATTAAATCGTATGAAAGATGGCCAGACTAATTGAAGTTTTTGTTTTCTTGCAGCTCAGTTCACACCAGGAAAACCGAAAGGGACGATTACGCATGCCACCACGCAGAGACGGCAGTGTGATGGGCGGGCTTGTGCTGGTTGTAAGGGCAGGTAGTCAACCTGTTGCTCACCTATCACAACCTGTCAGATTAACCTTCACACATGAAGGACAGGTAGAAGCAAAACCCCTGTGTTATCATCAAAAACTGTCAGGATATGGCTGTCAGCTGAAACTCTGCTCTGTTTCAGGTCAGAAATGGGACCTGTGTGTTCTGGTATGAGTTAGGGGATGGAACAGGTGAGTTTCTCTTACCCGACAGCATTATTTCTCTTTTTATCTGAACTTAAATCCTCTGTTAACCTCCCTTCTGTCTGTGCATTTAAAGGTTACTGGAGTCCAGAGGGCTGTGAATCCAACAACACAGGAACTGAGTTTGTCTGCAGCTGCAACCACCTCAGCTTCTTTGCTGTTCTTGTGGTGAGATGGCATCAGCATCATTTTTCTGCAGTGCACTCTCCTGGGTGCATGAACCAAAAAATGCATGGTTGGAAAAAAGACTGTTGATGAGCATTTGAGTTGTTTGAACACAGAGATCTGTTTTTTAAAGCCTTTTCCAAACCATGAAAATCAAGACTATTAATATGACACTGGAATAATTTTATCAGGTTTTTCACAATATTCATATTTAGTTTGGCTAACACTTTGCTCTGCACCACCACAACAATTTAATTTATTTATTCTTTACTTTTTCCACGACAATTAATGCAAAAGAATGGGGATAATGTTGATGGTCTGCAAAACATTTAAAGTCTGTTTAAGTAAGATTAGTGCAAAGACATCATAACAAATGCTGAAACAATGATTGTTATAAGAAAGATTTCTGCTCATTTTGATGCTCACATGTTAGGAAGTAGTTACATGGCCATCAACTCTCCTTTAACCAACATCCTGTAAACCTTAGTGAACCCAGCAGACCAGTTTCTAGAGTCTGAAAGTCAAATGTTGTCCCATTCTTGCCTGGTAGAGGATTTCAGCTCCTCAACAGTTCAGGGTCTCCTTTGTCCTAATTTTGGTGTCATGATGCTCCAAATGTTTTCAATGGGGGACAAGTCAGGACTGCAGGCAGACCAGTTTCTCAGCAGGACTCCACTACTACACAGCCATGCTGTTGTAATCCCTATTGTGAGAACGTGGGCGGCAGTAGCTCAGGAGGTAGAGCGGTCGTCCAATAACCGGAAGGTTGGCGGTTCGATTCCCCCCTAATCCAAGTCTGTCCGTTGTGTCCTTGGGCAAGACACTTAACCCACCTTGCTCCCAGTGTGTGTGTCCTCCACTGGTGTATGACTGTGAGTGTTGTGTGGTGGTGGTCGGAGAGGCCGTAGGCGCAGAATGGCAGCCACGTCTCCACCACCACCACTGTGTGAGCGAATGAATGATGTATCAGGGTCTCTGATAGATGCGCTATATGAAATCTGATGCATTATTATTATTATTATTAGAATGTGGTTTGTCATTGTCTTACTGAAATATGAAGGTCGTCCCTGAAAAAGTCTTTGTCTGAATGTCAGCAGATTTTGCTCCTTAAATCTGTAGATATAGTTCAGCATTAATAGAGCCTTCACAGATGTGGAAGGGATGCTGGTTTTGGACTACGAGCTGATAACAAGCCGGATGGTCCCAATTCTCTTTAGGGTGGAGGCTTGATCTGTCATACCACTAGACAGTCTTTAGCTTCCTCTCAGTCCACCTTAAATGGACTCTGGTCCAGAGAGCGCTCTGGTATTTCAGGATCCTGTTTCTATCAGGTTTCCTCTTTGCACAGTTTAGTGTGAACCTCATTTGTGGATGCAGTGATGAACTGTGTTCACAGACAGTGGATAACTATGTGCTCACACAGTCTCTTGGGGAGCGGGGATCTACAACTTTAACTTCTGGTTTTATATGTTTTATTATCCAAAGAAAGAATCTCATGTGATGGGATGAAAATGTCAGATTTTCTTAATAGTTTGAATTTGATTGAACCTGTTTTTATTTGTCTGTTTACAGAACCCTGAACTCTCAGTGGATAAAAGGAGTGCTACTTACCTGGCGTACATCACCTATGTGGGCTCAGCTCTGTCTGTGGTCTTTACATCCATCAGCCTGATCATCTACATCTGTCTTCAGTAAGCTGTTTCTGTAGTTCAAAAATTTCTCTCAAGTAGATAACACTTTTGCACTGCTTCTGGTCTGACACTTTTTTCATGCTTCAGTTTTCAAAAGAAAACCTTGCACAGGACTGTTTAAAACCGCAACATCAATATCTATTAGTACTGTGTGGTTTTAAAAAAATCTTGGTTTTCTCTCTCAGGCTAACCAATAGAGTTTGTCTGTGTCACTTTAGTGTTCAAGTCCACAGTTCTTGTTTTGTTAAAAAAATGTTTGATTAAGCAAACTTCATAGTATAGTTGACTCATTCCCCTTAAATATTCTATAGAGTGTCACAGGAAGTCATTCTTCCTTGTGACCATCAGACTTTATAAGTCCTCCCTCTGAGTGTCACACACTCTGTCTGTCCCTGGACTGATTCTCATGTAGTAGCTGTAAGCTTCTCCACTACATATAATTACATTCAACTGTGCAACCTGTTTGTAAACTGATCAAATTTAAATAATCTGAGAGTGCAATACTAATACTGTATTGTTTATATACACTACACTGTACAATAATCTGTAGCAACTCAACACTACAAATGGTTTTGTATACACTTCCTACTTTCTGAGCTTGTACATAGCCTATTTCCTAAAATACTCTGCGCTTTGTAAACAGCTTTATTTCTAATATTCTGCACTTTTACAAACTGTTGCAATTTCTTATTTATTCTTATCAATTCCTATTTATACTCTCCCTCTACCAATATTTGTATTTTCATATTTTCAAGAGTAAGTGTAATGCTGTAATGATCAAAACCCCCCATGAAATTAAGTATTCTGATTGATTGATTGTAATTGTGTTAATGTACACTAATGATGACGTTTAGGAGGTTATGTGGTGTCTCTACTCTGCAGGCGTCGACGTCCAGAGAAGGCCATTGGTGTGCACATGCAGCTGACTGGAGCGCTGCTCTGCCTTCACCTCAGCTTCCTGCTGAGTTGCTTCTGGGTGTGGAGACTGGAGGACAAGGAGGAGGACTGGGTCTGTCAGGGTCTGGGTTTGTTCCTCCACTGGTCTTTGCTGGCCACCCTCACCTGGACAGCTCTGGAAGGCTTCCACCTGTACCTCCTGCTGATCAGAGTGTTTAACATCTATGTCAGGAGATACCTACTCAAACTCAGCCTGCTGGGGTGGGGTGAGTTTCATGTTCAGAGCTCACTGATGGTCTTGTTGTAAACATTTGATTCAGGGGGCTCTATGTTCGTGCTTCGCCGGAGACGTGGCGCAGGCACGGCGCAAGTCAGGTTCACCAAGCCGACAAAGCGTTCCCAAGCACAATTTGGTATTTTGGTGAGCCGCGCAGCCCGGCGTGAGTATCCCCCCTCCCTAACTCAGCTCCTCCCAGCGGCGTAAGTCGTAGCGAGGGAGGAGAGAGGGCGTGGAGTGGGTTTAACACAGCCGAGACCTGTATTGACCAATAACATCAGCTCCTCTCCTCGCCTTTAAATCTGCCACCAGCGAGGCGTATTACAATTTTCGTGAAGTAGTCAAAGAGATCAAGAGATGTCTGAAGACAGCAATGCCACACAATGGCAACAGAAGGCAGCCCCTCAACAAGTGTCGCTGTAAACGCTGCAGAGGGCGTCCTCCACACTGTCTCATATAAGCACAGATGGATTTGGTGTGTGTAATGTTGGACAAACTAGTAAGACAAACACCCCTTTCCACAAATAAAGACACTCACATAATGTTGCACATATTCAAACCTCACGTGACAAAGGTGGTTGTGCACAGAGATCACACTCCAATAATGGCATTAAAATCGGAACCATCTGTGCGTATATGACGCATCGCGCTCCGTGGCCTGGCTCTTTCTTTTATAGATGTTGGCATATAAAATAAATTTGGCTCACAAAACTGAATATTATAATATTCGTATGTAGGCTTAAAGTAAATAACTCATCCGATCACTGAAACAAATCATCTGTTCAGCCGCCGCAGCAGCAGCTGCAGCAGGATGGAGAGAGGAAATGGAGACATGTCCAGGTCGAGCTGCGCGAGAAATAAGAGGAAGAGGAAGAAAGAAAAGGAGGGAGATGAATTACATATCTAGTTAACTTCATTATGTGTGTCTATTTACTCGATATTTAATTTAATTTAATTAATTGTGTCCAAACGCGTGCCAAACACGCTCATCAGATCAGATATAGATCAGAATATATCGATATAGATCTAAATGTATGTGCTGACTCAGATTAATAGTTGATGATGATTATTTATTGCACTGCAATGTGCCTGACACTGTGGAAACCTGCCGGTGAGGCATCGGTGACGTATGCCGATACGCCGCCGGTCTACCAAAATACCACTAGACCAGCTGCGCTCCGCCTGCACTGAAGCTGACCAGGTTTGAATCGGCGAGCTTTCAGCGCACTTTATATGCTGGCGGAGAGCATGAAAATGTCACTGCAGCAGCTGATTCTGTCGACACCTCCCTCTGCCGCTCAACCACGCCCAGCTTGGCAGACCTCGGTGCACTTCATTCCACGAAAATACCAAACTGGCTGTACCACTGCACGGGGTCCGCCACCCTCCGCCGCCTCACCAGCGCACACGGAAATAGAGCCCAGGGACATATGGGAGTTCAGGTGCTGTTGGATTAACTTTTCCTGCTCAGGGATTGATCCTACTTGTGTACTTGTTTAAATTCAGGAATACCTGGAGCTTTCAGGGTCACCTAACTGCAGCCTTTGGTTATTTTTCTGTCCTAAAAATTATGCAACACATATTTTGGCCACTAGAGAGCAGTGGCAAGTTTCAATCAGTATGTTTCCGATTAAATGGTGTGCAGCTTTTCAGCTTTTCTGCACTCACATGAAGCTCAGTATGGAGTCATGTTGAGAGATTAAAAGACAGCATGTTTAAAGGCTTAAATCAGAAACCAGTCAGTGCTTTAAAATGTGCTGTTAAAATCCCACCAATATGAAAGTGTTGTTTGACGTGGAGAAAGACTGTCACAGTGAAGTGGTGCGAACAACAACAGATTTTTATTCAACATTGATATCCTGAGTAAACAGTGACACCGTCAAACACATGGGTTCTTGGTAGAGGGCAGCTATGGTTCTTTATGCTGGTTTCCAACTGCCATTGAACTTTATCCTGTTTAAAACATGAATTTAGTCTCAGTTGCTCCACCAATAGGTCCCTGAGGTGGAGCTCAGCATCAGTGAGCAGGCTGTAGCATCCCTCTGGAAGATGGTTGTACACTTTTAAAAGAATGCTCAGAGATTTACTGTGAATACAAAATCGGCTGTCAGCTTTGACTTTTCAGGGCTGCTGATGAATTAATAGCATTTCATTACTCAGTTCTGTGACCCACAACAGACACTGAAATTATCATATACCTCAACTCAAAATAAGAGCATGTCTTAACAAGACAGAAAATTAATAAAAAACAACAACCCCTTCTCAGGGTTATGAATGGTCACGGTCTATTGAGGTAACGTGGATCTGGTTTCATTGCAGGACTTCCTTCACTGACTGCAGTGGTTTGTGGGATTTTAGGCATTTATGGCAAATTCAAACTGGAGCTGAAGGATGAAAACAACCAAACATCGACCACACACATGTGAGGATGATTTCAGTTCTCAGACATTTTTCACTCTTACACTGTTGCTCATGTTTGGCCTGTGTGTGTGTGTGTGTGTGTGTGTGTGTGTGTGGGGGGGGGGGGGGCTTGGTTCTTTTGGATTATTTGCTCATGTTTTGAGTTCTGAACTGTTTTGTTTCTGACCGGAAGGTGTTGGATCAGCAGTAGGTTCGAGCAGCAACTCGTGGTCAGCTACGTGACCACTGTGGCAGTCCCATGTGTGGTGATAATGTGTAACTCCTGCATGCTGGGACTGGTGGTGTTTAAGCTGTGGGGGCTGAGGAGGAGTGAGGAGGGTAGGTGGATGAAGGTGAACAAAGGGAGGAGCTCTAGGCTGTGGAAGGACTGTGCCACCGTGCTGGGTCTCACCTGGGTGCTGGGTCTACCCTGGGGGCTGCTAAGTGCCACCTACATCTCCCTGCCCGGGATCTATGTGTTCACAATCCTGAACTCGCTTCAAGGTCAGTGTGTGCAATAGCTTCCTGGAGAGTGTGCGGTGCTGTGGTTTCATCACTTCCTGAGGCATTAATAGTCTCCTTTTTGTCTCCTCAGGTGTGTTTATGTTCCTGTGGTCTGTGGCTCTCAGCTGCAAGGCTCGGTCTGATGATAGCTGCTCATCCAGAGACCCCTCTTCTCAGAAAATGATCACCACCAGCTTCAACACCTGAACTTGTCTCTAATGTATTATGCTTCACCTACATTAGGTGTTCACTGGACTTGTACATTTTAATCAAGAAAGTTTCATTTCACTGTTGAACACCTCTAAATGGAGCCTGAACAGAAAGTGCTTCATAACAAGCAGCAGCCTCTAACATGATCTTCTATAACTACCATCATTATTATTTTGATTTTTTTTTAATTAAAACTCTGCAACATAAGAAAATGATTAGGGAGACTGGATACTGTTCATAATCTTTATAAGAATGAATGTAATATTTTTACTAAGAAGACCAAACACAGTACAAAAAAAGGAGGCGCAGTGGGGATGCTTAAAACTGGAGTGGTGTGTCCACTAGAGGCTGTCACCAAAAGCAGGGGAACCCTGATCTACATAATTTTGAACCACTCATACAGCAGAAATAACCAAGATTACAGCTTGATCTTAGAAAATAAGATGTTTGGACGAGTTTCAGCTTATCTTTGTTAATCTTGTTCTAAAAAAAAGAAGCCTAGAGATGGTCTGATTTGGAGCATGCCTGCACTGGTCAACTATTTGCTCACTCAGTCTCTCAGCGTCTACTGCTGAAGTTCTTTGTATCTTTTTCAGGGTGGTTTCCTGCAGTTTAAACAGTCTAATTTGTCTTTTTGTTGTTTTCACATCATTAGCTAATGAAGCTTTCTGTCCATCACAATTGGTCTCTCAGTATTAGTCCTGTGTGGTTTTATTTACATGAAAATAAAATGATGTTTTTACAACCAATGAGAAAAAGTGTGCCATTTATGTTTTTATCGGGATTATATATAATAAATAAATAATAAAAAAAAAAGATATAAATAACTGACTCCATAAACTGAATAATATAGAGCTTTTTACTGCATGTAAAAGGATACCCAGATAAACTCACACATTCCTCACAGGAAAGTTTCCTTATCTGGTCCCAGGACACAGGATATAAATCTTTGCAGACTTGTTTGCACTTTCAGGTTACCTAAGTGACCCAACCGGAGGTTTACTAAACCTCTGACTCTTCACGATTGGTCAATTCGGAGAACAGAGACAGAGTTTTTATTACCTTTCAAACTGACTCCATTGCTGACCATCTAAATAAACATTAACGCTTCAACCCAGATCTCCCATTTGAGATTTACCGTCTTAAAGTGTGTGAACATACGGACCCCATGATAAGGGGGGACACTGACCTCCAGACGTCGGTCGTAAAACCCTGCTCGACCATACACTGATAAAGACTACATTCCTTTGGTGAAAGAATACAAATGACTGATCATGACATCTTATGCATTCAGCAATGTACTAATCTGTCTAATCATGAAATTTGTGTTAAAATGAGATGTTTCCCGTTTTTCTATGTGCTTCAAAAGCCAAGTTATCACTCCGACAGAATAAATCCTTATTCTTTTGTTTCTTTAGACCAACGGCTTTTCAGACTGTTTCATGAACTTTTAAGAGTTAAATTTATTGACTATGAATCATAACTTTACTCTAAGTAACAGAAATGGTTTAGAAATGTTTGGTTTATATTTTAGTTGTTTATTTAGTATTTTAACCATTAGGTGGTTATAATGTCACTGAATAATCTGAATGTGAGTATTTAGAATCCATTATTAATCATGATGACGTTCATTCACATGTGTTTACTCTTTTGTTGTTCACAGTTTCTATGTGTTACTATCTGTTTCATTTCAGAGGAATTTAGCATGTTCAATGTGATACTTAAAACATAATGAGAATGTTTGATGTGATCCTACACTTCATTCATATGTGTTTAGTATCAAATTATTTATCATGAAACCAAGCATTCAATGATATTAATCATAGTGAGTGAGTATCAGGTCTGACTCTTTTACCAGCCAAAAGAATAAGTTAGATCAAATAATCAGAGATCCGAGGTCTCCTCTGCAGCTGGAGACCCCGCGACCCCACCTCTTTCTCCTCACACACACACACGCCAGAGACACTCCCAGTGTGAGAAGATAAAACCAGTGAAGTGGCGTTGCTCTCTCTCTTGTCCACTCTCTTATGCCCCTTACTCTTGTGCCCTTCTCTTCTGTCCACACCCTTCTGTGGTCCTCTTTTTCTTTGTTCTCTCTTAGAACTTTTTCTTAGTCTACTAAGTTTTACGCCACGTGTTGATTCACGTTGATTTTTCTTTACCATCGTCTTAGTTCAAGTTTTGAAACTTCAACTTTTTGTGTGCATAGCAATTCAAGATTAAGCCTTTGATTGATTTTCCTTTAATTTCGCGAAGCCATTTTTGAAAGTTTTCTCTGCTCGAGTCTTGTTTTTCTGAGTTATCTGCGGGATTTCAAAGTCACCTCTGAACGCAACCCAGCAGGCCCAGGGGCCTCATGTATCAATGCTTGCGGCGCAAGAAAACCTTGCGTACGCCAAAATCGGCGCACACGTCCAGATTTATCATCGCGAAACGAGCGTCGGTTCCAGCGCTAATCAACGCAAAGTCAGGAGGTGGTGTAGAAATTGGCGTTGAGCTGGATATTTGCGTTGACTGTGATTCGCACTTTGGCGACGCTGTGTGGCGGTGTTTGGTGACTCACTATGTGGCAAGCGTGCACCACATCCCCGTGGCCGGGCAGCACGTCGCCCCACATGACGAACCAGCAGCAGACGGAGGGATGCGAGCTGATCCCTGCCGGGCCGCCGTCCTCGCGCGGGAGAATCTCATCGCCACAGTGTGAATGGGTAAGAAGTGAATACACAGTTCAATGAGCCAAATTAATTTATTTTCTCCACCAGACGCTCGAGGAAATTTACGAGCCGGTCCAGCCGCTCGTTGATCCCCGCGATCCCCCTGATGATTTCTTCCTGCGATTGCAGGACCCCCTCCGCGAGGACCCTTCCACTGCGTCAGGGTGGTCCAGCGGAAGCGCCGCGGCTGGTGGACGCTCCACCGCTAGTTGGCGCGCTGGTGCTGATGCTGGTGCTGGTGCTGGGGCCGGGGGCCGGGGTGGCCCGAATGCCGCTGGTCCTGGCCGACGACTCCGAGCCGGCGGACGGGCTGCCGCGGGCCGGGGTTCCGCAAGCCGGCGACACGGCCGACACATTAATTTCTGTGACACAATAAAAATATTAGTTCATTTCAATTCCTGCTTCTGTGTATCTGTTGCGTTTACATCTCTCTCCACGGTATCATAGGTAATGTAATCCAGTATTTCGAGGTCAGTTATGCACATTACAGTTGTTTATTGCATAAAAAGTTATCGAAAAATGAAGTTAAGGGCGAAGTATAAATCACGTCTAAAAATAGACTGAATCCCGACGTTGAAATGAAGTATAAACTTAGACTAGACATCTAATATACGTCTTTTGCTCAGTGGGATGGCAAAGCATGTGGACATTTGTGTGACACGCCACTTACCCTATAATAATAATCGCCACCACCCGCTGCTCAAACGGTGTGAGGGTCCCCTCCCCCGGACCCCCACATGTCTGGCCGGTACTCCTCCGGAGGGCAGCTGTACGCCGCTTGACCTCCACCTTGAGGTCCGACCACTTTTTTTTAATCTCCGCGGGGGTGCGTGTCTCGGAACCCACCGCATTCACCCTCTCGCAAAATTTCTCCCACTCCAAGCGTTTTTGTTTTGCACTGACGCCTCTGGACAGGCTGCCAAACAAAACACGCTGTCACTCCTCCACCTCCGCCACCAGCACCTCCACCTCGCACGCCGTAAATTTAGTTTTTCTTGTCATTTTGTCTGCGCGCGAGGACAGGGAGACCCTATTTAAATAAATCTGCATATTTATAGGAGGGCGTAACGGGGACGGGCCCAGTCACTCCGACATCTGTGCTCAATTCCACGCTGATTGGGATTTATCAAGGAAACACACGTGGATTTCGGCGCCCGCACACATTGATACATACGGATTTTTTTCAGCGTGACGGACCTTGCGTGCGCTCGTTTCTGGTATGAGTTCCACGCAAGTGTTGATACATGAGGCCCCAGGTCATCCTCTGTGCCAGAGTTTTTGAGTGAGACCAAAGAAGCGTCCAAACGAGCATCCACAGGATCCACAGGCGCCGGCTTTACTCCAGGCCCGAGTGCTACAACTCCTGGCTCATCCTTCGGCTGACTTCAGTCGTCTTCTGAGCTGAACCGCTCGAACCGCCAGTAGCCCCGGACCTTCGGAACCTGCTCCATCTTCTCCAAGGACCAGTCTCACTTAAGTATTGCAAACCTCCAGAGCTCCACAAAGGGCTGATGCTGTCTCATGCGTTCATAACTCAGATATCCACTTATTCTGGTAATCTTAGACTCCTCCAAATCCACATCCGAGTTTATCTCAACACCAAAGTTAGTGTAGGTTAATATGTTAGTGCATATTCACTCACTATCATTAACTTTAGTGCTCCTAGCCTGACTCAGACTCTTTATTTATTATTTATCCTCATTATCTTATCATCATTTATTGCATGTATGTTGTACCATCATTTATCCTGTAATAAACAGATCATTATTTTTCTAAGTTCCTGTCTGTTAGTGTTCTTCCAGAAGTGGAGTCCCTGAAATGAGAATTTCGGCTTAAGATATGAGACTGATTAATTAAACTGACTTGATGTTTGATTTCTGAATTAAACTTTTGTTTTCTTTATTTTCCCACCATTAAGGGTGGGTGGTGCCCCTTTCAACGAGTGCATAAATGTCATTATTTGAGATTATTAATCTTCAGACATTTATTATAAATTCTAATCGCTACAGTATTATTTTGGTGCGACCGTGTGAGGCTCATTTCAAACCGTATTATTTTGGTGCGGCCGTGTGAGGCTCATTTCAAATCGCTACACGATTGAAGACTGATGGTTGTTCAACATTGAATCACTGTTGTAATGTAGTGCAAATTCAATGATTAAAATGCCAACATTGAATCAGCGTTGAATCGGTGGTGTTTGCCTTTTTCTTTTCTTTTTTTCTTGATGGGGGGGGGGGGGGCACACCTCACACCCCTCCTCACACCCCCCCTCCTCCCATTAAATGATTGAAATGACAACATTGATTCAATGTTTTATCCATGTTGTTTGCCTTTTTCTTTGCTTTTTTTTCTTGCTGGGGGGGCAACCCCCACCTCCCACTCCCCCCTTCTCCCACTTAATGATTGAAATGCCAACATTGATTCAATGTTGAAAATATGGTATGGAAAATATGGACCAATGTTGCAATAGGTATCGTCAAGTGTTCACCCCAATATATCACTAAGAATCCTAGGAATATTACAGGTATTATTACCCCCACCCTCCTTTGATAAAAATGAAAGGAGGCTGAAAATCTGCAGTCATTAAATGTTTGTTTCTTTTGTATAATACACATCAGTGTTTCCCCTTGGTTTACAGGGATGGGGATGGCAATTCAGTAAAGTTGTTTAATACAAAACAATAATCAACTCAAAATGTAAAATATGGCCATTTCAATATTATTATAGCCCTGCTAGAAGTGCCTTAAAATCAAGGTCAAAGTTCACAAGGTTGCCAGGTCACTTGAATGGCATTTTTGGCAGCCCCGAGGCCTAGAAACGACACAGACACAAACGGACGACAGATTCTGAAACTTTGAATCACTAGGTTCAACTGACATGAATTTGATGTCTGTAGCTCTTCTAGAAGTGCCGATTGTTCTGACTGTGTCTATGGCAAAAAAAGAAGAAAAAAAAAAACCCCTGGTGGTCTCTGAGGGTGAAACCTGCTCACTGCTGCAGCTCTGTCAGCATCAGTCTCCCATGCAGAGCTCAGAGCGCATGTGTGGCTCTGCAGCCTGAGCAGCGTTGCTCACTCCTCAGTAAGGAAAGCCTGCTTCATGTAAGAGTCTCTAAACTCCAGAAGAAGTCGCTAAAAGTGGCTTTTTTTTAAAAAAAATAAGTCGTTAGGGGGTCTGAAAAGTCACTAAATCTAACAACAAAGTCGCTAGGTTTGCAACTACGTATCCCAGACTGCAGCCTTGCTGAGAGTCCCTCCCTCACTTCTCCTGTTGCAGTAAAGCCACGTTCAGAGCAGACGCGACCTCCGCGACTTCAGCGACGGCTCCCAATGCAAAGTCTATGAACAGCCGCGACCTGACGCGACTTGGCGACCGCCGGCTTCCTGCGACGCGACCATGCGCGACCGGGCGACCAGGTCGCGCATGGTCGCCGAGGTCGCGCATGGTCGCGTTGCCGAGGTCGCAGGACGCCAAGTCGCGTCGCTCCCAAAGTTCAAATATTTGAACTTTGGGAGCGACTAGCCGGGACTCCGTGCCGCGACAGCCAATCAGGGCTCTGCTGACGTCAACAAACCGGCGAAGCAAGGAGGAGGAGGGGAAAATCAAAAATCAAACAATGGAGGAACAGTTAATCACGGCGGTAAGCTTCCACCCGGTCCTGTACGACGTGGGGTGCGGACTGTACCGGGACCGCACCTCCAAGGACGAGGCATGGGTGAAGGTGGCCCATGATGTCCGGCTTTCTGGTAAGTTTGTTTGTGTATTTATTTCAGTGAGCGGACAGTTTTATGAAAACATAGCTAACTGCCCCTGTATGCTAGGCTACATGTTTCAACGTATGTGTGTGTGTCTTTGCAGTGGATGTGTGCCGCAAGCGGTGGAAGGGGCTGCGGGACGTTTACTTGAGGGCGAAAAGGAGGGAGAAAGAAGGCGGGAGAAGCGGGTTGGCGGCCTCCCAGCAGAGGAAGTGGCGTTTCACTGCGGTGATGTCCTTCCTTGACCCCTTTATTGCCCCGAGGGACACATCAAGCAACATGTCTCGGGAGGTCGAGGAAGACTTCACCGCAGAAAATGCTGCTTCTTCTGCTGGGATGCCTGAAGACCTGGAGGAAGCAGGCCCCTCAGGAGTGGAGTTTGACGGTTGGTTGATGAGTGAAAAACATAGCAAATAAATTTGAGTCCCCTCATGGTTTAAACACACCATTGTAGTCTAATTTAAGATGGACAGATCAAGTCATGCACATGTAATGTGTGAACATTTTTTATTTGAATAACAATGTTGCCTGATTGCAGAGTTTTGATTTCAGACATTTTTGTCACAACTTTAACTAAAGATAAGCCTGCTCCCTCTCCTGCTTCAGCTCCCTCTCCTGCAGCAGCTCCCTCTCCTGCCCCAGCTCCATCTCCTGCTTCAGCTCCCTCTCCTGCCCCGTCAGCTTCTCCTGCTCCCTCAACTGCGGCAAGTGATGCCTCGGGCCCCACTGCAGCCAGGCCAAGAGGTATAGAAATTAAATATTAACCATATATTCAATGAAATTGCTCAAGGTCACATAGAAATTATAAAACAAATAGTAACCGATTAGTTTTTTTTTATGACAGGGAGGAAGAGGAGGACGCCTCCCTCCTCACGACTGGAGGAGATTGAGGAGCTCCTCTGTCAGGCCCTGAGGAGGCAGCAGACTCCCCCTCCACCACCACCACCACCACCACCCACATCTCGCTATCCCGAGGAGGAGCATTTCCTCCTAAGCCTGGCTCCTTCCCTCGCGAGGCTGTCACCCCAGGCTAAGGAGCAAGTTAAATTTCAAATGTATAAATTAGTTTTTGAAGCTCAGGATTTCACACTGAATTTGGAACCAGTGGAACCTTAGCTGGGGTGACAGCCTTGGGGGGGAACGAGCCAGGCTCCTCTGTTTCAGCCATGCCCCCCCCATCCAACTTGTAAATTTGTGTATATAGTTGAAATTTTTTATTGTATTATATTTTTATATCTGCTGTTGCAGCCGTTCAAAAATTTGTTTTATTTGTTGTTATAAAAAGTATTATTATTGTTACATTATTATTGTTATATTTGTTGTTATAAATATTGTTATTATAAAGTTTTCTCAACTTTGCCTTGTTTCCTTCTTTAACATGCAGTCATGAAGTAAAATAACTAGGTTGCAGTGCTTCGATGTATAAACTTTACTTAACCCTTGTGCACCCCTTAAAATGTAATGACACCGCTACTGTTGTCTTGGCTAACAAATTAATAATAATAATACTGATCTTGTTGAATGATATGGACTTATTGGGTCTGAAATAAAGTTAGTAAATAGATAGTTAGATAGATAGTAATTTCAGCATGTAGGTAATCTGTGTTTGAAATATTACCATCTTGATCATGTCATGTTGACAATAGTTTGTTGACACAAAAGAAATGGCAATTGCATATCACTTTCACCTACACAGGACACTCGTTAGCTTTCAATTAGTACTTAGTTTTTTCACTTTACATTAATTTCCATATTGTATAAGGGACTGGAAAAAAAATTGAGCCCCTGCCCCTGTATAATCATGTGCATGTCCCTGTACTGGCTCCAAGGTTAATCTTCACTGCTCATGTTCTCCTCAGAAGCACTCACCTCACTCCCCTCAGGTGACTGTACATGCAGCAACTGCCTGCTTCAGGTTTAGATGGCGCTTCATGGTTGTGTTTTGGAGAAATGACCAGCCAAGTTGTGTTAAAAATTTAAATTTTTCTAGAGCAAAAGGAAGCCTCCGCATTCCTATCGGATATGTAAATAGCATGTTTTTGCAGGTGCATAAAAAGGGTCTGTGTGTGTGTGTGTATCTTGCAGTACTCTGAGCACAATGAGAGGCAGGACACAGACACAGTTATGGAGACATTCTTGTACATATATGTAGGACATTTTCTCAACAGTTGTTTGTGGTGGCTCTGAAAAGAACCGTTGTGGGGGTGCAGTGCACTAGATGGAATCCTGCCATGAGACCGCTCCTTCAGCTGAGAAGTGCTCGGTGAAGGACTGCCTGACTGCGGTGGCCTCCCGGGACGGGTTGTTTGAAGCGACACGTCCCAGCCCTGCCTGAGGCTCCTTACCACCTGTGATGGCACCCAACCCCATGGCAGCTTCAGGCTGAGACCTTCGCAGGAAGTTATGAAGGACACAGGTGGCCTTCACACACTTCTCTGCAACATCTGGAGAAACCTCAAGGGCACGTCGGTACATCCTCCACTGAGTGGAAAGAATGCCGAAGGCATCTTCAACCACCAGCCGCGCCCTCCACCAAGCACTCCCAGATACAGGACACGGTGTCTGCCACGATGCCCAACACGGTGGAAACTCCAACCCGGAAGCTGTATGCGATGGTCCTGACGGAGTCTCCAGTAGCCAGGAACCTAAAGCACATAAAAATTAATTTCATTACAAATTTTATTTAAAATATGAGGCCATATGAAATAGAAACGTAACCAAAGATTTGAGTGTCCATAAATCCTCTTTGACACAAACATTTATGCTAGCACCCAGTGTATCTGGTCATTTTAAAGTAATTGATTTCCAGGTAATTTTTTTACAGTATGTATTGAATGTGTTAAGGGTTAATTTTTTTCAGTGTAACTTCTTACTTTACTGAGTGGATCAAATAAAGGACACAGACCAATCCTGTTTACTTCTTCAGCAGCACCTTATCAGTCTGATCAGATAGGATTATTTTCACAGGAGTTATATTATCTGTCTTTAGTAAATTGATCAGATTCACAGAATTTCTAAATCACATTAGTGTGTGCAAGAGAAGTTTTATTTTGACTGGATATTAAAGGACAGAGGCAAAGAGCAGCTCACAGGAGGAACTCAGTGTACAGAAAGCTGATAAACTTTGCAGTTTTGCCTTATTTGCCCAGTGTATCTGCTCATTTTAAATTAATTATACTTGATTATACTCACCGCAGACAGATAGACAGGCGCTCCGAAGCTGGAATGGAGCGCCTGTAGTTGGTGTCCTGGCGGGAGATGCTGCTTCCCACCCGGGCGAGGAGGTCCTCAAACTGCGCCGTCGACAAACGGAAATACCGCTGGAAACGGCCATCGTCGAGGCGGAGCTCCTGGAGCAAACGGTGATATTCACCCAGCTCCGTTCTCCTCCGGATGGTTTCATGCACCCATACACGCCGGCGGCGTCTATGTCGGACACGAAGGTATGCGGCAGCACAGGTCACGATGTCGTCCATCTTCAACACTGGTCGCACTGAAAACTGAGCTACTGATGTTAACGTGATGACATCATCGGCGACCAGCCGCGACCTGCGACCTCCGCGACTGCAGCCCGGTGTTGACACACCAGGGCACCACGCGACGCGACCTGAGCGACCAACGCGACACGACGCGACCTGGTCGCGTTTGGTCTGAACGCGGCTTAAGAGCGTAAGCGCCCGCCCCTTGTCAATTAGTCACCATATAATTTTGGATTGGTTGTTGTGGTGAAGTTTTCCACCAATAGGAGAGATGTTGTGGTGTTTTTTTTTTTTTCTTTGGGCAAGTCTTCTCCGCCCGTAAGCACTGTTGCTATTGTCTGCATGCTGTGATTTCCTGTCTCATACAGCGCGATCGAGCGCCGAACGTGATAAAAATAATCAGAAAAAAAGTATGGCGGACATAATTTATCATAACTCTGGTTTTATTTGGTCCATCAACACAATTTAAAAACTGGTATATAGTTTTGGGTCCTCACTAGACCTTTTTCACAGTACGCGGAAGTTAGCATTCTGCTCCCTTTCGGTGTTAGCCCATAGACGGCCATTCATTTTTCATGATATTAACAAGCTTGCGACTCGTTTTTTTTAAAGGTAATACAACATTTTATGCTTTGTGCTGTTTTACTAACTCCTGTTCTTCATAATACTGTCTGGATTTTGTACTTTACTTTTCAGGAATTATGTTTCCTGAATGGTTACCATCATCAGAAATTTCCAGACCTATTAAACATAATTCCCAAAAAGTAAAGTACAAAATCCGGACAGTATTATGAATAACAGGAGTTCGTAAAACAGCACAAAGCATAAAATTTTACATTACCTTTCAAAAAATGAGTCGCGTGCTTGTAAATATCGTGAAAAATGAATGGCCGTCTATGGGCGATGCTAAGTGGCTCCACCACACGCTAACACCGGAAGGGAGCAGAATGCTCACTTACGCGTACTGTGAAAAAAGGTCTCTTTTGAGATAAGTTAAAAAGGATTCTGCGTCCGAATTGCCCGCTCGCATATTACATATTACTGCTACATACTACTGCTAGATCCTACTCCTACATACTAAACATGTTGGCCCAATTCGGACACACTGGACGAGCGGTGGGGAAAGACGACCACCGCAGGCAGAGAGTAGGTACTGCGCCCGTGCAGACAGTTTTAGACTCTTTGAATGGTAATTGTGCAAGTGATGGATGCTGCTGTATTATATTCCTGCACTGCTTTAGAAATTCACAAAGTAGCTTTTCCATTACTTTTAGCCTTCATTCACTCACGTGGTGATCGTTTGTTTAATGAGATCTGCCTGATTACTGCAGCTGTGCAGTTTAATGATGGAATAAGTGAGCTTTACCTCCATGATGTCGCCACATATTTGCTCATAAAATGATTACTTAGGCAAATATGACACCGTGACATGACATAGAGATACAACCACACATTTAAGACAGTGTGTGAAGTTACATGAAACTTACATCTGTACTGCTGCGGTCCTGCTTCCTGCTGCTGCTGCTATGCTGCTGCTTCGCCATGGTGCGCGCTGCTGTGGCCAGCAGGCATTTGCGACACATCTAAATAGGCAGCAGCCGGTGGCGCTAGCATCACATGCGCTTCTACAACTTTTAAGAGGACGAAGAAGAAGCCCAGAGTGCATTTTGGGTCAGTAGCATGCCCGTAGGATGCACCGCGACCATACTACAATGTGGGCACGTCTAGTATCTGAAGTAGTATCTGAAGTAGCATGCTACTCGCTCCGGTGGCCAATTCGGACATGCTACATACTACTTCGACTACTACTTCGACTACTACTTGGCAATTCGGACGCAGCAGGAGATTCAACGAGGCTCCGTCTTGCAGCTACATCCGGTTAAATATGTCTGTTTATTTTTGACTTGAGAAATCATGTCAGGCTCTGCTTATGCTGAGCTTCCTTCAATCATTTCTTTATGTAAATTTTCTCAATGAGCTGAAACCAGATAGAAATGAAGCATAACTTCCTGAGGAGACTAATGTGCAGAGTTTGCATGAGAAACAGAAGTTTGAAGGGATTCATACCCTAATGCCAAAGAAGTTGAGACATTGTCTAAAATGGGAACAAAGATAGAATACAGTGATCTGCAAGTCCTTTTTGACCCAAATTCAATTTAATACACTACAAAGACAAGAAATTTAATGTTCAAACTGATAAACTTGATTGTTCTTCTGCAAACATTCACATGAGCAAATAGTCCAACAGTTTAAAAACAATGTTTCACAATGTACAACTGCAGGAACTGAGAGTTTCGATTTTTTTACAGTCCATAAAATCATCAAAAGATTCAGAGAATCAAAGTAATCTCTGCTCATAAGCCCTAAAAGCAACGTTAAATGACAGTGACCTTTGACCCTTCAAGCAGCACTGCAATAAAAACCAACATCATTCTGTGAAGGATTTCACCATGTGGGCTCAGAAGGACTTCAGAAAACCATTGTCATTTAACACAATTGGTCTCTACATCTACAAGTTCAATCTCTACCAGACAAAGACAAAAGTAGATATCAACAACAGACAGAAACACTGCCGGCTTCTCTGGACTTCTCTGGAGATGGGCTGACCCAAAGTAGAAGTGTCTGCTGTGGTCTAGTGAGTCCACATTGTGGTGTCCTCCAGACTAAAGAGGAAAAGGACCATCCAGACTGTTCTCAGTCTGGTCAAAGCCAGCATCTGTGATGGTCTGGGGTGTGTTAGTGTCCATGGCTAACTGACACATCTGTGAAGGCTCCATCAATACTTAAAGGTACAAACAGGTTTAGGAGCATCATCTGCTGCCATCAGAGCCTTGTCCTTTTTTCAGGGACGTCACTGATTATTTCAGCAAGACAATGCCAAGACACATTCTGCAGGAGTTACAACAGCGTGGCAGCCTGGAGTCGAAGAGAATCTGTAACGACGAAGAATGATATAAAGCTGATTAAGATTAATAAAGATAAAGATACTTTGGCCTAGTTTTTTAAGTGTATGCCTCCTGTGCAAAAGCCACAGTACACACTACATTTTGACTCCTGACTAAAACCTTCTCTCTCTGCCCCTCAACATATCCTCTGTCTGCTCTGTCCGATTAATGAAGGCAGAAATACCTTTAAAATGAAGAAACAACATGAAAAACTGATCATGAAACACACTGCAGACACTACAGTCAGTCTGCAGAGAGGTGAAGTCTTTACCTAAAACTCCAACAACAGAACTAAAGCAGCTTCACAGAGGGACTGACAAGAATTGCAACTGCAGCCACAATGTAAAGAAGACCAGTATGAGCTGGATTTGAGTCTGTGCTGCTGGAACCTGCTGGAGCTGTTGTTCTATAAAGACCTTCATGAAGCTCAGAGACACAATCTGGAAAAATATTACAACAACACCGAATAGAACTATATGTGTGTAAAAGGTAACACACCTAGCAGTGTCTAACTGTCTATCATAGTAAAACAGCCTAAATGAAGAGTTTCAGGCTGAATGGAGCTGATGTTAGGGTTTCCACAGACACCAATGTGAGATAGAAAAGGAGTTTTTAGAGCTGCTAATTATGCTTAGTTTATCTATAGATGTTCCAGACTGACTAAGTAAATCAGGTCCTCATCAATTAGTCCAGTACCTGTAAGTCTGTGTTGGATAAGAGTGAAATGGGGCCGCGGAGCCTGGATGGTGAGTGCACAGCTTCCTCTATCCTTGAAATACTTGACAGAGGCTTAAGTTTGTTAAGTTTAAGTTTGTTAAACAAATAAACTGCTTTGAAATAAAGGAGGATTTGACTAGACGGTAGATTCACTTTCATTTGCATCTTTTTTTCTGTGTTTGCTCTTAGACAGAGCAGATGTGTTGACTGTGTTTGCCATGGGAGTGAATCCCAGGTCGGGAGTCTTCACAGGACACTGGCAAAGAGGAAGCCAAAGAAATTTACAATGCATATTCAAATTTACATTATCAGTCATCTTGACATGTTTTATTTTCAATTATTGGCAGTAGACCCAAATCAGTTAATACTTTGTTCTTCAGTTGTAAATGAGTTTTAAGATACTTCATCACACTTCTTAATTATATGATCTATCCTCACATTTTCATTCCCCTCAACGCCTTGTTACAGAGAAAACTCTTACCCCAGAAAATGCAGTACAACATGCAGTAAATTGACATCAATCTGAGACCCATCTGAGAATTTCAGATTGTTTTTGCAAATTAGAACAAGTCTAAATTCTGGTGATATCAATGATACAAACAAAAGCAAAAAACAGCAAATTTGTCCTCAAACTGCCTCATTAGAGTCTTATCTGCCACTTCACTTAATGAGCATGTCCAGCATGTCCTCCTCACCCTTTGCTTTCTTTTTCTCCTCACCTTTATTTTATACCTCCTCACTTCTACCTATCAGCTTTTCACCTTTACTTCTTGTCTTCTCACTTTTATTCCTTATCTCCCAACCTAACATTCTCTCCACAATTTCTCTCTTGTTCTCTCTCTCTCTCTCTCTCTCTCTCTCTCTCTCTCTTGTTACGCCTTCTTACCCACTTTTACACACTCTTCTTCCTCCCTCCCTTCCTCCCTCTCCTCCTTCATGCTGCTTCACACAGGTGTGTCCTTGTCAGTCTGTCTGACTCTTCACGATAAAGGACCTGAACTCTGGGTAAGAAGCAGATTTATAATCAGAAATTTATCACCTTATTGAGGTAAATACTTTTAATTTTTTTGATGCTAGACTCAAGTATTTTACCCTTAAACTCATTTAATTTTAAACTTGAGGGTTTAGGTCTAAACTCACAGATTTTTTTGTAATTGTCGATATAATATCAAAACTCAAGGATTTTAATGTCACACTCAGCACATACATTTCTAACTTCTTTCTGTTAGTAATTGTGTATCTCATTTTAAACTTAACTCTCAAATATCAGAAACTGGATATTTTGTCAGCAAAGTGTGCTCATTTCTAAGATCATTGTTTATGGACAGACTCATTTTTCATATAATTTCCTGCAGTAAAAATTAGAACATGTCTGAAGTGAAGCAGGATCAGCTGCTTTTTCTTAAAATAAATAACTTGGATTATTTTATTTTGAAGGTGCTGATTACAGATTATAGTCTCCACCATGATCTCTGCTCTGCTGCTGTCTGCAGCTCTCGTCACAGGTAAAAAGACCAATTTTTGATCTGCTTCTTTACTAAAGAATCTGAGTCTACGCACCTGTGCTGTTCCTCCCATTGAACCACATTTACCTGTAAGCCTGTAACCCAAGAACTTCAAATGAACAATCTTAATATCAGCAGCAGCTTTTTCCTCTTTAAATGTAAATTTGAGAACTATGGGAAACCTTGATTTTACCCACTCTTACAAAAACCTATATGTCTTCTGTAAAGGCCCATGGACCAATAACAAATGCTCCTTATGTTCACAAGGTCAGCCTTGCAAAACTCAGGGAAATGTAATTTCCATAACTGCAGGTCAGGAAAGTTTTACATGCTGGAAACTTGTTCATAGAAATCAGTCAAGAACCTGATCATCTGATAATCTGAACCTGAATTTAATCCCTGAGCTCTGAACTCTTAAAATGTTTACTGGAGGCATGTTTTTTCTGTTTTTTATCTTTTACTCTGCCAGAGCAGTTTAGCATGCTTAGCAGCTCAGAACGCCCTGAGTAAATTTATCTGTGAATGAAAGTGTGAGATGCTCTACTGTATTGACAGATATAAAACACTTGAAGGATAACAAGTAGGTTTGATTCCAGTCTGGTCAATGTGATAACACTTACTATGAGTCATCAGCTGTCTGTGAAACACTACAGACTTACTAAGTAATCTCATTGAGGAGACAGTTGAAGCCTTGGACTAATATCAGTAGCCATGTTTACATGGGAAACATTTGTTGATCAGATTAAAAATTTGAGGGATCGGAAAATCTGAATCCACTGTTTATATGGATGCAAACATGGATAATCTGATCATGGCGTGCATGTTTGCCAAAGATTTATTCAGATTAGAAGCATTTGGACATGCGCAGAGCTGTCTAATTTTGCTAAAACAACCACAGAAGAAGAGTTGTATTTATGCCTGTGCTGTGACTCAAACGCTGTAGTGGCTCACTTCATCCAATTCAGGATTTCCCCCTCTGTTAAATGTTGTCACTAAATGGTGTACTTGCTTACTTATTTTATTGTTCTGTCAAAGGCTGCACTGTGTGCACAGATGTGACATTATGACACTGTATGTATGTCTAATAATGTTATTGGAGGAGCAGACACAGCACCTGTTTTATGCCAGTGTTAATAATGAAACCTCCTGTACTGACCTCGATAAATAAAGAGTAAAGAACAAGTCAGGTTAGAGAGTCACAATAAGTGTTGATATGGACATATTTCGGAATAACCATTGGCATAAACCACCCCTCTTGATTGGAATACAATTTCTTTCAGATTGAGCCAAATTGGATCAGAATCTTCCGATCAACATGTTTACATGATTACATTTTCACTCTGATCAGGCCTTCATTCCGATTATTTGTGTTCATGTAAATGCAGCCATTGTGTGGTCAGCTTTACGGTCAATAACCTCAGCATCTTTGGCCTCTCGTGAGACCACTACAAGGAATAATAAACCTAGACCCTGAACTCATCTCCTGTCAAACAGAGGAATCAACATGAAAACAAAAGTTTCTTATGGGGTTAAACAAATTATGAAAATATGACAAATAAACAGAATCTGAACGGTTGAGTATATAACAGTATTAATTCTAAAAACTAAAAGGAGGACCCATGTACAGAACTCAAAATGTTTAATTGAACAAAAGAATATACTTGAAACAACAAAAGTACTTACTTAAAATTGAAAAGAATCGACTGAAAAAAATCTAAATGCAAAAAAACAGGGAGCAAGCAATCCCATATAAACAAAAAGGTACAGGGACAAACACAAGGAAGCAAGGTAGGGCATACACAGCAGCAACACAAGGCTACGACACAGACATGAATATCAACAGTGAGCCAACAAAGACAGAGGTAAAGACATGTGCTGTATACACACACTGGAAAACAAGCAACAGGTCAGACTCGTAAGTGATTAACAAAGGAGGGAAAACTGAGGAAGTAAAGCCAGACTTGACACACAAGGATTGACTGCTATAGAATACAACAGGAAACACTGAAAACTGAACTGAAGAAACCAAACTGTGAAAAACATGAACAACAGGAACATGAGAATAATTGACACAGGGGAACAGAAACACAAGGAAAAATACACAGGAAACTTAATTATAAAACCAGCAAAAACTAAATTAACGAGAACTTTTCCTGATAATTATTTTCTCCAAGTATCTCCCAGCACAACCTTAGTCTTTTCTTCTACTGTCATTTCAGTGTTTGGGGGTTCATTCTCTAATCTCTATTGCTGTTTTTTTTTTTTTTTTTTTAGATTTATGTTGTTATTTTAAGACTTACAATCAAAACAAATATCTGGCTTTTGAAGGTTTGAGTTTTTTGCTAAATCAGCAGATTATTTTTTCCTTTCTCAGGATTCATAGCCACATCATCTGAGGACAGCACTGGGTGGAACTTCACTGTTGTTTTTCCTGAGAACATCGCCTTCTATTATCCAAATCGCCCCTACAACAGGGTCTACATTACCTCCCTGACCAATGAAACAAAAATCTACATCAAGACACACGTTGTAGACACCAGCAAAACACTGAGTGCAGGGCAAACAGAAGACTTTCTTTATAATGAACGCCTGGAGCTTAGAAGGTCTAACTATTCAAATGTCACTCTGAGGATCACCAGCAACCAGAGAGTCACCATTCACGCCATCAGCCTCAAAAGCACCAGCATACAAACAGTTCTGGTTATACCCAATCACAAACTGGGGACAGAGTACTTCATTCCACCAGTACCACCAATCCAAGGAACCACCGTCAATGTAACTGAACGCCAACATTTCAGGCTCATCATCGTCAATACCAACCAAATGAATGAAGTCACTGTTAAAGCAAAACACCCCCAAAAACTTTCCCTGCATCCTGACCAGGTCGCTCAGGTCTTCATAACTGACGACACCTACCAAAGTGTGAAAGCAGACCATCCAATCACAGTCATCTTTGGTCACACCTGCGCCATCTACTTCAACTGCACCTGCAGTCTGCTGTACACCATGCTGTCACCTGCCAGCCAAACCCCTCTCAAGTTCTACATCCCAACTGTCGTAGTCAAGGGCGCAGAAACAAAGACGTCTCTCCTCCTATCAAACAAAACGACCACCGAAGTCAAGATGTTTGACCTAGGCTTACCAGTGGTGGAGACAGCTGGGACCGCCATCCTTTTCCATGCAGGCTTACTCCTCAAACTGATTCCTGTGACAGACTTTGCCGCCTGTTACTTCATTAACTTCCTACCTAATGTAGACAACTTTGCAGTGATCCTAGTCCACAAGAACCATATTGATGGAGTTCACATGGGGAGCTCTCCTTTAAAGACTACAGATTGGGAGCGGCTGACGGGGACAGATTACGTCTCTACAAAAGTTAAACTGACACCAGACAAACGTCTCATCTGGCATTCCTTAACCATAATGGCTGTCTACTTTCAAGGAAGAAGGAACCAGAGCCGGTTTGGGAATCCAGCAGCTGTTCTCAGTAAATCTCCAGGTAAGTACCTCTGACTCCAACAACATGGAGACACAAAAGCAAATCAGCCTCCACACACATACAGACAGCTAACTTTCCAAAACCCCACCTAAGCTGCTGCTTTTTGAGTGAATGTTTACCACCCTATTTTTTTTTGTTGTAAGTGTTGTGTTATCTGAACTTTTCACAGATTACAGAGGCTGCATCTCATCTCCAGAAAACCTGACAATCGGTAGTGATGCTATGAGCTGGCCAGAATCAGTGCAGTACTGCAGAAAGCAAAAAATGGAGCTGATCAGCCTCTCCAACAGTGACCATCAGAGACAAATCTATGATAAAATCCAGCAGGCTATGAACCCCAGCCCGCAGGAGATGTGGATCGGCATGCGCCGCAGCTCCCTCAACACAGAGTGGTCATGGCTGAATAAGAATCTGGTCAATGACACCAACTGGGCGGAAAACGAGCCAGGCGCTGTGGAGGAGGGTCACTGTGTTGTCATGAGTGCTAATTCTACAGGGAAAGGCTTTGTCTGGAGTGACAAAGAGTGCTGTGAAAAGGCCTATCCTGTCTGCTACATTCCCCCAATCCTCATCTCCTTTTAGAGATTCACTCATGCCTGGATTTGTAGTCAACATTTAAGTTTAATATCTGTCAGTCTTTTTTTTTTTTTTAACCATGGTAACAAAATTATCTGATTCTACTCTTTACTCTGTGTTGGCTGAACACCTATTTTCTTTTCGGTTTTGTAGAGAGCCTGAGGCTAGCCGGGCGGTTAACAAAAGAAGTAAGCCATTATTGTGGTGCAGAGATCTGCGCTGCATCACAAATTTAGCATTTATGATAACCTTAAAGCTTCTGTGAGAAGGTTTTTTGATGTTTATGAAATAGATTGAAATCCATACCGATGCCTCATCATGTCATTTTAAAACAAACAAGACCATCAGCAACAAGACTGACCATATGGATATTGTTATTTCAATTCTTGGAACCAGTGGGAAGGGGTAAGTGCCGCTGAGCAGCTGAAGAACAGCCCTATTTTAACAATTTCTACATAAAATATTCTCACTTAATGAAACATTTGAATGTCAAAAGTTGGCAGGCAGAGCTTTTGTCATCAAAAGACACTGTTTAAGCATGTAGGGGGCAGGATGAGCAAAGACTGCACTGTCCACAGGGGGTGTCATAGATGACCTGTAATCGTACAAATTGCTTTAAATCAGTCTGTAGGTCATATGAAGTAAGGAATAAAGTGAGTAGGTGGTTATACTAGTTAGAGTCCTGACAGGGTGAGCAGAGGAGTCTTACTCTTATTGGCATTTCCATCAGTTCACCACATTATGTATCTTGTATAACTGCTACTAAAGCTAGCTACAAAATTAACTAGGCAACAGAAAATAAGAGGTTAAAGATGATTTTTCTGTTTTAATGTGATTTTTCTCCCAGCTTAAGTCATAGTCTCTCGAAATCCATGTTCTTTAACGTTTCCATGGCGACATTTACACTCCTTTTCACAGAAAAGAAGCAAATGTCAAAACTCTCAGTAATGTTGCTTTATGGCAAAACTGCTAATGGCTGAAATAACTGTGTAAAGATCAGTAGCTTCTTAATGCTCTCAACAGCTTGCTCCTGGTGCATAAGCTGCAGGACAGACGAGACAAAGTGACTATGATGAAATGACCCCAATTTTCTGGAGTAATTGTGAGGAAAAGACATTTTGAAGGCCAAATCTTCTTTTTAAAGCACTTTTAACATAAGTTATGTTTTTTTCATCTTCATAATTAAATTATGTTTTCAGTTTCTTAAAAAGGAGTCATTGCAGGTGAACAGAATTTTTAAAAACAGGCACGCCATATATATAACATCCATGTAGAGAGTATAAGAATAAATATCTTCTTTTATTTCAAATTTTGGCCTCTAAGTGGTTAAGTCATACTGTTGTGCTTCAACCATTAATAAAGATCTTTTACCTTGAAATGTGTGTGTGTTCTTGTACTTCACCTCACAGAGGTAAGTTATGGTCATAATGATGATGGTATGATGTTTTTGGTTAAAATTCAGGTTAAATTTTTTTATAGACATGGACCTCTGTAAGACTTTTCCTGCTAAGTGGTTTTACTGTATCATCAAATAAGTATGAAACACAGACTGCAGAAAAGAAGCCCATCTGCGTATTTATGCCAGTCTTCTGTATCCTGATCACATGGTAGGTGGGCCTGTGAAGATCTCTACTAAAACCTATAAAAGTTGTTTTTTCATTTTAAAATTGGTTTTATTCAAAAGCTGTGTTTGAGAGAACACGCAGCAGAGGTAGGTGCATCCCGCACAGTAGTATTTTCGTCTGGTGGAGCCCAGCGCACAGCCAGTTTGGTATTTTTGTAGACTGGGGTGCACCAAGGTCCGCCAAGTTGTATGTGGCGGGACGGTTGGGGGTAGTGTTGACAGAATCAGCTGACACAGTGACATTTTCGTGCCTGCTGGCGGTTTGGAAAGTGCGCTGAAAGCTTGACGATTCAAACCTGGTCAGCTTTCAGCGCAGACGGAATGCAGCTGGTCTAGTGGTATTTTGGTAGACCGACAGCGTAGTGTGCATACGTCACCAATGCCTCACCAGCAGGTTTCCAGTGTCAGGCACATTTCAGTGAAATAAATAATCAACAACAACTACTATTCAGTGTAACTATCTAAGTCAGCACATAAATTTAGATTTATAGCGATATATTCTGATCTACAGTGTCTTGAAAAAGTATTTATACCCCTTGAACTTTTTCACATTTTGTCACAGTACAACCACAAACTTAAAAGTTATTTTTTGAGATTTTTTGTCAGACCAACACAAAGCAGCACATAATTGTGAAGTGGAACAAAAATGAAACATGGTTTTCAATAATTTAAACAAATACAAATCTGAAAAGTGTGGTGTGAATTTGTATTCAGCCCCCTGTACTCTGATACCCCTAAATAAAATGTTCTCGGAGTGGCTTCACCCAGCGAGGAGGCAGATGGCGTCCATTCTTTATACAGTCTATGGTCACGGGTAGTACTTATAAGAGGTACTGATGGTAGGTACCAATGAAAGGGACTAATCAGGGAAGCAGATGAGTGGAAATAAATGACAGGAACTCATAAGAGGAATTAATAAGGGGTATGGGTATGAGGAACTATAGAGGTACTGATAAGAATAGCTGATAGGAATTCACAAGGGGAGCTGATAAGGGGTACTGATGGGCGGTGCTAATATAAGACCAATGTTAAGTACTTGCTGATAAGAGCTGGAAAAGTTGAACCATTATGAATAACTAATAAGAAGAACTTATAAGAGGTAATAATAAAAGGAACTAATAAGAGGAGCTGATAAGGGGTAGAATAGAATAGAATAGAATATTCCTTTATTGATCCCCATGGGGGAAATTTTTTTTGTCACAGCAGCATCAAAGACAAAGAGTGCAAAAATGCAGTTATAAAAATAAAGAACCTAAAATTAAGAACTTGAATAAATGTAATAATTAAGAAAAAATTTAGAAAAAGGAAAAAGGGAGAAGAAAACAAAACTATCTACAATATACACAATTTAAATGCCCGAAAAAAGTGGTGGTGTGAGTCCAGTTATTATTACAGTTCATTGTAAAGTCTTATTGCAGAGGGGAGGAATGACCTGCGGTAGCGCTCCGTCCTGGAAGGTGGGAGTCTCAGTCTGCTGCTGAAGGAGCTGCTTAAAGCCCCCACAGTCTGGTGCAGTGGGTGAGAGGGATTGTCCATGATGGATACAAGCTTTGTTAACATCCTCCTCTCACCCACCTTCTCCAGGGAGTCCAAAGAACAGTCCAGGACAGAACTGGCCCTCCTGACCAGTCTATTCAGTCTCTTCCTGTCCCTCTCTGTGCTCCCTGCCCCCCAGCAGACCACTGCATAGAAAAGTGCAGATGCTACCACAGAGTCATAGAAAGTCCTGAGCAGAGTCCTGCACACTCCAAAGGACCTCAGTCTCCTCAGCAGGTGGAGACGACTTTGGCCCTTCTTGTACAGAGCGTCTGTGTTTGTTGACCAGTCCAGTTTGTTGTTGAGGTGGACACCCAGGAATCTGTAGGACTCCACCATCTCGATGTCCAGACCCTGGATGTTCACTGGAACAGTCTGAGGTGTCCTCCTCCTGCGGAAATCCACGACCATCTCCTTTGTCTTACTGGGATTGAGCTGGAGGTGGTTTTTGCCACACCAGTTGACAAAGTCAGTGATGACAGTCCTGTATTCCCGCTCATCCCCTGATGATACACATCCGACGATGGCTGTGTCATCAGAGAACTTCTGGAGTGACAGTTTCCAGAGTTGTAGCTGAAGTCTGATGTGTACAGGGTGAAGAGGAAGGGGGACAGCACTGTCCCCTGGGGAGCCCCCGTGCTGCAGACCACCATGTCCGATACACAGTTCTGAAGCCTCACAAACTGTGGTCTGTCGGTGAGGTAGTCCACGGTCCATGCGGCTAGGTGACAGTCCACTCCCGCCCGCTCGAGCTTCCCCCTGAGTAGTGAAGGCTGGATGGTGTTGAAAGCACTGGAGAAGTCAAAAAACATGACCCTCACAGTGCTGCCGGTATTCTCCAAGTGGGCCATGGACCTCTGCAGCATGTAGATGACTGCGTCGTCCACCCCGATGTTCGGCTGGTACGCAAACTGCAGAGGATCCAGATGAGAGCTCACCAGGGGCCGAGGTTCCTCAACACGATCCTCTCCAGAGTCTTCATCAGGTGAGAAGTGAGGGCCACAGGTCTGAAGTGGTTGGGCTCCCTGTGGTTTGCTGTCTTGGGGACAGGAATCATGCAGGAAGTCTTCCACAGTGCTGGGACCCTCTTCAGACTCAGGCTCAAGCTGAAGATGTGCAGTAGCACCTCACAGAGCTGGTCTGCACAGTCCTTCAGGAAAATATTAAGTAGTACTAATATTAATCAATGAGAAGATGTACTGATAAGTGGTACTAATAACAAAAAACTATAAAAAGGATCCAACCATAGGTACTTATAAGAGGTTCTGATATGAGGTACTCATATAAGGAAATAATAAGAGATAATGATGGGGGGTACTACTATAGGGAACAAATAAGAGTAACTGATAACAGATACCTGCAATAGATACTAAGAGGTTCTGATAAGAGGTACTAAGATCAGGAACTGATAAGAGGTACTGATGGGAGGTACTAATATGAGAAACAAATAAGAGGAGCTTATGAAGTGTACTGAGAGGGACTATTAAAAGGCACTGATAAGAGGTACTCTGAAGAGAAACTAAACTTATTGATAGGGGGTACTAATATGAGAGACTGATAAGAAGAACTAATTAAAGGAACATACAGGAGGAGCTTATAAGAAGAGCTGAAAACAAGTTACTATAACAGGAACTGTAAGCCACAGCCAAGGTGTAGAATTGAAGAAGATACCACAATCTCTTACTAGATTTTGAAGAAACAAAAGAGAAAGGTTGATACTTTGCGTTATATTTGTTCTTAATTTCAACACATGCAGGTATTTTGATCAGTGGCGGCTGCTGGTCTTTCAAGGAGGGGAAGCTCATTTTTTTCTGGCCTACATCATAATTGTGTTTGTTTATTTGTATGTAACAGAACAGAGTCGCCAAACACAACGGCAGTTGTTTTTAACAAAGACAAAAGTCGCTGAGGATCGGTAAAGTCTCTGGAGCAGTTAAGAACAACGGAATGAATAACTTGGAAAATGCTTTGGTAGATGTTTTATTCTTCAAGATCGCTGATTCACTTGTTTAGCTGTCAATCAAAAAAGGATTTCGCCTCAGACAGCTCATCCAATCATGGATGCAGAAGCTCGGAGTCCGGGAGAAAGTTGGGACCGCCCTCTCGCCATAGAACTCCAGAGACGCCGAGCGTCCGATGGGCGGGACAAAGCCCAGCATCCAATGACCGTCTAGTTTCGCTGCTGGAACAACCCACTTTGAGCTTCCACATTGAAGTCAGCAGAAGCTGGGCGTCTGGCTGTGTAAAGCGCTGAGGCGCTGCAAGGATGAATGAGAACGAAGTTGTGCAGAATCAGCTTCTTATCACACTGTGATAAGAAGCTGATTCTGAACAAAAGATGAAGGCTTTCTAGTGCGTATTTAGTTAATCAAATGTACACACAGCAGTACGTATTTCACCACTTTTTCTTTTTTGGGGGGTGACATTTTAAGGGAAGCTGAGCTTCCCTTGCAGTCTTAGAGCAATCGCCACTGATTTTGATGAATATTTCACTCAAATTGCTTGTTTGAGCTGGATTAATACCCAAGGGGTTCTAGTTTGAAGTCTTCTGTGTTATGAAGTTAGGACATATGCACCTTTCCCTTTTTGCTAATTTTTTTCCGGACATCTGAACTTTTTGAGCTGCACCTGTATTCATTTACACATGTGACTGTAGTGAGCCTTTTTGATATGTCATGAAAATATTTAAGCGCTTTTAATATTTATCAATCCCATCCTCCCTCTGGGGACCGATCTGGTTCAGCTCAGAGACCAGAGACTCCAGTTAAATACAGCCAAGGTCAAATATGCTGCACCTCACTCGGTTTAAAACTGTGTGATAGTGTTTCTACCTGCAGAGGGCGCTAAAACATCAGAAAAGCCTCTATTCAGATTTGAAGCTTTTAATCCCTGTTTTGGTAAAAAACCACAGAAAATAAAACAGACCCTGAGAAAGTCACAAAGGGAAGGTGCTCATGCTAAAAACAAGCAAACAAATGGGACATAAAAAAAAACATAAAATTAATAATTCAGACCATTATATAAACTGCATGAATGTATGTTAACAGAGAAATGTTCAAAGTGGTTTCTGAATTGCCTTCCTTGTCATAGGTCTTCTTGGGTGATTTCTGGTTAGTAGATACCTGGACAGGTGAGATCACTCAGGTGAAGCTGACTGATGTTTGCCTCCAGGTTTGATCTCATCTGTGACAAAGTGCTCACCTGGACTGAGAGAACCTTGTGAAGCAGAATGAGTCTGACTCACTGCAGGTGTAGATAGTTCTTATGAGTAAGAGGAAACCCCAGAGTGATTAAAATCTCTTTGTAGGTGCCTGAGAAGAATGAACACAGTGTCAGCAGCAATAAACTGACAGGACAGACCCATCAAGTTTGTTGATCTGTTTTTATGACCTAAACGTAAATAAAATAAATGGTGTGAAATGCATGGCAGCTAATGAGATGAATTAAACCTGTTTCTATGTTCAATTTAAGATTTAATGCTCGGACTATTTTAGACTCTAACTGTTAGAGACTGTTATTAGCTCAAACTGTTAAAGACTTGGATTGTTACAGGCTCAGACTGTGTTAAACTTAGTCTGAAAAACCCAAACTTTTACAGGCTCGGATTGCTTTAGACTCAGAATCATATAGGCTCAGTATGAAAAATTCAAACTCTTACAGGCTCAGACTTTTTTAGGCTCAGACCTTTTAGTGTCAGACTGTTTTAGACTCAGACTGTTAAAGACTTAAACTGTTATAGGCTCAGACTGATTTAGACTCAGGCTGATTTAAGCTCGGACTGTTATAGACTCAGAGTGTTAAAGACTTAAATTGTTAAAGACTGATTTGGGTTTATAACTGTGAGAGCCCTTGTCCCTATTTTTTAGCTCTGTTTTTCTTGCTAGTCACTGCTGAATATGTACTGCTTTTACTCACATAGACACCTGATTTACCTGATTCTTTAAGTTATTCTTTATCCTTTTAACTTAGACCAGCTTTTCTGATAGAACTCTTATCATCCCACACACAGAGGGAGGAAGTAACTGCCTGAGGACCAAACATCACTCATTAAGCTCCTACTTAGCTGTCTACTGTGATGACAGGGGCTTCCTCCTCACCTGGACACACCTCAGTGACCGGAAAACCTCATTGCAGTCACTCTGATGAATCTGACTGAGTCATTATCATGAAATTCAGGCCAAAGCTTTTATTGATATATGGTTTCAAAAACATGTTGTAAAATTGATGAGTATAACCTGGTGAAGCATCAGTGTACCTGTGCGAACACCTAGATGAAATAAACTGCAGCTACACTCCCATGTCGGTCAATGAATGAGAGAAGATGGGTCAATTATTCTTTTATCTTATCAGTTATTTCCTCTCTCTCTCTCTCTCTCTCTCTCTCTCTCGCTCTCTCTCTCTCTCTCTCTGTGTGTGTGTGTGTGTGTGTGTGTGTGTGTGTGTAATACACGGGGGAGGGTCATGATTGGCTCTGCTCCCTCCACCTAGCCGCTGACAGAGAGCTTTGTTATGGTCAAGTCCATCAAGTCAAGCACAAACATGACACACTTCCTGAATTACTGCCCCTTCATAATAAACATAAAATAAATTAGCCCTGAAGAAAACTGATTTTCTTTCAATTTGAAAAAAAATATATATATATATTTGCCTTCAATTAAAGCATCAGACTTAGACTAAACTTTATTCATCACTTGGGATGACTCCCGCAGGAAATTTGGGAAATTGACCATGTAATAATTTAATAAATTTATAACATAGATTTTGATTGTGATCTGACCTGATCCACTATACTTTTTTCTGTCAAACATTGATCAAATTTGATTATTTTTTCGGTTGTTTTCATTTTTTAATGACCTGTCCATTGTAAAACATTGATTTGGGCTCTAACCAACACATCTTTGATAGGCCAAAAATATTTATTACAAGAGCCCCCACAGCAAGTCAGTCACGAACAAACTTTTATTTTGACAGTAAGGACAGGAACAGGTCGTTTCCTGATGTTTCTCTTCATGCACATGTTTGGTCTCGACGCACCGCGGCGCGCAGAGAGGTTCACTCTCAGTCCTGATCCGACAGCAAAGCAGCACAGAGCTACAAACTGAGGATGGACCGGCAGACAGTTTACGAGTGACCGGATCAGAGAGGAGTAAGACCCGGACAAATCGGATCCAGAGGGCCGAGACAGCGGCTCCGGTTTCTAACACCGATCTTTGGTTTTAAGCAGCCACGCTCTGCAGACACACACCGCTCCCTCTGCTGCTGGAGGAGTCCGAGCAGCTGCGGAGTCCGGCTCTAACTTTCTCAGGGTCCGTTCTTCTGCACTTTCCCCCGGTTTGATCACCGTACAGAGTCCAAGCTGCTGGATCCATCACCGAACCGGCCCCGGTATGACCCCACCGAGCTGACAGTGATACCGCCGCGGGATTTAATCCAAGTCCTCTCATTTAAGAGACTACGTGGTGATTTACTGCAATCAGAGTGAATACGGAGGAAACTGCAGGCTCACAGGTGAGTGAGCTACAGAGACCCACGAGAGGACCGATTATCAACCTGACATGGAGCCCCGCTTCAGGACACACAGCTGACAGCTCAACTGTTCTCTGTATGAGACTCTTTCAGTGGGTTTATCTTAGCTTCCTGCCCACAGACCTTCGGAAATACTCAAACTGAAACACGGCACTCAAGACTCCACATCGCTCTGTCACAACGACCCACGACCCACGACTCAGACCGAGCCCCGGACCACAGACCGAGCTCCGTACCACAGCCCGACCTCCAGACCCCTGACCGAGCTCCGAGCTAGACCGAGCACCGGACCATGGCCTCCTCCTCCTCCTCTTTGCGAAGCAGCGGCCTCTCGTTGCTGTGGAGACGAACCGTGCTCGCGCTGTGCATGTGCGCGCTCGGAGCGCGTTCAGCGGAGGATGGCAGCAGCTTTAATGCAGAGGTACTCAGAGTTTCTTTGTGACCAGACTGAGTGATGCTGTGAATGAGGGGCTTATGTGACACTTGAAGCCAAGAGGACAGTTTATATATAAAGGATCAGTTTTGGAGGGAAGTTTTCATACAAAGTTAAATCAGAGGCTTTTTGCAAAAGAGTTCAATTAACTTTGGATGAAAGGTTCATAAAACGTTACTTAAGTTTAGTTGAGGGTTTTATTAAAAAAGTTAAATAAGCTTTGGAGGAGAGGTTTTAACCTTTTTTTTTAATCAGAGGAGACTTTGTATAAATAGTGAAATCAATTTAGTCCAATTTGGTTTATTTAACACACTGCTTATTCAGCTTCTTTCTCCAGCCATAAAGGACTCTGGTTCTGTTGGTTTGTCCTCAGGTACAAAACTTGATAGAGACCAGTCCATTTTTGGTCGAGTAGCTGTACTGCAAAGACAGGGGGACACACATAAAGGTTGTCTGGTTGTTGTAGTTGAGGTTTTGTCAACAAACTTGGGGATCAGTGTCTGATGGTGTTACAACAGAGCCCTGCAGAGTGTGTACAGGTGTGTGTGTGCGTGTATGTGTGTGTGTTAATATTTCCCATTGGCAGAGTAAAGGTTCCAAATTGTTTGAACTAACAACAAACTGCTCAGCACTTCTTACTGAGAGAGAGAGAGAGAGAGTGTGAGCTCCAAAGACTGTTGCAAACCTTGATGTGAACACCTAAGGTTCTTCATAAGAGTAAAAATGCAATTATCTGACTAAACCACTTCATATTGTGTTTTCATTTATTGACAAAGAAATACCTGAAGTCCTTCTGTGCAGTATTTGTATTCCAGAGCTGAGGCAGAATTCTTTGACATAAGTCTCTGTCCTGATTGGCTGATTGATTTGTCTCTGTCCTCTTTTTTAGTTGCAAACTAGCCTAACTTTAGCCTAAAGGTTGTGCAGTGGAGTACAAATCAGAATCAGACTTACTCAAAATGTGTCATGTAAAACTGTACAACTGCTGTGGGCAGGCCTGGGTCCACCCACTGGGCAGTCATGCTCATCCAATCAGAGGGCTTCTTGATACTGTTAGCTGTGTGTGTTTGTGAATCAGAGGCTGTGCAATGGTGTTACTGTTGGTGTCTGTAATGTTACCGGTGATATAACTTAATTCATCTGCGTTTAAAGAAACAATCATAATGTCCTGTTTTAATTCAGATATGTGCTCCAGAACTGGGTAAAAAGACTGTTGTTAGGGTCAGTTAGACCCACATCTCAACAGTCAGCTTAAAGGGATATTCCGGCGTAAAATTAAGTTAGGGTGCAGCGGATCATTTCTATTAAGTAATTATCATCATATTAATCATTTTGCATTGCAGACGCTGTAGTTCTTCTGCCTTAGTGTCTCGGTCTGATTGCATTTCCATGAAGAAATGATCATAAATGTTCTGTCTTGAGCTGTGAAACTCCACTGCACTCTAACTAGAGAAGCAAGCAGTCAAGAACATTCATCTCTAGAGGGGGTGTCTTACTCGGTGTTACAGTGTGTTTGACCATGACTTAAACTTATGCCAGAATATCCCTTTAAATCAAAACTAGTTGAATCAAAACTTTGAGATCTCTAGCATATAAAGTATAATTATTCTGTGTCATAAACCAATGAAAGGATTTGAGCTTTTTGATCACTTCCATTTTATCACAGGCTGCAGATTAAACAAACTATTCAGTCTTTTCAAGCTTTTAGATCACGTCTTTAATAAAAACCAGACTTGTATTTGTATTTTAGTGTCAATCATCGCAATGTCTCTCACTTTTTTGCCCAACAGAGATTGGGCTCAAAAGTGCTCATACACACCTGTGATCATTACAGCCTCTCTCTCATGATGCTTACTCTTGACTCTCTGCTTGACGATCACACACACCTGCCTCCTCCTGCTCCCCTCGCTCTCCTCTCTCCACTTGTTTCGACTCTTTGCTCTCCTCTCTCCTGCTCCTCTCCCTGCTCTCCTCCCCTCCTCCTGCCGCTCTCTCTGCTCTCCTCTCTCCTCCTCCTACTCCTCTCCCTGCTCTCCTCCTCCTGCTTCTCTCCTTTCTATAACAGCCAAACTGTGGCTGAACTTGCACCGTGTGAACAGTTAACCTGCTCTCATTTCAGGCTCTTTCTATGTATTCTAAATTAAAAGTCAGGTAGACATGATCAGCATGTTTATGTCAAGCTACAGTCCTTTCTAAATGAGGTTTTGTTTGGTTAGTGTCTTTGCAACACAAAGCCAGACTCTGTGGGACTGAGGTCAAACTTCATTAAACACCCACTCTGCTGTTTATACCCCACACTCTGTAACACAGTCTGACAGATCACTCCTACTCTGTCTGAACAGAGAGGATGAGGAGGAGGAGGACAGGATGGGAGGAAGGAGAGGACAGAGGGATTAGGATAAGAGAAGGGAGACATGAGAGGATACAGGTGAGGAAAACTTTCAGAGTCAGAACAAGGGAGACACAAAGACGAAGAAAGAAACAAGAAGGTTCAGGAGACAATCTGAGCTCAGTAAGTCTCAGCTGTGCAGCATGTGACGACTGAATGTGACAGCTGTTCTTTGAGAGAGGGACACACACGGGCATACACACACACACACACACACACACACACACACACACACACACTTGTACACTCACAGGCATGCAGGGTCTGGGACTCAGAGGCATCTCAGGAAATACAATGGGCTCTCTTGTCTGTGGAGAGCAGTGAGAGGAGAGCTGATAAAGGGGGGGGGGTCTCCAACATAACCTGAACATCCTGAAACAGCTCTGCCAAAACTGGGCTGGAAATAAACACATTATGATCTTTTGAAAATGTGCCAGTTTATTCTAAATAACACTCTTATCAATCACACAAAGTCCTACACTTACCCGGGTCCAACTTGTTCAACACCAGGAAGTTTCAATGGGGTGATAAATACAAGAAAAAGCATGAAGAGAAATGCACTCATTCAAAACCAGATTTTCCAAGATCTGGACGTACATTTTTGATGATGTAATTTTACGCATAGCTATGTATGGAAGTGTGGTGCGGGGACCACTCAGTGGACTAGAGTTCAACACATGGACAAATACCTAATGGCAACTCTCCATAGTGAGTTCTGTCAGAGAGGTCAGGGTTTTAAGGAAATTAGCAAAAAATGCCTGTTGAGCAAAACTGGGGCTTTAACCTTCTGGCTGCACCTGTACCTTAGTACAACAGACTCACTCCAGTACAAAGCACTGAAGGCCCAAGAGCTGAGCCCTGAAAACAGCCCCCTCAGTCAGCTGATGAGGAAATAAACCACACAGGCTCCCGCCAAAACTGACTCAAAACAATAGAGCACAGTCCAAGAAGTTATTAGCAAATCAAGAGTTAAGACCACTGGACAAAAGAAACCAAACCCAGAAGTCCACTAAACTGCACTGAACTTGATTGCATGCATTAGTTACATTTCTCAGTATGGTTCCGGTCTGAGGGGTCCCTCAGCAACCTCCCTCTGTGTTTCATGTGCATACAAACAGACAAGTTTGTCTTCCTTGTTTCTCCTCATTGTTGGTTATAATCTGCAGCATACCGTCTCTTTGCATTCCAGCCACTTCCTAGTGTGCTTACCTGTGATTGGCTGTTACCATGTCCATGCAGACAGTGGGGAATCCCATCAAGCAGGAGGTTTGGCTCAATATGTGTTCAGGCTGCTGCTTCTTTAGCACTTAAACATGGGCTTAGCGGGGTACTAGAAGTGGGGGACATGGGGTACTAGAAGCTTCTGGTACCTGTCCCTTCTGTCCTTTACACTTTTCTGGCCTGCATTCTTGCTCCTGAACAATCAGTCCCCCTCACCTCTGAAATGAAAACTACACACCCTTGCGTTCAAGGACTAGTTAATGTTAAATGTTTATGTGCCTGACAGTGGACTGGAATGACTCTGCTGTAACTCTGTAAGCTCACGTGCAGTGGATGGTTTCAGTGTTAATATGTAACTTCAGTGACATGTTCAGAGTCTGCTCTGTTTACACAAAAGAGGGAGCAGAGGTGGATTAAAGAGTTCACTGGCAGAGATGTGAAGGACAAACAGCTCACTCAGTAGTCTGACTCTTACTTCAGACTTTTAATGACACAGCTGGTGTAAAAAAGAGAGATGTCTGACATGCACATCCTGAAACACAAACATATTTCACAAAGGGTAAAAGTAATTTTTGAAAGGGAATGTTTATTCTGCATGTTGGACATCTTTCTCCATTTAATGAAAAGTTTTTGGGAGTCATAAAGGTATTTGGATTCTATCAGATTTACACTGACACTCACTGGTGTTATATAGTGTAAATGTTGAAGCACCAAGGCACACCTGCAGGTGCGCCACACAAGTGAGCTCAGGTGAGCAGCCTGTCCTCTCTACATGCATGTGAAGCTCCGCCCACCTCAGTCAAATAGACAGAGACTGAAATGCAGCCCGGTGTAAATGTTGACTCTGGGTAAACCCAGTCTGTGGATCAGCTAATCTGAGAACTGATCTGTTCCTATCACTGGTCCACTACCCTCCCCCTCACCACCAGACTCTTGTTCTTTTCCTTCAAATTCTTTTGTTTTCCTGATTCCTTGTGCTCTTCTCTTCTTACCTATCTGCTTAATTATTGTCCTTAACTTTTCCTCATTTATTTTTTTTTGTCACCATATCATCAAATTGAAGTTTCTTTCTTTCTTTCTTTCTTTCTTTCTTTCTTTCTTTCTTTCTTTCTTTCTTTCTTTCTTTCTTTCTTCCTTCCTTTTCCCTCCCTCTGTGTTTACTTCTCCATCCTCTCGTTCAGCTCTGGGGGGTAGGACATGGCAGCAGACCAAGACTTGAATAAAAGCTCTGTTAGTGTCTTGGCTGACATTGTGGTCACACACTTTCTCTCTCTCTCTCTCTCTCTCTCTTACACAAACACACACACACACACACACACACACACTCCTGGCAGGTTTTACAGCTCCTTGTATATAGCTGGGTCTGGATTTGGCAGGTAAGCTCAAGGACTCTGTGAAAGACCATTAAACAGACGAGAATGGCGTGCTGCATGCTTGCTGTCCAGCCCCACCCCGTCCTCACTGTCGTCTCAGACTTAGTTTGTATTCAGTCCAGCCAGTAAGCATCCAGACTAAAGCACTTTACCGTTCAGGACGACGAGAGTGAGGAATGGCAAGGTTCACATCCTCCATACATCCTCCCAGACGTTAAGAGAGAGAGTCCAACACAGACCTGGACTTGCTCAAAGACACAAAGACGTATCACAATCAGTCCTCATCAGTGTTTCCAATGGGATCTGACCTAACTGAATTTGTCCTTCTGAAATAAAAAACACAAACAAAAAAAAAACAAAAACATGCTGATCTGATGACATTAACTGCACTGATGTGAGGAGATCTGGTGTTCAGTCAGGAGCTCTCTAAGCTCTTAGATATCTGTGTAAACCCATGTCTGAACAGCTGGTGATGAGGTGAGACGTATTCACTACAGGCCTGTCCTAGATTGGTCCATTTGATCTCTACCAGTGTGTCCCCTCTAATTCTGGCTTTGACACCCAGGACAGTCCTCCCCCTTTGGTTTCAGTAACCTGCTGCACTCTGCTCATGATCCTTTTTGGTAAAGTTTATTCAAAATTTTTACTACTTACCACAGTCAGCCGTGATCCTATAAACACAAATAGAGCATAGTGTTAGTTTAGGCAGGCCATGAAGTCAAGCTTCGCCCAAAGTCTGTCAGCTGATCTTAACTACAGCTCATATCAGCTGTCAGTTCAGCTGATGACCTTCTACCATACAAGATTCAAATGTGAAAACGTTTCTTATATCAAAATGTCTTCAGCCTGTCTACTCATCCTTCTTCCCCTAGAAAAAAGCTTTATTACCATCACTCCTTCTTTTATGGTGTGTGTAATTTTACTAGTCTTTGCTGCTGCCCTCCCTGCCCTCACCCCAATTCCTCCTTTTTGTGCTGTACTTGATTTTACCTGTGTTTTTGCTGCTGCTCTCCCAACCTCAATCCTTGGTCCTCTTTATTTGGAAAGGGCTGGTTTTAACAAAGTCATTACTGGTGCGCTCTCATCCTCCACTCCAGGTTCTCTTTTTTATGATGTTACTGATTTAACTTGTGTACTTGCTGCTGCTCTGCCAAACTCCACCCTAGCTCTTCCTTTATGCCCTGTGTAGGATTTTACCGGAGTCTTTCAATGAAAGTCAGGATTTTTAGATATTAATGTGCCTGTTTCTCTCACAATCACTGAGAGAGTGTGGGAGACAGTCTGCAGAGTGTTTTAAAAAAATGCATGTTTGTGTGTTTGTGTATGTCAGTGTGTTACAAGCCTCCTAATCCAAAAACCACATTTTTACTAAACTGACCCATTGTCCATTCAGAGTTCAGCTCTAACCGATGAGAAAAATGTCTAGGAGTATAAAGTGTATTATTATATATTAATAACTATTGTTGTTATGACTAAATCTTAAACAGACATTAAAGCCACATGCAGCGCATCACTGTCCCTGGCAGCGCCCCCACAGCAGCTGTTTCGAGGCTTCATTGAAAACGATAACTCTGCAAACACTCAGTGCTTTCTGCTGTTTCAGAACCAACAAAAAATTCACCAAAAACCTTTAAAATCACTGCTGAGTGTACTTCTTTATACTGCTGTGAGAGATCAGACAGCTGATTGGATAATACCAAACCTGCTGAGGATGGAGGTGTGTGAGCATACAAAACAGCAGCCTGACAATCTGATGGCGGACAACACGCCCTCATCAGATCTTTAACCGGTTGTAGATCTATAATTCTGCTGATCGCAGATAAACAGCTGGCCCAAATTCAGACCTCAACTCACGGCAGCTCATCTCCACATGTGGGTGCAGGTGATTTAACAGGTTTTAAAAGTTTGAGCTCCCCAGGCTGTGAATCCCAGACCCTGTGGGTCCAAACACCTCCAATCTCAGCCCTGACCTCCTAATGGCTTAGAGACAGAGATGTGTGGTCTTGGGGCAGAGGGACTGAGATTTTGACTTAACATTTGAATTACTTTTGGTTTTCGTATGAAAGTGGATGAGAAATAGGATCTGTGTTGACTTCATTTATCATTAATGTTCGATAGACTGCACTGCTGTAGCCCTCTTCTGGTCTGGAAACGTCTCAAAGCTCCTCCACACCTCATGTATGTCCACTCATTCATTGAAAGGCATCAGATGCTGATGTAAAGAGCAGCTATCAGTCAAGGCTGGTCTCATTCACACATGTTGGCTCTTCCTTCAGGAGCAGCTGAGGTGTGGATGACAAGAGGACTGAACCAGCCTCCAAACTCCACACCCTTAGAGACAGAAACAAAAGAAAGCCAGATCCCTTTTTGACACTGAGATAAAACTGAAAGTGATTGTCTTTCTTTTCCAAAGCACTCAGAGATGTTTTGGTGAAAAAATACTTTTCATTTTTATTATTTTTGGCATCCTTCAAAATGATTTTTTTGGCTTAAATGATATAAAGCCTCAATCTTTGGGGATCTGTGGGATTTGCCTTTGTCTCTTCTCCTCCTCAGAGAAAGACGACTTTCTCTAAGGAGGATCAGAGGCTAAACAATGTCACCCTGAACCGTCTGGCCTCCTTACAGTGCAGACTGCAGTAATGGGGGTGTAAATATCCCACCTTCACCTGTCAACCTGTGAGGGTCTGTTGATTTATTGAGTCTATCAAGTCTACAGCACAATGCTAGATCACTAAAGCACTGCAAGAGAGTCTGATAGCAAAGGAAGGACACATGCAGGACAGTTTTATTTCTTGAACTGAGCTTTTCAGAGTGAAGGAGCTCAGATCATGTAGCATCTTATCATCACCATGATGAGGGCATGATGGCAGCTCTGGGGTTTCAATACGAAGGGCTCTGAGGATAGAGTTGTTTTCAGTTGGGTCTACACCTCTGTGTGACCTTTTTATTTCGTCCTTAAAACTGCAGCTGAGTGGTGCATAACAGGTTAGTGGATACCTTTATGTTGCAAGTTGTTGTTCAGGGTTAGGCTTAGTCTAGATCACAGGGACTGACCCAGACTGGTCGGACAACTTTATACTTGACATGGGTGGGATGTATGTATGTATGTACAGTATTTTAGTACTTATCCGCATCCAAACTTGATTAAAAAGTTGGGTACCATTAAATCCGACTTTCTGCTTGAGAGCTTGTGAACACTGAAGTCTGAGTAGTAAGTCCCAAACTGAGAGACAGGGACCAGCAGATAAGGACCAAGCATATCCGGCTAAACATATATGGCTAAAACCGCCATAATTTGGCCTTCAATGGTGGCGGTCATCAATAGGCTTACTGTGGACTCAGTCTGCCAGTGGACTTACAGAGTTTGCAGTTTGACTGAAAACATGACACAAAGCAGAAAATCTGGGCTGAACAGACGAGATAGGTTTATTTTGATTTATTTATTTTTTTGCTTCCCAGCAAAGATAAAGACATGTCAGGCCACTAGTTCACAGTATAATACATAGTGCTACATCAGGCAGGCTGACAGCTCAGCTTTGATCTATTTATTTTTTGCTGCTGCTCTCCCTGCCTGGGCTTTTCATGTATGCGCATAGAACAAATGGGAGGTGTGGTCAATCCACCTCAGCCTTCAACACTTCTCATACTTAAAGGAAAGAGCAGAGAGCTCACAGAACAGAGCCATACCACCTAACAGCACTCATAGCATGGAAATGATTTATTGATGTGGGACTGATCGGATTGTTCTTTTTTTTTTTTTTTTTTATTCCCTCACTTTTTTTCCCCTTTTTCCTGCACACAACCCTCTAAAAAATTATGCAGAACTATTAGGACTAAAAACATAAACCAAAGCGCATCAAACTGGAGGGGTCCAGACTCTGTCCTGTAGATTCTGTATCCAGATGCAGTTATCTTTTTATGGTGGCATCTGATGGTGAACAGAGAGCAGCATGGAGAGTGGAGGAGCATGTTATTGATTTGATTTTATTGGACTGCAGCAACACTTTAAATCAAGGTTAACTATTATAATTAAACCACTTTTCTTTGATTCCGGGCAGTGTGGGAAAAGCTTTTAATAAAGCTTATAATAAAGGTGAAAGACTGTGTGTTTTAAAGGAGTGTGTGAGTAAACACTGATTGTAAAGTTTTACAGTCTGAAAGATGGTAGTGAATCTGAAACCTGCTCACGGACGCTCACATAGCCACATGAATGAACACACACACAAACACACTTTACATTCCCCACTGCAACAAGGGAAAGTGTGTGTGTGTGTGTGTGTGTGTGTGTGTGTGTGTGTGTGTGTGTGTTTGATATTAGGTTTCTAAATAACAGGTGGGATAGACTGTGCGTCATCTGTTATCGGGTCAAGTATCACGTTTTCTCCCTCCAGTCTGCCGTCAACCCTCCACCCCCAACCCTCACCCTAGCTCTCCGAGATACAAACCCATACATGACTTATGGGTTGTGTCCTCTTTCAGACCAAAAGCTAGTCCTCTGTCTCATTTACCAAACATCTTAAAGCAAAGACACCATCTCATTCTTCTCACTGTACTACACTATAAATCTCTGCAACAACACTTTTTTTATCTGGTCTGCTACTTTGTTCAAAGAAGTAGGAGTAACTGTACCTTAAAGCCAATGCTATAGTGCTTTGTCAGTCATTTTGTTACAGAAACCCAGATCGGCAGAGAGTCAAACTTCCTGTCCTCTGGTTATTTAGATTTTTCCTCAGAGCTGCAAACAGAAATAACTATGTCCTTTTGAAACTTAATCTCTTCATTATAAAGAGGCTGCTCCTTGAGAATTTACATCATGTCAGTGTGGAGTAATCTGACAAGGATTAAAAGTTTATACAGAGTTTACCTTCTGTCTTGAGGCTAAATGTTAATTATGTTTCACTGTCAGTTCAAAATCTCATGAGTTCTGATCTAAGCAAGTCAGCATAATTTAATTCAAAATATGATGGTCAGTTATTCAGAGCAGTTTCTTTAATGGAGTACAGAGTCAGTTCAGGCAGGCCACAGACTCAAACTTTGCTGTCAGCTGACTGCTCAGCTGATTACCTTCTACCATCCAATGACTGAATGTGACAATGTTCCCTCTATTAAAATGTCTTCAGCCCGCCAACTTTTCCTGCTTCCTGAGTATGTGCCTGATTTAACTCGTGTCTTTGCTGCTGCTCTTCCAGCCTCCATACCAGCTCTTCCTTTAATGCTGTGTCTGACAGTGACACATAAGAAGCATGGGAAGCACACATGAAGAGCAGGGAGGTCTCAGAACAGAGCCATACCACCAAATATGACTTATTCCTTGTGATTTCAACTGAAACATGTTTGTCTTTGTGTGTCACCAGTCATGGCTGAGGATGTACGGTTACCTGCCACAGGCCAGCAGGCAGATGTCCACCATGAGATCAGCTCAGATTCTTTCAAACGCCGTCAGTGACATGCAGCGTTTCTACGGCCTGGAGGTCACTGGCCAGATGGACTCTCAAACCATCAGGTAAGCAGAGCTCTGATGTTGGAGTACAGTCATGGTATACTTAAAACTGACCGGGGGGGGTGGGGGGGTGGTAAGTGACCTGGGGCCCTTTTGACAAGTTCCAGCCCTTTTGAGACTCTATGACTTATAGAGTCTCAAAAGGGAAGAAATGGCATCAAAAACAAGCTGTAAAAGCCTGGATTAAAAATTAACAGCATGTTGAATGACAACAAAGATGCACCTCGGATATCGTTAATAATCCAGTGGCATGTTGTTCCTGTTATATTAGAAGTTTTGTGCATACGTATGAATGCAGCTTCAGAAAGAAATGTACAATATTTCTGAGCTTTTGGACACTTTCAACTTACCTCCTCAGTGGTGTTGGTTGTCTTTGAGCAGATACCTTTCCTCTTAAGTGAACAAGGCAGCTCAGGGGTAAACTTTTTATCAAAGAAGAAAACAAAAGGTGCTTCAGCATCAAAAGTTTTCTCTCCTTTGTCTCTTCTGTTGTGCCCCTTCCTTCAACAAAAACACACAAACAACACAAACAGATCTTTTGCTCGTTCCTGACTTTATTTCAAATGTCCTCAGCGCTATGAAGAGACCCCGCTGTGGCGTGCCTGACAAGTTTGGAGGCCAGATCAAAACCAACGTGAGGCGGAAACGCTATGCACTCACTGGACATAAATGGAACAAAAGCCACCTCACTTACAGGTTTGTGGGAAAAATGTCTCTGTCTGTCTGGTATTTTTGTAGAGACTTCTGCTTGACTGTAAATTGTGTTTTTATTTAATCCATGGTTTATTCTTCCTTCTGCTCTAATGTACAGAGCTTTTTAAATTTCTTAAATTGAATTTTCCTTTGAGGATCAATAAATTTCGTCTTATCATATCGTACATCATTGCGTATAGTTCCTCAGAGTCGACTTCAGACTGTCACAGGACAGACTCCTTACTGATCTGGTTTCCTCTCTGTCCTCTCAGTATCCAGAACTACACTCCAAAGATTGGGGAGTACAACTCATACGAAGCCATCCGTCGGGCCTTTAAGGTCTGGGAGAGCGTGACCCCGCTGACCTTTGACGAGATCCCTTACCAGGAGATCAAATATGGCCGCCGCAAGGAGCCCGACATCATGATCTTTTTTGCTTCAGGTTTCCATGGAGACAGCTCACCTTTTGATGGCGAGGGGGGCTTTCTCGCTCACGCATATTTCCCTGGACCTGGCATGGGCGGGGACACACACTTTGACTCTGATGAGCCATGGACGATAGGAAACCAGAACGTACAAGGTGAGTTTCTGTTTGAGGGTATTTCATTACTGACTCAGTTAGTGACAATAGAGATAGTGATAACAGCAAGGAAAACTTAGGCTGTCAGAAATGTCTGATATCATGCAAAATTTAACAAACGTCTGCATCCAAGAATTAGAATCTCACGTATTTTCCAAAGTTTCACATAAATAAATAAAGCCAACATTGAGGACAAATAACTGGTTAACAGTAAAACTAGTAGTGAATAAAACCGGATGGTAACATATGATTATGTGGTCAGACCTGTCCATGAGTTTGTGGGCACTTTAAAAAACAGCCCTCAATTCTGCTTCACTATCCTGAGACATGTTTCCACCTTAGCAGTTGTTGTCCACTTTGATGGTGGCTTGTACTGCGCTCAACAAACACTATCAGCTCACAGACCCCTTTCCATTCCCCTAAACTTAATGGGAGCATGTCTCTAGTCACTATTGTTGGTATTAGCAGGCTCATCTTCACTCTGGTATCATCACACCAGCATCTGCTCTCTGATGTGAGACTGTCTTTCACCTGTCTCCACTGTCTTCTCAGAGAGCTTTGAATGCATGTAGTAAAGCATCAGACCAGTATCTGTATGATGTACAGGTTTATCACATATCAAGCACAGCATGTTACTGTCTTTTTGTCAAAATACTTCCACTCATCACTTTTCCTTATATGTACCTGCAAACTAACTGAGGTATTTCAGCCAAGAACATGTGAAAGTAGTTTCACGATACTTGACTAATGGTAGTAATGAGTAGTTGATTCCTTCAGTATTTGTCTCCATTGCTACTGTATAGAGTCATGAGTTGTATTTTAGTTTTTTCAGAGGAACAGGGGGGGTTAGTGGCAGGGACAGTGTGTAATTAACCTGATTCTGCAGATTGCCAAAACTGAATAGAAAGCTTTATTTTTATTCTACAGTGTAAAAACAAACTGAAATAGAGCACAAAACACTGCTAAATGTCTGACACTAGAAATTTGCAGAAGAAAAACAAAAGTTTACTCTCGGCATGGACGGATGCTACCACACATCTCATGGAAAATGAATATTTGTTCAGAGGGAGTGTTTTATTTTCAATCTCTTCACTCATCTAATTATCTAATCAAGCTTCTCCTTTTAATGCTGTGTCTGGTTTTACCAGCGTTGTATGAATTGTTACTGATGCTGCTCTCTTTGCTGATTGTGTCCTTGCCTTAACTTTGATGTATGTACAGTACAGGCCAAAAGTTTGGACACACCTTCTCATTCAATGCATTTTCTTTGTTTTCATTACTATTTAAATTGTAGATTCTCAGAACTATGAATGAACACATGTGGAATCATGTGCTTAAGAAAAAAGTGTGAAATAACTGAAAACATGTTTTATATTTTAGATTTCTCAAAGTAGCCACCCTTTGCTTTTTTGATAGCGCTGCAAACTTTAGCTGTTCTCTCAATGAGCTTCATGAGGTAGTCACCTGAAATGGTTTTTACTTCACAGGAGTGCCTGAAGTAACCCTGACAAGGTACTTCTGTCATCAAGAGCAAAGAGTGGCTATTTTAAAGAAACTAGAATATAAAACATGTTTTCGGTTATTTCACACTTTTTTTATAAGTATAAAATTCTACATGTGTTCATTCATAGTTTTAATGCCTTCAGTGACAATCTACAATGTAAATAGTCATATATAAAAAAAAGAAAAGACATTGAATGAGAAAGTGTGTCCAAACTTTTGGCCTGTACTGTATGTATGTAAAACACAGGAAAAGTGTGCTCTCTCTGCCTCAGGCTTTGGCGTATGTAAGCATGTGGAAGGCACCCTCAGGTTTTCCTTTAGAATAAGTGAGTGGTTTTCTGGAGGAGGAGTACAGCTGATTAGACCGAGCATATTGAAACAAGTTAAGAATAGTATTGATAATGAGGTAAACTTTAAATCTTTTTCAGTGTAACTCCAGTTTTCACACAATTAATGTCTCAAACCTTTGTAGGTCTTCAGCTGAGCTTATTGGCCAAACACCAGCTTACTTCTCAATGTTTATCCTTAAACTAGGATGAACCTTTTACCCTTTACAACTCCTGATCACCTGCAGAAACACACAAGAGGGTGACATGTTAATTTTTAGGACTTTAATCTTTGGCCGTGTTCAGAGTTCCTCCTCTTCCCGTGCACCCATTAACCCGACGACCAGAGAGGGACTTTGGCAACAATAGGCTTTCCTGCTCTGTTATCTACACACACACAAAGAAGAGGCTGTGTGTGTGTGTGTGTGTGAGTGAGTGAGATCAGCTGTGTGTGGGGTGTGTGTCGGCACTGATCACAGGGATGCCTCAGTAAGTAGGAGTGTGTTGCAGAGGCTCAGATCTGCAGACTGGACTCTTTGTTTCTCAAACAGCTGAAAAGCAAAGAAACAAACTACAATTCTTCCCGCCTGACTGACTGACTGACAGACTGGCTGCAGCTTCACAGGTTTACTTAGCTGAGCTGCTCACCGTCTTCTCTGCTGTTTTACTGCCTTATCACTGCTCTGCCGACCCCCAAAACACTGAGACGTCCTGCAGATCAGAGGAAGCTTATATTCCTTGGGGTTACTGCAACACATAAGCAACCTGTGAGTTTCACAATGAGTTGATTAACTGATCAGCAATAACAAAAGAATGGCAGTGATTGTTTCTAACTGCATATTAAAGTGTATTTTCATATGCACAGAATTCTGCATGGTTATTTAAGGTTATTTAAGGTATGAAGTCAGTGCTGATATGAAAGAGTTAACATGTCTACTGCTAAAGGATAAACACTTTGCTCTGACCTTTGACCTCCTCTTCACTGAGCTCAACACAAACCGACCGAGCTCAGGATCAATATTTACTCATAAATTATTTAGATGGTAAAAGCTCAAATCCTTCAGAGTTCTTCTGCTGCTTTTTCCCCTCCTTCACAGATAGAAACATCCACACTTGCTGAAACCGGCATGCTCTAAACTCTCTGACGCTCACTGTAATGAATCAGCTCCAACGAAAACAGCTTTTACTCTTTATCCAAATAACACGTTGACATGCACAACCAAACACATCTCACACAGTTGGATGGCTGCAGGCAAATAGCTGAAAAAGGTCGGGGGCTTTGTGAGTCTCTGTGGCCAGATGAGACGAGTGCGAGAGAGAGCAAACTTTGAGAGAGTGTGGTGGTTGTCAGGGCGCCGCTTTTGTGAGCGCTTTCATCCCCGCTGAAAAGGTTTAGACGGGGTAAACAAGAGAACAGAGGTGAGAAGAGCTGGAGAAGGAGGAGGACCTGACTGCCTAATGTGTATGTGTGTTTGTCAGCGTTTGTCCTCAACTCTTACCTCCTCACTCTGAGCCTGTTTGAAGTTCACTCCTGCTTTCCTCTGTCGCCTAAGCGGTTGTCACAGTTACCCCACAAAGGCACCTTTATCCTCTCTCCCTCTCTCTGCGTTTCATCTTGAGATATCTCATGCTCAGTCCTGCCTACTCCTTCCTCTCCTTAGTGTTAGCCGCAGTTTGTTGCACAGTAAAGACACTCATGTGACTCTAAAATTCTCCTCGCTGAGGCCAAGGAGCTGTGTGTGAACTCTCTCTCTATGCATGACGAAGAGAAAACCAAGAGATGCACCAGAATCGGCATCCCGGGCATTTCTCTCTCCTGTTCCAATCCTTCTAAAACATGATGTCACTGCTGGCACATATCTGACCAATCAGCACGGGCCGTTAGCCAGAGAAAATGGCCAACGGGTCAAAGTTTACAGAGGGCACAGGCTGACAGACAAAGAGTTATTGAGTGAAGGGAAGTACCAGATTCATGCAGCTTGACATCAGAGAGCGTCTCTCAGCGGTCAGTCCCGAACAAAAGGAGGTTGATGCAGAGGTCAGTGTGTCACAGCTGTGGACTCGCACAGTGTGAGTGTGGAGAGGGATTGGTTAGAAATGTTAGTAATGCTGCTGATTCACACGAACAGTCCATCAAATCTGCGGACATTGATATTTGTACTGTGAGGGAATAATCCTTAACATGTTTGAATACATTTACTGCGTCACAGACTTTAAAAGAGTTCCTCCACAGATAGAGACCACCACTCCTCTCCTAACCCAACCTTTTCTTCACCATGGTCATCCAGGTAATGACCTCTTCCTGGTGGCGGTCCATGAGCTGGGCCACGCTCTCGGTTTAGAGCACTCCAATAACCCCCTGGCCATCATGGCTCCTTTCTATCAGTGGATGGAGACCGAAAACTTCCAGCTGCCTGAAGATGACCGGCGGGGGATACAGCAGATCTACGGTAGGAGGATTTCTGGATGAGTCACAAGGTCTAAATGTGTGTGAAGGTCTCCCTTGAATCACGAGGCTTTGTCAGCCCAGAGTGGTTCAAATTGTCAGTATTAACATCTGATAATCTCAGATCTACTCTTTCAGGCTGCAGGTTTTGCAGTGTATACATAACATGTAGGTTTAATCCGCTCTGTCCAATTTTCCATGAAGGTCAACCAGACGGCAGCCCCACTCAGGCCCTGCCAACAGTGACGCCCCGCCGCCCTGATCTCAGACCACCTCAGCCTCCTCCTCGCCATCCAGACCGCCCAAGGACCACAGAGAGACCGGATCACTATGGACCCAACATCTGTGAGGGGAACTTTGACACGGTGGCCATGCTGCGAGGAGAGATGTTTGTCTTTAAGGTGAGAGCGTGTTTGAACCTGAGGTGGTTCAAGTCATGAGCCTGTTACAGCAGAGTTGTCTTCACCCTCACAGGGGTTTATTACACATCCTGGCTCGGACCTTCAGTCAGCTTTCAGCAGAGTAAACGCACTCTCTGGTTAACTATGGCCATAAATGAGTCCTTCTCTCTACTTTGAGACAAGGAAAGGGAGCGCCTGTGCTCTGTTTCTAATCAGGTCCTCGTGGATTGGAGTTTTTATGAGCAGGGGGGCTGTTAGAAGGCAGGGTGTGGTCAGGTGTTTTCCTTAAAGAGCCTCGCTGAAACAGCAGAGAGTGATTAGTTTACTTTCTTACTATGAGCCAGGACTGAACATGAGGCTTTTGGCTGCTGCTTCTGTCTGCTGTTTTAACTCTTTCATGTCTTTCACTAATACCTGCTCAGTTGTTCTTATCTGCTGAGTGTTTATGCCATCCTGGAGGTGATGGTTGCATCTGTTTACAGAGTTGAATTATGGGAAATATCAGGGTGTCACTTCCTCCTTGGTTGCCTCCTCTCTGTAGGGTTTGCTTCACTCAGATCCATGTTACAGTCAAACAGCGATATGTAGGGAAGTGTTTCACTGAGTAGGTGTTTGAGGAGGTGTCTGGTGTTGGCAGAGAGAGCACCCAGGCTCAGATACGATAAACTACAGCAGAGTCAGATTATCATCAGCAAACGCTAGTGAACTTGGGACACAACTCCTGAGTCACAGGTGGAGTTTAAAACCCTCATTTCTCCTCTAAAAGTCTGTCTCTGGATCTTTTCTTTGGATTGTTACCGTCACAGAGTCGATCATGACAGGGTCCAGTCCCTCAAACGCTGTGATCCATCTGGTATCTGCTCTGCCAAGCCGGGAGTGTTTTTGACGCTGACCAGCAGTGATCAGAGTCGGCCTACAGCTGCCTAAACGTGTCCCGCTCATGGTCAGACAGTTAAATCTGCACTCTCAGGTTTCATCTCAGCCAGAAATGTTCATGTTCTTGGGTTTCATCCAGTCATGACGCCGGTCAGGACAGCAGGAATCAGAGTCCTAAATTAGCTTTTTCCTGATGCACGAGTGCTTTAAGTCCAACTCAGATAAAGTGTTAATATGAGCACGAATCCTTATAAAACCCAAACAAGATCAGTTTGGTGAATATAGCTTTGCTTTAGAACCAGTATATTGTTGCAGCTCTTTTTGGCAGTTAACCTTTTTTTTGGATATATTTTCACTTTGCTCCCAGAAAGTCAAAAAATGTACTGGAAGTTCCCTGAGTGTTGCTGTGTTATATCTGTACTGCTCTTTCTATGTGTTATACTGCTGTGGTGTTAACATAGATTAAACAGCCAGCCAAACTTCTTTTCAAGAGCCAGGATGCGAGTGTGATTGCTCCTCTATTCTCTCACTGTTGTAAGCTGAGATGACGACATTGAATTGGAGTGAAACTAGAAAAGAAAATACAAAGAAAATCCTTTGTAAACTGCTAGTATAGCATATCTCTCCAAAGTATTAAAAAACAGTTGCGCAGAAATTAATCATGAACACTGGTGGCAACATTCATCGCAATGTGGGCAAACATAGCCTAGCATACCGTACAATAGTCGTCTTACCAGTGCAAACTCGTTAATTTATCAAACTTGAACAAACTTAACAAAACATCTCTAAAACTCCTCAGTATGAACTGTTTAGTGTGTGAACATCATACAACACTTACAGCCAATGTGCTCTGAGGAACTCAAACAAAAATGATTTATATTCATTGAGACAAAGATGTTTGTGTGCAGCTGTGTGTGCTCTTCTGAATCAATTTCTTCACTTTCCGCTTACCACTTCCTGTTTTCAGTGGACTTCGAAATAAAAGCATGGGACTACTCCTTCACATTAAAGGTAACAATTGACACATTTTCATCTTAAAACATGTTTTAAGATGAGAAACACATTGAGGGCAGAACACTTTGTATCTTCTTCGTCCTCTTTGTTTGTCATGTGAGTTTGTATATAGAAATAGTTGGCTGGTGATGGACTCAGAGAATTGTCATAGCTGTTTTAATTGTTGTCATCTGTGTTGATTCCCTCCTTTGTGGTGTGTGATAAGACAGGTTAATCCCACCATGGTGGTTTTAAGTCAGATCAAAAAACTGCTCTGAGATTGTTAAATAATGTTGATCTGATCTGAACACCATGTATGAAGGAGAAAGACAGGAGTCTATCAGTCCTCTTTCATGTCTTTATAGTCTCAAAGAAAGAGAGAATAACAATAAAAGGTGACATTCACACCTCAGGTATTAGAGTTTGATCTCTTGGTTCCAGCTGTGAAAGATCTGTATGCTTCTTTCACTCTCTTGGTGTGGGATGGATTTCTGACAGTGCTGCCTGATTGTTAATTGTCCTGGTGGAGATGTGAGGATGCTGCTGCCGCTCTGTTCAGTCAGTGTAGTGATTCACAGTTAGACAGCTTATTCTGCAGAGACTGAATAACTTTATAAAGTGAATGAGTGAGTGGGAGCAAAGTGTCACATCAGAGCCTCTCTCAACTCATCTCTTCCCTCAAAGGCCCGTCAATTAAAGAAGAAATCAGCACATCGGTGACTCCCTCTGTTCCTCCTCAGCAGAAAAACAAACAGAGCAGCTCTAACATTTACCTCCCACACTCAGTTATGCTCTGTATGTGAGGACTCATGTGGTCCAACCATCAGAGTCAGATCTACAGGAAGAGATCATAAGAGTGGGGTCAACAGAAGGAGATCACAAGAGTTAGGACGACCGGGAGAGACTGAGTCAGGTCAATGGCATGAGACTGTTAGAGTCTAGTCTACAAAAGGAGACCATTAGAGCCAGGTCTACGGGGGAGACCATCAGAGTCTAGTCTACAAAAGGAGACCATTAGAGCCAGGTCTACAGGGGAGACCATCAGAGTCAGGTCAACAGGAGGAGACCATCAGAGTCAGGTCTACATAGAGAGACCATCGGAGTTAGGTCTACATAAGTTAACCATCAGAGTCAAGGCTTCATAAAGAGACCATCAGAGTCAGGTCAACAGGAGAAGAACATCTTCAGGAGGTTACCAGACCAATCCTAGAGACGCTTGTTTGATTCGAGCTCATCCGTGTCATGCTGTCCCAATCCTAGCCATGCTGTGTCATCCTGTTTGCTGGTGCGTCCAATGTGAAGGACAAAACCTGGTGTACTTGCCAAAAAGAAGCAGTGTTTTAGCGTTCCATTATCCAGAAGGAGGTGGGGCCACTGAGTCACCTCGTCTGCTGCTGTAAATCTGTCCACTGAGCTGAGTGCACAGTTTATCTGGTAGATATGGACTTTTACGAGCGGGAGTGTGTCTCTGTGCTCGGATGACAATGAGCTGCTGCTTATTTCTGTCGTTATTTTCTGCAGCCCAACACTTTAATCAGAAAGTATTTAGGAAGCTGTTGCAACAGGCTGTGATTAGCAGAGAGAGAGAGAGCAGTAAGGAGGTGTGATCCAGCCATCAGAGCCGTGCAGAGCGGACTATTATTAGCCTGACAGACCTCCGCTGCTGGAAGGTTATTGTTGGTTGTGGTCTAGTTATCCTGCAGGGCTCCAACAAAATGACCGCTGAGCACTACAGCAGCTCAGTCTGAGCTCAGCTGAACAAACAGATCACATTAGTGGACTCATGAAAAGTGGAGATAGTTTCCTGACAACCACAAATACTCTCTGCATGTATGTGAGCTCAGGACTGTCTCAGAGAGAGGGGACAGGAACCAGCATGAAGGCGTGTGTTTTGAACATATTCATTGACTGTAACTTGGTCGGGTTGTCAAAGTCTTAATGTAATGCAGAGGGATCAGTCAGTGACTTTCAGACTGTTTAAATGTGGATAAATGATGAACCCTAAAACTCTGGTCTTGACCCCATCCTTTTAGGGTCGCTGGTTCTGGCGTGTGCGTAGGAACAGGGTTCTGGATAACTACCCCATGCCCATCAGCCACTTCTGGAGGGGTCTGCCTGGAGACATTGACGCCGCCTACGAGAGACATGACGGCCGCTTTGTCTTCTTCAAAGGTGAGCAGCAACTTCTCACACAACTCTTATTTATTTATACATATTTTGGGATCTAAATGTGTGAGAAGAAGACTTGTGGAAAAAAGCAGGAGTAGATACAGTAGAAACTGCATTTTAGGCTGTGAGGAAGTTACAGAAATGACCCCCATAGAGATGGACGATTTCATCTGAGACACAGTTGTTATAAAGCTCACCTCAGCCTTTCACATGCTGTGTTATATCTTGTGTTATTCTTTGTTAAATTATTTTGTCTACTCAGACTAGCCCGTTAAAACAACAGTTCTTCATCTGAGAGCTCATGTTGCAATATGCCAGCTCATCTCTTAGAATGAAAACTGCAGGCAGAGCAGGTTCTTCTCACACATGTTCAACAAAACCACAACCTGTAAAAGAAATTCAGTTTACTGCTCTGCACAGAAAACCATCCTCTATCTGGGTTCATCTGTTTAGCTATAAAGCAGTCATAATGCTCTCTGTAATACTCCCATAAAACAGACTCTTTGACTGTTTCTCATCTTCTTCAGATGATGGTGAAGATTTACTGAACAGTGAATACCTCCACCTCCTGAGGACTCAGAGAGTGTTCACTCTCAGAGGATAAACCTCCTTTAGCTCAGATCCTTATTTACTCAGTGAATCACTGAGAGCAGCCTGTCCTTTATAACTCCAGCTGAAGTTGTTGAATGAAAAAGAAAGAGTTCAGCTTTTACGGCCGGGCAGCCGTCGACCATGAAGCGACCATGAGAAGGGTGACGTCACCTGAAAAAGCCTCTCGTGTGACACTTGGCTTGTGGCCATCAGCAGAGAGAGAGAGGAAAGAGGAGGGAGGAGAGGCAGTCCTGAGTGCTCAGAGGACGAGGGTTAGCTGACTCTTTATCAGTTGTCCTGTCTCTGTCTTCGGTTTATTCTCGTGGACCTCTTCAGTCCACATTTGTGAGCTCAGAGGACAGAGTTTAGAGTTTGTACACATTAAACATTAAACTTCTGACGGATCTTCTGAAGATCTGACTGTCCGTGATTTAATTTGCAGTGTAAACTTTCAAATATACTGCACCTGATCCACGAGCAAATACCTGCTGTACAAGCACAGAAACACAACCATTAGTTGACCGTGTGCACTGGTATAGTTAGAAATGTTTATTTCTGCTGCAGAGCATAATTTGAGTTTGGCATCCAGGCTTCAATCCCTTCCCATCACTCCTCATCAGTCACAGAATTGGTGAGATAGTTACCTATCCAGATCCTGCATGAGAGGTGGTGGAGCTGAATGTGTGAGCATATCATAGGTGCAGGACAGCAGGGCCAATGAATGAGCAGCAGGTGACTGTGACGATGATATGGGTCACATGAATAAACCTTGCATCCACAGGTTAGCTAAAGTCCAGTTACAGCTCAGTCAAAGCTGAGATACAGGTTAGTTAAGCTCAGATATAGGTTAGTGAAAGCTCAGTTTTAGGTTAGTTAAAGTCCAGTTATAAGTCTGTTAAAGCTCAGTTACAGATCAGTTAAGGCTGAGCAACAGGTTAGTGAAAGCTCAGTTAAAGATAAATTCCAGGTTAGCTGAGTTACAGCTTAGTGAAAGCTGAGTTACAGGTTAGTGAAATCTCAGTTACAGGTTAGTGGAAGCTTAGTTACAGCTCAGTTACAGCTCATTCAGAGGGTAGTTATGGGTTAGTGAAAGCTCAGTTACTGCTCTAAGAAAATCAAACCTCAATGGAGCGCCTGGTTCCACTCACAGATAGTCATGGGTTTAACTCTAAAAGAGCCCTGGGGAACATGACTTCACCTTCCTTCTCCTCTCTCTCTCTCCTGTTGCTGAGTGGAGGGCTTTCAGTTTGTAAGGAGCAAGGGGCTGGAGTGGATGGATGGGTGGGTGAGTAGGGAGGGGGAGAGGGAGAGGGAAAGCACAATGGAGCCAAGAGCAGAGATGTTATGTTGCCTGGAGGAGTGGAATCCCCCATCTGACACAGTGAAAACAATAAAACCTTCCCTTCAGCATGAAGCAAGTCGACATGAGACCAGCCGCTCCTGACAGATAATTACAAACTCTGCTGCTGCCTGTTCTCTGCCAACAAATCTTTATTACACTCATTTATTTTACAAGACAGTTAGCACTGGTTTAGTTTCTATGATTGTTCTCTTTTTATGTCTCATTCATTTTTAATCATTCACCATGTCCAGTGCCAGAGCACAGTAATATTGAGCCCATGCAAAATAAGTGTGTTCATCTGTTTTCGAATGTGCATGGATGTGGGAGTGACCGAGTGTGCTTGACAGAGTTCAGGATGGGGTTGGATTGGAAATGCACAGCTGAATGCACCGTTAAGGATCATAAAAGGTGCCTCTCTTCCTCTTTCCTCCTTCACTCTCCTCAGGAAACAGATTTTGGGTTTTCAGGGAGGCAAACCTGGAGCCTGGTTATCCATTGGAGCTGATTGACTTTGGTCAAGATATTCCCTACGACAGAGTGGACACAGCCATCTGGTGGGAGCCGACGGGCTACACGTACATCTTTCAGGGAGACTGGTAATGTCTGTCTACCTCATATGAACCCCTTTCATTTAGAGACATGTAAAAACTCGATTCCAGAGGGTTTTGTAGACTGTAGATGAATATGATGTTAGGGTAGGTACAGTCGCTGCATATTCATAAATGTAGGATCAGTCCACACATAAGTGGGTATATTTGAAAAGGGTTTACTTCCAACTATCAAGGTCACACAAAAATTGCAGAAATGGTTGAAAAATTGACATCAACCAGACCAGTAACAGTCTGTCTAAAACCATAAGAGCTCCACAGCATGCTCCATCAGGCCTGAACTGAACAGCAGAAACAGCAGCGGGTGGATTTATCTGCTCAGTGTGGACAAAGTCAGGAAGCTGTGTGAACAATAGGAGTATACTGGAGAGTTTGTCTCTTCTGTGGAGAATAAACAACAGACTGCTGCATGCAGGCTGACATATTTATGGAAATACTCATAGGAAAATAATTACACTCTGGGTCTTTGAATCTCATATCCTCACCCAGCACACAGTGACTGATTGCCTCGCTGCAGGATTAATCGAGCATTTACACCTCCGATAGATTTAAGTGTTCAGAGGGAGTGAGTCTGTTTTTATTCCCATCATGCACTGCACTGAGTCTGTTCTCCTTATGTTAACAGAAATGTCTTTGTCTTCTTCTTTGTCGGCAGGTACTGGCGTTTTAACGAGCAGTCTCGACTGGCAGACAGAGGTTACCCTAAACCAATCAGCGTGTGGGGATCATCAGTACCCTCCACCCCCAAGGGAGCCTTCCTCAGTGATGATGGGGGTAGGAGAAAGAGAGAGAGAAAGAGAGAAAGTGTGTGTGTGTGTGTGTGTGCGTGTGTGTGTGTGTGTGTGTGTGTGTTAAAGAGCAGCTGAGGGTGACAGAGACACTCCTGGAACAAAGAATCAGGGTGTGGTCATGTAAACGGATAATCATAGCATCATACATAGAACTTATTTAGGATGGTAGATACAATTTATGATCCTTAATAGGTAAAACATTTGCATTTATAGATACATTTTTATAAGAGCAAGGATACTAGCATGATAAAAGCATGTTTAGATGTTTCTTTTTAAACAATTACTGTATTTATTTCAGATACAGCAAAGACATCATAAAACACTACTGTTTTATTTTAAAAAATACACACATTTTAAATTTGATGCTGTTTGTAAAAAGTTGTTAAGGATCATGATTCCCATTAGGTGTCATCAGCTCTTCTTCTACCATCACTGTGTACATTTTAGTGAATCCAGCAGACCAGTTTCTGGAGTCTGAAAGTAAAACGTTGTCCTATTCTTTCCTAATAGAGGATTTCAACTGTTAAAATTTTGATTGGTCAGACCACAGGACAGTTTTCTTCTTCCCATTAGTCCACCTTAGATTGGCTAAGGTCCAGAGAAGTCTCTGGTGTTTCTGGATCCTGTTTCTATCTGGTTTTCTCTTTGCATAGTTCAGATTTAACTTCATTTGTGGATGCAGCGATGAACCGTGTTCACAGGCAATTGTTTTTGGAGGTGATTTTGAGCCCATGCAGTGATTTCCACTCCAGAGTCCTGTCTGTTTTTAATGCAGTGCTGCCTGAGGGTCTGAAGATCAGGACCATCCAGTCTTGGTTTTGGTCCTTGTCCCTTTAGTACACAGATTTCTCCAGATTCTCTGAATCTTTTACTGTGAACTTAAAGGACAGTTGGTCTTGATGTCTCAGCCTGTTTCCCATCTTTATGCTAATGCTAAGCTAACCAATGTTTGTCTCTAGCTGCACATTGAGCAGACAGAGAAGAAAAGTGGCATTCATCCTCCAGTCTGACCATCAAACATGATGAAAACAGTGTTGTTACATTTTGACCTGCATCTTATGTTTCCTGCTCTCTCTGCAGCGTACACCTTCTTCTACAAAGGGTCCAAGTACTGGAAGTTTGATAACCAACGCATGAAGAGTGAACCTGGCTACCCCAAGTCTATCCTGAGAGACTTTATGGGCTGCAGCATGGATCTGGACCCAGACAGAGACACGGACACAGACTCAGGACGCAAATATCCGGATGTGAACCGCCCACCATTCAACCCAGATGCTGGACGTGATGGAGACAAAGGCAAAGACCGGGATGGAGCGGACCGCGGCGGAAAGGACAAAGACACAGGCAAAGGGTCAGATGACGACAAAGATGAAGACTACAGAGAGGGACGTGAGGAGGACACCAATGAGGTGGATGTGGTGCTGAAGGTGGATGACAGTGAGGAGCGGACCATGAACATCCTGATGGTGACCATCCCACTGGTCCTGGTGCTGTGCATCCTGGGACTCATCTACGCCATCATCAACACACTGCAGAGCAAAGGAGCGCCACGGCTACTGGTGCATTGCAAGCGCTCGCTGCAGGACTGGGTCTGACTTGGTTCACCAGGGGTCAATAAACTCTGACCTGAACAGAACCGCTGATCCAAAATGCCCCTGTGATTCCCCCAACCCACGGCCCTGTGCTCTGCAGCTCTTAGGAAGTAGACCCCATACTGTACAGAAACACACTCACACACTCTCAGCAGCCTCACCTCCCATTCTCCCATGGTGCTCTATGACTGTGGTCTATTTATAAGAGAGAAGTTTGCACATTGTTTTTGTTTCTCCTGATTTTTTTTTGTTTGTTTAGTTTGTGATTTTTTTATGGTTGTTATTATTTTTCCTGCTCTATTCTCCCCTCGTCTCTTCTCCACCCCCCTCCTCCTCTCCTAATCTCAGTCAGGCCTTTTTCCCGTCCACAGACTCCTGCTCTAAATTTGGCCTAATATGAACATGGTGTGAAGGCTTCATAGACACAGATGGATGTGATGGCTGATGCTTCACTGTAGTTTAGTGACAGGTATTTTAAGGCCTGCCTTTGAGACCTCATATGAACCTCCTCTGACTCCCTCTGATCAGGCTGCAGTCTTTGTCTCTGATCGTCAAATGTACACTCAGGTCTGTAAACAGGTTTGTCGGCTGGAATCTCAAAGGATCTCGGGTGGGCTTATCAGATCGTATGTTTCCTCCACCATGGCTGATTTTGAACCTTTTTAAGGACTGTACTTCTTCATATATGGTGCACATATGAGCTTTGGTTTAGATGGATTCAGTTTCTGAACACCAGGGGGGTTTAATCTTCACCTTTCACCTTCCACAAACAGTTAAGGGTTTTGTGTTTTTGTGTTATAAAGATCACGTCTGATGTTAGACTCCCTTCAGTGAGATCTGTCTTAGCGTGCAGAGCTGGTGGCTTTTGAAACTGTAAATTCAGACCTGTGCTGTGTCTTTCACACACAAACACACACACAGTTAAACTACAGGTCTGCCCTCTTTCTTTTCCTTATTTGGAAACCATTGAAAGACTCTTATTCTGAAAAGGTAAACAGAGTTGAAAGGGGCTGCTGTCCCTTGACCCTTGCACTGGGGGTTTAAAGAGCCTCTTTTCTGTCTCATTGAGACTTTCAGTGGAGACAGACTGCTGGTTTCAATAGTGAGATAACAGGAGAGGAAGCTTTTAATCTGAGGGACATAAACCCTGACAATCAGAGCTCGGCCTCTAACTGAGTAGCAGGATGTAACACCATCATGGCGATGCAGCAGTGACCAGCTGTAGCTAACACACCATGCAGTTGACGGACTTTTTACTGTGTGTGTGATTCCTGGAGGAGCAGTCCCCTGTAAACATGCTGTGGCTGTGAGCGTGAGGGTGGGCTCAGCCAGGCGGGCTCGTGAACTCAGACTAATCCTCTTCATTAGAAAACAGCAGGTGTGTGCAAACGCTGTTAACCCCACGACCCCCAAAATGATCCCTGAACCCGGAGAACCAAAACAGCGCTGCTCCCCCTTTTCATCTCACAAGATCAGAGTAGAAGAAACAGTCCATCTATACTGCTCATTATGTCAGCTTTAGAAGAAAACTTCAGCTTCATTACTAAGAATCCTTTTCAGATACCTGCCTGCCTCAGACTTGATCTGTTACAGAGGGATTCTCACTGCTCTCACTGCTAAATGGAGGATTTCTGATTGCTCAGGACTGGAGTTAATGAAGTTCACTTTGATTTTATAACTGGAGCTGGTTTTAAGAGTCTGCTCACTCAGTCTAACAGTCTGCAGATATAGAGGACAGAGATAGACTCCCTCTGGAGCGTTTTTGTAGACATTCACCTGCATTATGAGCTCAACACTCCAAACTTTAAATACCTCTACAGCAGTGGTTTCCAAAGTGGATGCCTTTATTGATTATTTTAAATAAACCTCCAGTGAGGAACTTTTATTTTGTGTTGATTTTAGCACCCCCTGTGGACAAAGTGCTCCTTTTTTCAGTCCTGTTATCTCACCCTGCACCTTTTTAACCCTGATTACGGTAAACAGAAAGCACCATCAGTACCACCCTCTATCTGTTTTTCCCATGTTTTCCTCTGTCCCAGACTCATTACCATTTCTTTCTGCAGTTTTCCACATCAGCAGATAAATTAAACATCACCAGGTACTTTTCTTCATGTTTGCAGAAAGTGATATGGACGTGCAGATTTGGTCCATTTGCCATTTTTGTCCCTGCTGCCTCTGCACTGCCCCCCTCTGCTCATCTGTCTACTGCTCCTTTTTTCTTTGTTAAGATTACTATTGAGGACGTGTTTTATCATAATTGTTATTTCGTTTAGCAGCAGTGAAGAATCACTGAAATCTCGCAGTAAATCAGTAATCTTTGGAGGCCTCACATTAGAGGGTGTGTTCAGGAGGAGGGCCTCAGAGAGCAGCTCCAGGTCTGATGGGGGGAAAGCTGATCTGAGCAAAGTCGGGGGTGACCTCGCCCTCCAGAGCTTTCAAAGTTTTTATCTCAGGAACAAGGAGGGGTGGGTCATGGAGGAAACCTCTGCTTACAGGAGCTGGATGACAGTTCACAGGAGCACAGGCTGTAAGGGCTGAGCTGAGGGTTTACTCTGTGACGTGCTTCAGAGTCTGTACACTGATCCTGGTTTTCAGGCTGGATGATATAACAGCCCAAACAGACACCTGCTGATATTAAAGAGCAAAACTTTGATGAAGACACTGGTTGAGTGTAAAAAGATCAGGAAACTGTAGACAAACCACAGTGACAGCTCTGCAGTTTTTTGGGGGGGCATTTTTAACCTTAACTGATTGGACAGCTGAGGAGAGGTGAGAGATGTGGGAGGAGGCAAGCAGTGAAGATCAGTGGGTGGGGGAGGAACGAGTGACTGCAGGGATGAACACTAACGCCTCGATAGTGTACTGAAAGTGCCAAATGAATGAGCATGTCAGCTCAGCTCTCAGCCTCCTCACCATGTTACCTGTGCAGCTCTGCAGAATCACTGACAGTTATTATCACTGCCCTGAAATCCTGAGCTGATTCTCCTGATATTGAGCATCTGCTGATACTAGCACCCGAACTCTTGTCTCTGTGTGGAGAACAGAACTGCAAACTGTTTTTTTATAGTTAACAAAAAAAGCTTAAAGCTCCTGTGAGGAACAGTCTGTGTTGATCTTGGCGCCCTCCTGTGGAGAGTGTAGTACCTCTGCTATCTTAGGTTACCTCATCTCTTATATGCAGAAGAAGCATTTTGATAAAAAGCTTTACCCTGTGGTCTATTAAAAGTCAAACATAATGCAAATCACAATATGTAATATGATATAGTTGGTTACATATATATTATCTGTTTCTGTAGCTTTTGTTGTTACCTACTTTGCTGGCATCAAAAACTACTGAAAGAAGTTATCCCTGCTCTCATTGTTGATCTGGTTTGCTTTGGTAGTTCATTAAGAAGCATCAGAATTAATTACAGCTTTTTTTTAATAACTGTTAAAAAAGTCCTCACAGGAGCTTTATGTCAACAAATTAACTTAAGAGAGTGTGCATATAATCCTCCAAAGCAGAGCAGGTTTTGTTGGGTTAGTTCTTTGAGTTGGGACGCTGGCTCTTTTCACTGTAACTCCATCTCACTCCACCAACACTGCTCTCTCTCCCTCCTGCTTGGGCAGCTTTGAGTTAAAAATGTGATCACAGATTACTTGTTATCTGCAGAAACTCAAACTTTAGCAGGTGTTTTTGTCTTTTTTATTGTTGAAAGTGTCTTAATAGGCCTAATTTGAGTCGCATTCATCCAACAAGTTCAGAAAACTGTTTATTAAGCATTTAATAAACCATAAAAGAGACCTGAATCAGTTATAATGATGAACACTTTTCTACTTCTACTGGCAGGTTTTTGTTCTCATGATGACTAATAAGTTTACAAATTATAGAGTAATGTGTTTAAATCTGTGGTTTTTCCTCCATTGTGACATACAGTATGTGACTTAAATAAGACAAAATCACTTTCTAATCTTTGAGTTTGCAGTAAAATGTTGATTAAGAGATTTTCTTGGTTTTCAATCAAACAGGGATCAGATAGCATGTCTGGAGCGGTGCTGATGGTCACTGCAGCTCGGCCTGAGCTCACTCTTATATCGATCAGCTTTACAGACAAACAGCAGCCGGTCTGACAGAGATACCCGAGAGTATCTGCTCTCCTCACCTAGTGGTCCTTCACCTAGGTGAGGACAGGTGTAGGGGGGACACTTCATCACACAGAAGAGCACAAGGAAGAGGAAAGAGAGAGAGAGGTCAGTCCATTCAGCTGTTGTTAGGAGGCGTTGTCCTGTGTTCATCACTCACCCACTCATGGGTGAATGGATGAAGCTAATCAGCGTTAAAAGCATCACCCCCCTTTTTTCTGTCCTGCTCTGCCATTGGTCCATATATGAAAGTCTGGACAGGATCAGAAAATGCTAGTGCACCTTCTGAGATAAACCCAGCAGAGTTCCCCCTTTTCCACACCTCCTCCACCTCCTCCTGCAGAGAGTTAAACATGTGAAAAACACACCTGAGAGGAGAGAGAGGAGCGCACCTGAGTCTGAGAGCTAACTCTGTTTCAGGTCAGGAGAGAAACAGCAGAGCTGAGAGAGAAGAAACCAGAGTCAGAGGCTGTGTGTGTGTGTGTGTGTGTGTGTGTGTGTGTGCGTGCGTGCATGTGTTATTTAGCTCTCCTCTTTATAAGTGAGGCCTGCTCTCTGACTGTAAACCTCTCTCCCTCCCTCTCTCCCTTCCTCCCCCACAGCCCGGGGGGATCATAATAACAACAATGGCCTTCTCTCACCCCCCCCCCCCCCCCCCCCCCCAGTCTCTCTCTCCACCACTGATTTTCTCTCTCTAGCTCACACAAACACATCATTGTCTTTTAAACCTCCCCTCCCCCCCTCTCTCCCTGCCCTGCTCAGAGGTCAGGCGGTGTTTTAGCTCCCTCTCTGTGCTCTCTACCTGTCTGTACCTGTGTGTTAGTAGGTGTCAGCAGGGGTCACATTCAGGCTCAGAGCTGCAGAGTCGGCACTTTTATATGTTGATGCTCTGTTTGTTGAGAAGTACACAGCGTCTAAAGCAGAGTCAGTTTAAGGTGAGGACGTCTCCTGGGTTTGTCTCCCTCAGGATTAGCGTTTGTAAACACTGCATGGAGAGTGTGACTCAGTCAGCCGGGCCGCAGCGGCTCTTTGAACTTTGTTTTTTTTCTCCTCTATCTTAATGAAAATCTCAGTTTGAATCTCTACAATCATGCAGGAGGCAGGTTTTCTCTCTGCTGTTTGCAGTCACGGCTCCTCCTGACAACACCAACTCAGAGGAGTCACCACTGCATTAGCCAAACTCGGCAGATCAACCTGGACGGAGGAGATCAGAGAGTAAGAGATGAGACGGGGACAGTTTCTGCTGAACTTTGAGGCTCACAGACTGTAGGACATCCAAAAGGTCCTCTGATTTCCCAGAGTTCATCTCACCTTTCGCACCCGACTCTCCCCTCACCTTCAGTCGCTGCTCCACTAACTCAGATGAAATAAAAAAGATGGAGGCTGACTAATGACCTTCAGCTTCGATGTTGTGGCAGGGTGGTGGATCAGCTGTCGATCTGTTTTTATGCACTGACTGCTGCTTCAAACTCTCACACTAAGAGACTAACTCCTCCTCATTACCTCCAGAGTGATGATTCAGTTTCCCTCTGTGGACGAAAAATAAAATCTTCATCTCTGTTTGAGACGAGAGGCAGAAAAAAACAGTAGATTGATAAAATACAGATGATTTTATGTTTGTTTCTGTTTGTGATTTTGTGCTTTTTGTTCATTCAGACTCTATTTTGTTGTTAATAACATTCCAGTTAGTTTTGACGATTTGTTGTTAGTCTTTGATTTTCTGTAGAAATGTATGATTTTATACTTTTTTTGTTTTGTGTTCACCTCTGAGTGTGTTAACAAGCCATGCTGGACATGTTCACATTAAAAACTCCCTCTGACACCCTGTCTGGCAGAGTTTTGATGAAGTTACACTGAGAGGTCTGCAGAGTATAGAGTGTTATGTTACTGCACAGCCATGCATAAACACACAAACACACACTCACACACACACACACACACTCTGCTCTCTTCCTGTGGTGAGGTCAGTGACTTTAGGGTCCAGCTTCCTGTCTCACACAGGACACGCTGCTCCACCTCTTTACAGACCATGGGAGGTTGTGGGGAGGAGAAAGCCGGTGAGCAGTGAGGAGGAGGCTCAGAGCTGAGGACACGTGGAGGTTTTTCTGGTGAATTTGATCCAAACTTTTTATCATGTGGCAGACTGTAATCACATGTTTCTGAGACTCAGAGTAAACTGTCTGCAACGCCAGGAAAAAAGGTAACAGCAACCTGGCAGAGGCATAACTGCCAGAGCTTTCAAATGATAGTTATTTAGTCTTCATTCAGGTCCTCATCTCTATTAATGGAGCTAAGGGCGAGAGAATGTGTCAATCAGTGAGGTCTTTCCCTGTCAGTCAGATGATGTAGAGAAGGATGAAGGATGACATTTCCATGTGGGAAAAAGTCAGCCGGTTTTACAGAAATGAAGACTCACTCAGGATCCTTTACCCCTGACTGAACAAACTTAAAACTTATATTAAAATCTTTAATGATGTAAAAAGGCAAACAAATCCATAACAGTAATGAAACTAAATTGTCATATTTGACACTGAAAACCAATTTAAGTACCAGATGTGTTCAGGCTGCTCGATCCCAGGGCCCAGCACCTGTTTAAGATGTCTCACACTACGGCAAGTCCACTCTGACAAACTACATTGCGCTCCATTTGATAAGTCAAATAAGCTTGGTTAAAAGCCCCTCGCATTTTCTTTATTTCCGTTTGTTCATTCAATTGACCTCGAAATTTTCTCTCTATATAATATGGAGAATTAAAACTTACTCTCCTGTAATTTTTAGATGGCTTTAATTGTATATGTTAACTTTTCTGAAGGAAAAAGGAGAAAAATTGTACACAGGATTCCCATTTATCAATAGATAGTTTTGCTTTTATTCCTCATTTCCTATGGCAACTTAAAAGAGGCAATAGTCCAGCTGTCGTAAGTCTCCTTTTATAAGTAGAGATAGATTGCTTCATAAAATTCCTCCATGTTTTCTCCAAAGAACTACAATCCCATGAAACCTAATCTGACATAAACCGCTTTCGTAATGTCCAGACCAACCACAATCCTACGTCATCCAAACCAACTTCCAGCCAATCATGTAGAGTGATGTCATCAATAGGCACTGGGCCCCGATCCGATCTGGCAGCCTGTACACGTCTGGTACCTACACCACCACCGAGGTAGAAGGAGTCAGCTGAGCAGCTGAAGACACCACCTTTTCATACATTTAACACAATTAATATTCACCATGAATAAAACATCTGACTGTATTCAGTCAGCAGGATCAGATTTTTATATAAGACATTTCCTCATGCTGCAGACAAGGTAAGCAAAGGCTGCTTTGTCAAAATTCAAAACAAATGAATACTATTCTGTTTTGATCATTAGGAATGGCATTGATGCAGTAAAATCAATAACAAGTGTAAGGATAGGAAGCAAAAGTGTCAATGAAAGATAAAAAGATGACAGAAAAACTAGAATTAATGAATAAATACAAATAAATAAATTACAATCAACTGGCATTCTAATGTAGCATAAGGCTAAAGAAAAGGAAGAAGTGATCTAAATGAAAAGCCATACTAAAGGAAAGTTTTTTTTAAAAACATTGTTCTAGACTTCACCTGTGTGGGACACATGAACTCCCACACAGTATCTTTCATGCTTCAACATATCTGTGTGGGCTCTCACTCATCAGGGTCATGGGTTAACCAAGGCTCCATCCAAAGGGGCAGCTGGACTTAATTAATCTTGACACTTTGGGGTATGGAAAGGGAGACACAAAGAGGGGGACGGTCTGGGGTTGGTTTGAACTACAACCCTTTCAGTCAAGATAAACATTATGCATTTACATTTCAATATTTGAAAATTGCTAAAAACAGCAGTGCCAACTGCTGTCACCTCAGGTTTCCAGACAGCCAAACTTCACTGAGACATCTGTGATTTTCCTCTCTGTGTCTCAGAATAACTGCAGACCAACAGGCAGATTAAAGGTCTGAGTTCAGAGTCTGAGACTGTTGACTGTCTGCAGACGCTTAGATGGACGTCTGTTATAACCCTGATGGAGGATAATAGATGGATTGATGCTGGATGGGTGGATGATGGATGGAAGATGTATGTATGTATGTATGTATGTATGTATGGGCGGATGATGGATGGACGTATGGATGATGGATGAATAGATGATGGATGGATTAACGGATGTATGGATAGATGGACGGATGGATGGATGTATGGATGATGGATGGATGATGAATGGAAGGATGTATTAATGATGGATGGATGCTCTGGCTCTGTGATGACCCACTTTCAGATCCACAGCACAGAGTGTTAGTATCCAAGTCAGACAGCCTCTCTGAGAACAAACAACTTTAATGGAGCATGTCCCATGCCTGTGCTCAGGTATGTCAGTGTATTAGCCCACTGCATGCTGTGTTTACATGCTTTCAATGTTTCCTCACCGTGCGCGCGCGCGCGTGTGTGTGTGCGTGTGTACGTGCATATGCGTGCAATTGTGTGTTGTGGATATAAAGTCACTTAATGTTTGACTAGCACACAGATGACTGTAATTACAGCTCTTAGCAGGATGAAACTGGTGATAACTGTTGCAGATAGATTTAACAAGCTATGATGCAGGCCAGACAAACACACACACACACACACATGCACGCACGCACATACACACACACACGAGGTGAACAGCTCTGTCTAATAACTAATTGGTTGAACCACCTGTTGATTCCTGTATAAACAGATTCCTGTACTTGTTTCAGTGTTGTGTTAACTTTTGCAGCTATTTCAGAGTAAGTAATCTCTTTGTCTTATTGATTTGCAGTTGTTTGAATCTCCTTTTTTTTCATTTCAAATATATTTTCTTTCATCTGTAAAGCACTTTGAATTGCCCTTTGTACAAATGTGGCAATAAAAATAAACCTCCCTTGCCTTTATGCAGTTGCTGGCTACCCCAAAATGTTTGGTGCAACTCTATGGCTTTATACTCCACATTTCATCATCAATCACTCTGCTCTCACAAACTCTCCATGACAGCTGAAAGTCATGCTAAATCCTTATTCAAAGAGGGCGGTCCGCACCACTTTTGCACCTTTTATCAAATGTGCACACAATTATGGTAGATCACCCGCAACATGCTCATTAATAGCACATGCAATTTTTTTAGTTTGCACGCACAATTTACCGTTCTCTATTTGGAATCTTAGTAGGTCAGGCTCTCAGTCTTTAGTTTTGGTCATAATTGAGTCATTTTTGGCCTAAATAGTCATAGCTGACAAAAAAGTCCAAACTTTTAGTCTGGCTGTAGTTTATTAAAAGATCAGAATGTTTGAATTGCCGGCACATGAGCAGCACATCTTACTCATCCACCAAAATACAGAGAACAATGACAAACTGAGGGCTGTGCTCAGCTGTATTTGTGTTTCTTTCTTCACAGCTTCTCTGAGCACCAGTCTCTGCTCAGCTGGTGTCTGTGCGTGAATTAAACACCTGTTTAAAAACTTGAAACATCTTATAACACCTGAAAGCATTCTCTAATGAGAACATGAAATTGAGTTGTAACTCACTGTTCTAATAAAATCAGGTTAGTACAGATATAAATTTCTTCTCCTCCTTGCAGTTTAGAGTCTGATCAGGACATTTGGTACCCACAAGAGTTTAGGGTTTCACATTAAAATGAGGTTCAGTCAAAAAAAAAGGTGGAGGTTTCTTTTCTGTCTGGTCTGTCTGGTGTAACATAACTAATATATCAGACTTTAATGAGTGGTGCAGGAGATCCGAGGCTACAGTTGATAATACCATGAATCATCCGTTAAAAAAAGGTTTTCACAAAAGTATCCTATGGAATAATGACTTTGACTGGAATGTGTGTCATGGGACAGACAAAAGAAAGAGTGTGTGAGCTCATTTCCACATCATGTCACATCATCACAGAGTTTAAAATCCTCACCATAAAACACAGTTTCCATCCTCCCCTCCTCCTTCAGTTTACAGCCTCTCAGTGAGGTAATGCCGGCTAACACCTGCAGCTGCAGAGCTCAGCCTGTTTTAGAGATCACCTAGAGGCTCGTCAGCAGCGCAGAGCAAGGCGAGAGGGAGGAGGAGCCTGCAGTGATTGACAGCGCCTAGCAAAGACACAAGACGCCTGATGAACTGAGAAAAACAAACAGCTCCTCTCATTTTGTGCTCCTCTCATTAAGGCCAAAACAAAGACAAGGACAAACAGACAGAGAAATTGTCACGTCTATTATTTATATAAGGTAACATAGCAGTGTGAAGATAGTGTTGGACTAAAAGTGAGACCCTCTGTTCAAACTTTTGTGTATTAGAAGCAGAGAAAGGTCCACATGCATGTGTGAAAAGGAAAAAGATTTACCAACCTTTTTTTGAATATTTCTAAAGCCCTTTTTTAAAGTCTAGCGATCCCTCTCAGTTTTACGCTAACACTGAGACGTGTCGTGTTTTTTATACAGACAGATTTCTGTTTTCCTCCACATGAGTGGGGCGATTGTCACTCTGATATAATTACTATAATTAAAATAAAGGCTGCTTTATTTTCACATGGGGACTCTCACTCAGCGAGTACCTGAGTGAAGCTGCAGGTTGAACCTCTGAGCCTATGAGGAGACGGCTCAGCTGTTAATGAAGCACATCTGGACTCCAGCATGCATCCACAAACAACACCTGCAGACAATTGTGGGCTCACAGACATGTGGAGAATTCGTGTGTTAACATGTGCGTTAACATGCAGAGCTGCAGGTGCATGCATGCCGCAGACACACACACACACGCACACTCAGGAGGGTGTTCACAGATCATCTCGTGTACGGCTGTGGTC